TAAGAAAAATGTTAAACGATTACAAATATTAAAATGAGAGATAAACATGTCAGAAAAAATACGTATTATACCCACAAGCGTTTCGCTAGTAAATAAATAATAAAAGTTGGCTAAAGGCGTGCCTAGGAAATGCGCAAGGTGTGTGAAAACATCGAAATCACTTTTATTGTAAGTAACAATAACGTAAATAATACGATTCATTGAATTAATTAACAAGTAGAAATATCACTAATTTTTTGGCTTGAAATGTAAAATCTAATTATAAGCATTTAAAAAGATCAAAGAAATAAAAATTGTTTCGTCTGTTATAGAGTAATGGGGTTTAGGATATGAGAGTAATGGCATTGAGTTGAATAGTTATAGTATTTACTGTGACATACAAGGTAGAAAATATAGGCAATTCATAAGATAACTCGATAAAGAAAAAAGAGCAATTTTTTGCAGCACAACAGTGGAAACATTAATAAAAGATCTGTAGAGATAAAATCGACTGTGACATTCATATAATGTGATAGTTTTAGCTGGACATCCTGTAGAAAATTATCAAATGTTGAAATATCCAACATGTCCTCAAGCCTTCAAACTTAATATTAGGAAACAGTTCTTTGCACTTAATTCGCAAGAAAAAAATGTCCTCTTTCAACACTCGACGAACTTTTATATTGTTTAACGGTTCCTAAAAAACCGAAGTATTTATTAAACAAAATAGTCCAATAGAGTTGTTTGGCTTTAACGCGAAACCATTTCATGATCTTATTCAAGGCTGCGTGTCGGTTAACCAGCGTATTGCTGCTGCCTTGTATCGGCGCAACGATGTGGAAATAGGAACTGCAAAACTCGTGCCTTCTGGCGACACAGCGTCTGTAGTAAACGCGACAGAATAACTGTGAAAATAGCGTACGACAATTTTTTTACGGTATCAACAATTTATGCAGAAGCCGATGATAGCGACAATCGGGATGTCGAGAGAATTGAAACTTTTTTAATTGTGTTAATGTTGAGGCGAGGTGCAGTTAAGGCTAATGGATAGGGGATACATAATGGAGTGCAGATAAAGGATAATTTTGTTCGTAATTTGAAGAGTAGAAGAGGAAAAGCAAAGTTATAAAAGGGCCAATTAATAAGGAGGTTGTGTTTAAAAAAATTGCTATGAGATAAGATCAGGATATAAGATAAGATCAGGAAAGAACAGCTCTTTTAGTTTTCAAAAAGTGCTCATACTTTCTACAACAGCACCTACTCAAACTTAATGTCACCTCTAGGTATGTAGCTGGTAATAACCTGTCCGATATGTAGAATATTTTCAACTCTATTGACCTTTGCATTTCCTCAAGTGCACCAATTACTCTTTCTTGCTCATGCATAACATAACTTCAGGGTAAAACATTCTATCACTTCCGTCCAATTCTTAATCACATATTCTGTTACTTTTGGCTACTTCGTCGGTCTTTGATCCGGCCTCAGTGAGGTCAGTAAAGTGAGTCACTTAATTAAAACGACTAGTGTCATCTGATTATATTTACGAAAAAATCAAAGTGTATAAATCTCGCCCACGCTCTCGTTGTCTTGTTAGCCGCATAATTGTCTTACAGCCAAGTATAAAGGAACTGCACATACGCAAGTAGGCACCTTGGATATTGGATATTAAATGAAAAATTTGCATACAAATTATGAATCACGTTATTTAAAATTTTAAAAACGCGGAAGTAAAAGTCGCACATAACGGATACGTACGTCTATAGACATTTTAGGAAGGTTGAAATTTGGATACAACGTAGAAAAAATTGATAACAGATAACACTGAAATAAGTACGATACTGTATAATCAAATTGTTAATTGTAATAAAAATCTAAACAATGAATCGATTTATTTGCCAATAATTTTATGCGACAATTGTAAATAGTTCGGTTTAAAACAATGCAACCGATTCGTCCTACGATTGTGCCAATCGCCGACAAGGTTGCAAAGATGAAAGTTATTTTTTCGAAAATAAAAATCTACGTTTCGTAAACGACACTTGCATCGAACTATTCGTAAGTACCCGCTGCTGCCCACGTACGTTTACGAGGAAAATGTTTGTGCAGCAACGAAAAGAATTAATGAATAAATTAAATTGCATTTTTAAGTTTGCAAGAAGGTATCTATCTTCGAATAAATAAGGTGCATTGTACCAACTTGATTAGGATTTTGGACATGATATTGGTTTAATTCTGATCACATATTTTACCAAATTGGTATATGTATAGGTATAATTTACACGTACAATTATACCTACTCCTTCGAGACTGGGTATATGTAAAAAAATCGTATGTTTGGTTAATATATTAGACACAAATTATTCGTCTATAAATAGTTGGTAAGGTATCACTTGCAGGTAAGTAAAAGCAACTTGATTATACATTTCCACGTATTTTATCGCTCTAAAATTCGCTACGTTGTTAAACGATTTTTAACCATCACACTTTTCCTAGCTGTGCTTAATATTAATATAATAACGTCCATTTATCATACTCTCAAACCAGCAATTCTAAATTGAAAATTAAATGACGCGATATAGGCGATCCTGTTTAAATTATACGGAAAATTTTAAATGACCAACGCCGGTATTTTTAGTCAAATTAAATATTGAAAGACTGCGCTTAAAAATCGCAAATGCACGATGATCACGTTTTGTGTTCATGTATCAGGATTGTTCTAATACATTGCTCATGCACAATTTTTAAACATAGCCCTGATGTGAACGCAGATGTAATTGAGAGATATTTAATTGATTTTTCAGATAGGTCAAATGGAGTTTTATGTTGAGTACGTGAGATATTCATAGAAAATGTCCTTAATTAAATTCTATTCCAATTCAAAAAATCCAAAATCAACATAATCTTTATCCAAATAAATCACTATTATAATAAGCGTTTATTTATTTTCCGGGATTATAATTAACTTTAAAAATGAACTGAAACCGAGCCTGTTTCGACTGTAATATGCAGTTTGTGTTCATTATTCTTATTGAGTTAACCCTATCTTGGTAGGTCAACGTTATGATGCGCATTGTCATTCATCAATATTTCTCATTTTATGACGTTTCAAGGCAAATTACATGGAAAAGTAGCCCGAAATAAGTTCGGTATTGAGAATGTGAATTTTTTTTCTTCTAATAAACGCCTTAATTTTTCTTAATGGGTTGATTATTCAATTTCAATTGAGACATTTTCATTCGCGCAGTCAATAATAATTTATTGGACAATAAAACACTTATCAATTAAAATTTATCTGAAAATATTGTCACTATGAGGAGTAAATTATTATAATCCGCTTGATAGTCAGTAAATTATTTGATTAGGTGGCATGTTTATTGCTAATAAAAAAGGTTAGAAATGTTATTAAAGAGTTTTCGAATTAACTTCATATTTCCACGTTGCTTTCAATGATATATTAATAATTAAAATTGTTTGCATCTTATTTATGTTCTTGCTAATGAAGCTAATGACCGACGTTTAATATGTTTGTCTTTCTAATAACACAATATCAGTACACAAAATCTTCATATGATAGCTAGATTATCAAATATATATTATTATCTTTCTAATTACCCATATGGTCCTACATTTATCTAATTAACTATTTCATTATCAGTTCATCATTAAGATAGGTTGCAATATATTACAAAGATTATGATATTAAAAAATATTCTTTAGAATAATAAAAATTTAAAATATATTATCTTATCAAAAATGGGTAAGATGAAATATATACAGGGTATTTTTTGGACCCATTTTAAGAAAAAACTTCATATGAACAAATGACAAAAAGTCAAGAAATCAAATTTGTTCTAAATTGAACCGGGCCTCTAAAAGTGAGTCCAGTACGGACGCCACTGTTGAAAAAAATGTTTTTTAGGTCAAAAAAATGCTTTTTAATGCACAAACGCCGTATACAGCAAATTACATCAATAACTTTAAAGTGGTATGAAAATGAAAATAAAAAAATATTTTTTTCTTAAAACTTTAACACTATATCTCAAAAGTTAAGACGTTTAGGACATAGGTTCATATGAAGTTTTTCTTAAAATGGGCCCAAGAATCACCCCTTCAGTATTACCATGTTATTAAAAAACGCACCTTTTGTAGATATGGGTGTAGTAATATGGCAATACAGAGAAAGATTACCTATAAGCGTTCATAAAAGTAATGTGATTTTAATAAACAGTAAATATACATATTAATTTATGAGATATATTATTTTTGGTACTTTTCCAGGTGCATGTTTTAAGACAATGTATTGCAGTAAATTCCATATTGTATCATCTTTCTAGTAAATCGCGTAAACAAAACTGCGCGAAAAGTGCGTTTACGTATGTATCAAAATCAATTAAAGAATACCCTGGACAATTACGCGTTATTTAAACAAAAAGAAACGTACGTAAAAATGAGTAATCGCGCTATTTAATTCAAAATAGTGGTGACGGTAATGCGTCCACGTACGCTCGTACCTAATTAAAACTTTAAAAATCTTTAGGTAGGTACCATTGTCTAAGGAACTCTTTAGACAATGTAGGTACTACAGCTACGGGTCTATGACCCGTATTCAGCGACCCATTTTAACCTTAGAGTGACTCTAAAGTCGCGTCTTTAACTTGACAGTTTTACATTGTTGTTATGGAGTAACTAGGGACTCGAGACGCGACTTTAGAGTCACTCTAAAGTTAAACAGGGCGCCGAATACGGGCCATAGAGAATATTTTTATACAAAAAATTGTATGTGTTTAGAATAATAAAATTGTGACCAAAGTTTCATTATGCATAATATCTTCTTTAAAAATTCGAATATTTCCTTAGAAAAGCTTCATTGGAACTAAATCTCACGGTGCTTGTGCCATTTATAAATAAACCGCGTTATCTCGTATCTTATCAACGTTTCGAGCTTACAACAACGATGATTCTACACCAAACGCATATAAACATAGCGCGATGTTCGATTTAAAGTCAGTGTAAAAACTCACCTGGTAAATTCTCCAAAGCAAACCTCCTCCTTCGGACGGTTTCCGTTGTTGTTAATGATGTTGTTAATATCGTTTTTGCTCTTATTATTTTTGAAGGAACTCCTCAGCGAGTTCGACCGCCCCAAACAACGTAAACTCCTGTTATTGACCCCGTGGTTCCGGTTCAAACTCTTAGTTTTCAGGCTGCGCGTGAAATGGACCTTCCTGTGCTTCAACAATTTGTTGCCCGATACAATCTCCATGCTTTCTTTCCTAATTGAATTACCTACGTTTCCAACATGAATTAAACGACGACGCGCATTCTACGAGCCCACGGAGGCGCCTCAGCCCCTCGAAGAGGTCCTAGTCATTGTCAATACAGTGCGTTCGCGCCGATAGGGCTTTACATTTTTCGCGTAAGATGAACCACCGCGGCGTGTAAGACGGGCTTTCTGCGACGACGGGCGATGCTGATCAGGCTTTCGAAGCCTACTGGCCGCAAATAGAGAAGTCGTCGGAGCGGTGCTGGCTGAGCGGCGTTGTGTTTTCGTTTTCGGTCCGCGAGTTCCCCCACGTTGGGAACGCGGTCGCCGAGGCGACTCCGAGTTGGCCGGGCGTTACGTCAGCGCGCAGCGGATTCGTCGCGACGTCGACGAGGAAACGAGCGGCGGAAAAGTCGGTGCCGTCGAATTTCGACGGAGGATTTTCGCGATGCGCGAAGTGCCGGCACCGATTGAAATAAATCCGTTAGTGTGTAATCGCTATTTCGTTTGGGTTTGTTTCTTTTTTATTTTCGATCGGGTACGAACAGGTGCTAGCTCGAACTTAAATTAAGTTTCTAACGACCGTTTGAGAGTCGTTGCGATGTAACGTAAAAATAGCGTCGAGATATTTGCCGTTATTGTCAATTTTTATACCCAAAATAAACCTTAATCGTACCAATGGGTTTCTTTTTTAACAAGAGACTATAGTAAAGTGGATGTAAAAATACTATTTACTAATTTAGATATCTAGTTTTCAACAAATATCTATTCTCTAACATCAAACGACTCCTCCTCAACCATCAAACTCGATTTTTAGAGACAATTTCTAATGGAAATTTTAATATTTCATTTACCTTCTTCTTTAACTAATGCTGGAATGAATTTGTTTTTTCATCAAATTTAATGAAATACCTATAAACCTTTTGAAAAAAAATTAAAGCATAATATTATCAAAAAAATAGAAACATCCTTTTAATCTTTTTATCTATACATGATCCAAAATTAGCTTGGATTTCCGTTTTCCCGAGAAAAAATCAACAACAAACGTCAAAAATCTCTTTTTTTTGACGTGACGCGAGTATCTAGTTCATCGGTGAATTGGCGAAAATATTTTTAAAAATTTCAGTCAAGGTTGGTCGATTAACAACGCACGTTCCGTCGCATTTTCCTCGATCATTGAACAATCTTCACGTTTATTATATGGCGAATCTTTTTTTAGAACCATCGAAAAAAGTTTTGACCTGCATTCGATGTACTGTTTTCATTAGAGGCGAATTTTTTAAAATAAAAATCGCTAAATTTAAAGCCCAGTCGCCGTTAATCGAATCGTGTCAGGGGCGAATTAATAAAATTCAATTAGTAAAACATACCCACCTTAAAAATCTTTTTAATTTTAGTAATTAAATCAGATTTTATTGCTCTATAGTTAATTGCCCTATTCTCTCATACAATATAGGCCATAACGGTGACACTTGTTTTTATAAGCACTACTCTTTTTAAAAATACATAGGCCAATAAAAATGTCAATCTCAAGTTTCAGTAGAAAATGTAAGAATTTTTATAATTCGTCTAAATAAAAAATAAGTTATAGGTGCTACAAAATCAATAAATTACACTGTAGACGTATTAACAAATCGCCACTAGTTCGTTAATCATTTAAGAACATTAAAAACGATTTTTTTATTAAAATTTGAACGAAACACCTGAAAAAGATTATTCCTTTTTGAATAATTGTAATAATGATTTATCGAATTCCGAACGGTACGAAATTATTTTGCACCGTTGGAGAATTGATAATCGAAAAAATAAACAACTTGTTATTCAAATTACTAACCGGAGGCTTGATTATCCGTGTGGAAATTGAATTGGAAAGTGAATTCATAAATTAATTAAATGATAGACATTTCGTAAAAGCTGTTTATACGCTTCATTTCTTTTCTATATTATCCCTTCCTTATCCCTGAATTTGTAATAATATTGATAACATATCTTCTGCGTTAACGTTATTCATACATTTTCCTATCCTTAATAGCAATTAATATACTTGTAAACAATATTTATTTTCCGGAATATTTGAATTTTCTGCATACTTTTTTACTATGGAATTATTCGAGTCTTGATATCTTATACCTAACATTCTTCAACAACTTTAAGTTGGTATTTAAAAAAGGATATTCCATCAAGTAATCACTAAAAATAGTTTCGACTTATTCTCATGAGCATTGTTAGAATACCACCTATGTAATTAATTATCGATTTAATTTATTTAAATTAATGTACTCGACTGTATTTATGGCGATACTCGATTAACCTGTCAATCATTCTCGCAGGTGTCGATCGAATCTGACCAAAAAAAAGTAAGGCAGCCATTATTTCGACTTTTTTTCCTTTCATAAGGGGTCAAGTAGGTGGAAACGTTTATTCGCAATAAAGAGATTTGAAATAACAAATAAAAAATGAATGACCGGTAAATTATCGCTGTCGTGTTAACACCCTGTACACAAACAAGCATTCGACTGTAAATTAATCAAATACTTCCCACATGGAATGTTTGATGAAATTTTTGATACTAAAGTTCATACACCTCACTTTTATTCGTTCATACCTCGATTGCTTTGGCATGAAGGTAACTATGTAAGAAAAATTGTAAGAGTCGATAGACTTGTAAAAAAGAAATTATCTACGCACGTTACTTTGAAATAAACTTCAACTTCATAGATTTCACAAGACGATACTATATCACTTATTAGGTACACTTCGATGCGAATAGCTGAAGACGTGAAAGTAATGCGCATGCAGAATATATTGCATACATAACGAGCGCATTCACCCGTTGTTTACGTATATTTTCATTGCGTTGTCGGAAGCAAAAAGGCAAGGTTAGGAAATAAACAAAGTTGTAGAAAGAAATTACGAACGCGCCGAGAGGCGTGGGTGACAATTTCCTATGATAATTTGTGTTTGTGTTTACAAGATGTGAAGTTTCACTGATACGCGATACCCGCGATGACATCATTACAGTTAGTTTTTTGTACTTCCACCATTTGATATATTGTTGATGTTGATATTAATGGCATAATAACTATTGTTTATTTGACAAATCGTATTAATGTGAATTATGGAGCTATTATAGCTACCTTAAAAACGAGCCATTTTATCTGTAGATAGGTTAATTTTATAGTAAATTAAGGAGAATCTAAATAATCGTGGAATTGTCGACGTTTTTGGAATTCGATATACAAACATACATAATCACATTCAATTCCATTAAAATGACCGGGGAATATTGATTATCCTAAAATTATCATAATTTGTCATCATTGTTTAAAAATAAATATGACAACCGAATAAATGTACATATATAGAACGGACATAAAGCATGGAAAATAATTAAATATTACAGATAATTGTTTATTTAACTAATTGCTGCCAATATCATTTAAAACTCGTAAATTTAAATTACTCAAAAACATCTAAAAACCTAAACTTAGAGATTTTATGTTGCAATTATTATATCTATTACATTCGGAAAATGAAAGCCAAGTGAAACAAAGTTTTATTGAGCAACTAAAAAATGTGTTATAAAAATTTGTCACAAAAGTATCTCATGTACGGAAATTTGTACCCAAATAAATACTCTCTAATATTTTAAAATGTAATGCAAAGTTCTAATGTCTGCAAGAGAATGCAATTTAACAGTAATCTCTAAACGAGAACCTGCCCAGCCGCACGACTTCCTGACCTTCCTGAGGTTAGGTTCGTGACATTACAAGAGTCTGAGGCAACCTTCCGCTTCCCATATAGGGGACAGGACCTTACATTTGGAGGCGATAAACGCATGCAGGCCAGCAATTTTATTAGCCGATTTCATTTTTCAGGTACCTGCCTATTTGGGAAACGCGGAAATTGAATTATTATTGAAAAAACGTTCAGTTCTACAAGTTTTTTTAAAGTAGTTAATGTGCCAACAGTTATCCTTAATGACACGTAAATACACGTTCAATTTCGCAGGTGTTTAGCGTTAATTTCCGCATCGGGTTGTTAATGAAGAGTTTATTAGGTCGGGATTGGATTTCAATCTCCCCATAGAAGACCAGAATACTTTAATATCACTTTTACCTTTTAATCTTTCTTGTATAAAATATAAAATACTATAAAGTGCAGCATCAAAAGGAATGCACCGCTCGAAACGAAAACATTAATTAATATTCTACTTTACGATTGAAAAATAAAAATAAAATCGGTTAAGAATATAAATTTGGTCGAACGGAAATTTTTCGTAAGTTAGTCACGTGTATTAGTTGCAAGAAGGTTTTACTGGAAAAACAACTGCGTCAAATTCTGCTAAGAATAATTTGGGGTCTGGATTGGACTAGATTAGATTTGTGGAAAAATATCTTCAAGGGGAAGTTGCAAATTACATGAGTAATTGCGAATGCGTTAAGTTATATTAGTGAATGTATCAGTAAGTAGGTATCTCAGACAATAATTACAGCCGAAAATTTCGAAACTAACTGTTTAATTCACGAATCTTAATCAATAAATAATAAGTTCAAAATAACAAAGTCGTAGATTTTTTTTAAACTTAATGTAACGCAAAAAACGAAATTAATATAATTACATGAAACTCTTTCACGGAATTTAAGATTGCAATCACGAATCGATACTGCGATGATGATTGCGATGACTTCATGTGCTGTTTCAGGAAAAGGAGTACAACTATTTTTTTCCGTTTGGGTATGCCGATCACGCTGCCCCTAGGTGCTATAATAGCTCGAGAAAAATTATATTATACTTATTATTAACCAAGGTTGAATATTAGGGAATTTTCAATGAAGTGTATCAAAAAATGGTGCTTTTTCAATTATGAAACAATATTGAATAAAGGAGCCTATTTATGAAGTTCCTTTCATGTAAAAAGATACTAATTGATACTAAGATCGTAATTGAAGAATATTGCATCTTGATTGTTTAGAAAATACTTATTTTTGCCAGGGAATATTGATAGAGCTTCTATATGGTTCTGTAGATGCGTAACGTGTAATTAGCCGTTCTTGAATGAAGTACCTACTCATTAACATTGACTGACTATTACCTACTCGATTATCCAGCGTCGAGAGATCGAAATAACAAAAATTAAACCACTCGACTGCTATGTAAAATCGACAATGGAAATTAGTTAATTCAAACAAATTTATTAATAATTATTCGAATCTAAGGTTGTGTTTCACCTACCGTAATAGAAGTGAACGAAGCGCGTTCGGGTTTCAATGTCACGGACTATTTGTCAACCAGTATTTTACAGTAAAACGGAATCGTTCGAAATTTATAACCAGAAGTTTACGAAGTTGATTGAGATATTCGTCTAAATCCGGAGTCGAAAAAAATTAATGAATCAGACTCGATTTTCCTTATTCCTGGTAGCCCGTTTTGGAAACGACCGGAAACCAACAAAAATGTTTCGATTAAATTTATTATACACCAAATAATTTTATAAAAGAAGTGAAATTTCCTTATATTAGAGAACTGATGTTAACATACTTACCTTTATTCTGTATGTAGCTAACAATACTATAAATTATATCCCCGTTCGCCGTCAGGAAATACATAATCTCCTAATAAAACCTTCTTGAAGGAGTATAAAAAATAAATTAAAAATAGGTAATATTGAATTATTAATTTGTTAAAAATTCACATTGCTATTGCACAATGGTAAAATTCTTTTAAAGTTTTGGAATTTTATGATTTTTTCGTTGAGTCACTCGTGCTTTTGTATGCAAAATTAAGTCTAATTACTATCTCCTGAACAAAATATGTATGCATAATAAATAGTTAAACTATCTAACCTGTTGATAACAAATAATGATGCATTTAAAAAACATCCACAAGTTTTTTAATTTGGATTGTTAGCATACAACGCCAATGTCGATGACATGCACGACAAACAAGTTAACAATTCCCCTTAACAGCTGATTAATAATATCAAACCACTCATTATAATCACTGGGTACACATAAATTATGAAAATAATATATAAAAATCCTGCAGAACCATCTGCGCAAATTTATGTCTACATTTCAGGTAAACAAAATTAACGCGGCACCATTAAATGAGTATCTACCATTATACGCCGTGACTTCATTATTTATCCGAAGCCATTGTAAGTCTCGTCGTTTTTTTCAAATTGTTCGTAAAACCGTAATTAAATAATGCGCTCATTCGTTTACCTCAAGTCTCGAAGCAACTTCGCGTACCTAATTAACAAAAAAAAATGTTCCGTCATCTCTATAAAAGTTTCGATGACCCGCCGACATGCAAGCAAACTCCATTGGAGAGTCCAATGGAGTTGATGCCAATGTACTCATAAATTCAATTTGGAAAATGTTTTTTAGGTTGTCGAGTGATTCTTAAGAGTGATTTTTAAATTTGTTATTATTTCTTCTTAATTTTTAACAAATTAATGGCATATTATTATAGTGTATTATGGTTAATTATTATAGAGCTCTGATAAATTTATCTGTTAGATGTTTAATATCAGTTGAATAGGAAGATTTTGAACAGAATCACTAAATAAACCTTTTTTTTCTGCACATTGTTAAATCTAAATTAAATATTATGTATACTATAATCAACTACTTTCTACTTTATACATTTAATATTTATTATGTTTAACGTTCCTTTTAACAATTAATATTTATTTTATTGTTATTATTATTGTCTACATATTAAATTTTTATACTTTACGATTCATACATATCAATCATTGAAAACGTGATAAAAAAGGTAGGTTAATGAGACTAGACATTACACATTAGACTAAAATATATTTTTCAATTTATTGTCTATAAATTGCAGAAAATATACCTACTTACCGGAGCAAAATATAATATTAATTAGGCCTGAAAACATGTTTTGGTTCAACAAAATATTTTCATTATAATACATATGTAGATACAGTTAAAACTTATTTTTCATTAAAATATAATTTTGTCTCGAAACGCAACTTAATGTTAATCATACTTTAAACATTAATTGTAATCTTATAAGGGTATAGAAAAATTAAAAATTTTAGGAAATTTCAACAAAAAAAAATTGAATTTAGGGGTGACCTATTCCATGTCGATCGCTCATATGAATAGATGAATGAATCACGGGTTAATTTTAACCCTCAAGCGTTAGGGAAAGACCCACTTTTCTATTCTAGGGTTTCACAACCATGTCTAAATATAAGGTGTTATTCATCTAATTAGTTCGACCGGTTATATTCTAATAAAAAAATGATGTATTGTAGCGAATTAGTGAGCATTCGTCAAAATAGTTTTACTTTATTGTTCCGCGAGATTATTTTTAGTTTCCATGTTACTTAAATTTCACATAAAAATCAAAATTTAGTCTTTTATTATTATTTTTATATTTGTTAGTTCTCTTATTTCATTCTTCAAATGATTGAGCCATATTAAAAAAAATGTAGTAATTTGTTCACACAATTTTCAAGCTTTTCACTAAGTACAATGTAAAATTATATACACCCTACAGCTCGCACTTTTGAATCAAAATACGTACAAAACGTGCTCAAATTAACTCAGAAAAAAATCGCACAACTACCTTGCAAAATGACCATCCACTTGCTCCATGATACTCCAAATCAATCGAACAGCACACGAGGAATGTTCACACAGTAATGCCCCAATCACACGGGAACGCCGCTTTTCGCGATGCGAAGCCGCGACAACTAAAAAAGCTCGATTTTTGTTTACAAAACGAGATATCCTTTGCGACGACCGCCGCCCTCTCTCCATTCGACGGACACGCCGCTCCGCGAAATCGGACTTTTCGTGGGAGGATTTTTAGGTAAGCTGCCGCTCCGAGCGAGCGGATTTCTCTTAATTGATAGGTGAGTACGGTAATTGATTCGTGACGATTTTAATTGTGAAATACCTTTCGTAGGAATACCTATAAATAGAGCATTGTGGTTTCTAATAGAGGTTTCTATAGGGTAAGCCATAGCAACATTTATTTTAATAGAAATCTAGACACTCTAGAAACATCCAAAACCTAATAATTTGTATACATCTATCGGAATCGATGATTAACGCACAATTCATTTGAAAAAGTATGATACGTATTGTGTTTTTGGGGAATCTGTACTACAGCTTCATTCAAATTACCGGAAAACATTACCGCTTTACTAAATAACTTAGTATCATGTTTACCTTCGCGCCGACAGTATAACGAGATAATGAGTTCAATCTGTGCTCAAAATGATCGTTTCTCTTTGTCTATACCACGAAGTATCGCGTAATATTAACAATGACTCACCCGATAGTTTTTTCGCCGGTATCCTTATGTAGTTTCTTTTTATCAGATTACAGAGATAAATAGCATTTTTCAATGCGTAATAACATTGTTAATTACCTGCTATCGATATATCGATTGAGTTAATCGAAAAAATATTTAAACGGTTTTAGAGAGTGATTCGAACAAAACTATTTTTTTGTATAGGTCTCTGATGAAATCATTTTCCTAAGTAAATTTACAAGAATTCAACATCAAATCTAAAAGGTGCGCCACGGTGATATTCAAAAATAATACATCGAATTGCAAAATATTGCAGTAATTGTTCTCTAATGTAACTAATTAAATAGTGTCACGAAAAACATCCAAGCTTAATTGTCTCTTCCATTTTAATTACTTCCCTGCACATGAGTTCATCGTACGCAATAACTGCCAATAACAATGTTATCTCGACAGTCGATTCGTTAACGATTTTTTTTGTCCAGGTTAGATACAATAAACAGCGATGTACTTAACATGTAACTATAATTTTATTGCAAGGTTGTAAAAATATTTATAGATACGAGAACTCGCAATGCCGTGTTGTATCGGCGTTTGTCAATATTTTGATACACCTATACTATGTATCATATAATTTCTCTCAGTAATCCTGGAAGAAAATTGCTGATGGTCAAGCATTAAATGGTAAAGGGTTCCTTTTATAATAATGGTATGATCGAATGAACATTCAAAATAATAAAGAATAATAAAAGATAATGCGCAAATATATTAGCTTACCTTGTATATGGACCAACGACTACACCTGACAAGGACTGGGTCATTTCTCATCATTTCAAATTTTCAAGAGATCTAAATATTCCTCCATGAGTAATGAGGTGAAAGGGAGAACTCAATAACCGGAACGATTGTGGTGAGAACTTCATTATATTGTCTGCAATGGAAACAAGCATTATGTAGAACAGTAGATATGCTAATAAATTCAGTATCCTTCAATTCGGACAGTCAAATAGGTATGGGCCAGTAAAGGACTCCAGTAGAATAAATTGGTTTTAAATATTTTTTATACAGTAATACTTACTATGAATCATGTACTTTTTTTGCTATTATTTGTATGACTACCTATGTACTTGCAAAATTGCTACAGTTTTTTTTGCTTATTGAATATTAGGATTATTATTAATGGAGTGACAATGTCATAATCGACGTTACATTAATAATTTTCTACATTTTACATGATACACAATTTTACAAGCGAATTTTAAATAATTTTATTACTTTAACAAAATATAAAGCAATCTGATATGGGTAAGTACTTCAACACTTCGTTTTTTAAATGCAAATTTATATAAGTAGGCATTTAATCAGCAAAGTACGTACTGTATTTAGTCTGTTTAACCTTATTATTGCTGGTAAATTATGTATCTAAAGCAGAGTTTATCATTTCGAAATTTCTCGCATCGTTTAGAAGTCTATGCACATCGAATAAATACACAATAATTGTTAGAAAGAATGTCCTATATCCTATCAGCAAATCTATATTTATTATAGTTTGAGCACGTTTGAGTAAGAGAAAAGTTTTGAATAAGTACTAAACTTTATTATATCTAATTGAGAATTTAATTTATAAGGATAATCAAGCCAACATCAACAATGTAAGATATTCACATACATATGTGCAAAATTGAAGCAAGATGCACCCCCTATATTTTCCAGGTTTTTCTCTTGGCCTTTTAGTAATAACTTTTTTTTTACCGCAAGCCTCTACGATGCATAGTTTCCCAGATACAGTACCTCGCATTCTTAATTGCCACCTAGGCTTGTACAAACAATTTTAATATGTTCACATGAAATTACATGGGACATATTTTCATATGAAGTTTTTTTTCTAAAATGGATTCAAGAATCACACCCTTAAATATTAGCCTGTCATTATGGGACACACTGTATAAAAGTTGTGGGACCAAAATGCAGAAAGAAATACTTACATATTTCTAAATACATATTTGTGGCGTACCGGCAAGGTGATAGGAGTTCTCCCAAGATACTGGCATTTTTTATTAAGTATCTACTTGATTCAATGGTAGAACTATCTAATAGATTTTAAATTAAAAGTTCAATACCCACACAGCAAATTTACGACTCTAGGATATATCAGGGACGTCAATAATGAGACATAGTATATCTCTGAGATCTTCAGAAATATTTTTGAGATATAATCGGGATATCTTTGAGATATCTTTATGTCCGCCTTGTAAACATCTCAAAGACGTGTTATTGAGATATCTCAGAACCGTTTAAAAATATCTCAAAGATATCTCGCAGCTTATATACTTAGTGCATCTGAGATATTATTTTAAATATTATTGAGACATAACCAGAATACTAAGAAAGTACTTTATTTTTTCAAATCTTATTAAATTACATCATTCTGTTCTTGCTCGCTCTTGTTTTTCTCTTTCCCGGTCCTTCCTTAATGTTGCCAGTCTTAGCCAGTTCTTTATAACTTCCGATATTTCATAGTCTGAAGTTAGTTCTTTACCTTTTTGACTGCGAATTGAATCTGAAAAATAAAATTCAAGTATTAGAAAAACATTTTACAGTGAAATTGTGAATGAAAACTCGATGTAACGAAAATTGTATTCTATTATTTTTTTCTTAAACAACTTTTGTTTCACTTGAGTAACTACCTTTTATAATTTTGACCAGCTCTAATTCACAAAACATATTCTTCTTCTTTGCTCCAACCCAACTGTAACATGCCGCACAAGAATTTGTTAAGAAAGCTCGAAGAATATTTACAATTGAAGTTTTTGTATCCTTCCCCAACAGAAGACGACTTCGTTGAAACTAAAATGAATATATAAATCATTATAAAATCTTTAGATAAGTAATTTTTATACTTACAACATATTTTCGTAAATTATCATTAGTTTTTAACATGTTGTTGATACGTTCCATTTCTTCAATGGTGTTTACAGGGAACACACTTTCAAAAATTTCTCTGCACGGATCATCATTTGGTAAATCTTTTTCCCTTTCAACAACTCCTAGTTCGAGCGAATTCAACCTATCCAATATTTCCTGTTGCATCAGGGACACTGCCACTACTTTTCTCTGGACGTTTTGTAATAATTTCATGCAGTCCTCCTGGAAGGCTAAAAATTACACAAAAATTGATTTATGTAAATACTCTTATTTACAAATTTACTTACTTATTGTTAGTTGGGAGGGAACTTCCATTCGTGTATCTTTTGCAGGCGTACAATTAACTAAAATAATTGATCCATTTGAAATTAAGTTTTCTATTAAAACGTAGTTAAGAAAAGTACAGTACTCAAAAAGTACGAAAAGCACTCACCTGTTTTGTCAGTTGGAAACGTTGGATATGCAGTATCTTCATCTTCATCGTCTGATAAAGAATATCTTGTTTCGCGATGTTTTATTTGCCTTTTTTGTACAATTGTTGTATCCATTTCATCTTCGGAGCTGGATAATTTTTTTGTCGCCTTGTACTTTCTTTTTTTCTTTTCTTCTTCTGGATCTGTTGTACAAATGTCACTCTCATCTTCAGCTTCTTTCACTTTTTTTAATCCATACTCATAATTATCTGGAAATATATAACATTTTAGAATAAATATAGTCTAACATCTTTAGGGAAAGTAATCATTTTCTCACCTGTAGAATATAAAATTCTTAAAATTTGACATTTTTGCCAATCTATGCCAGGTTTTATTGAATTTTTAACGGCAGCGTTGTATTTAGCTGTAGTTTTAAAATTCGGCCAGAAAGCTTCATTGTCGCTGTTGATCCAAAGTCTTGGAATAAGTTGCAGGCCATCATCAAACTCAACTACGCAGTACTTCTTATTCATTTTGAACTCTAAGTGTTTAAAATGGAACAAAATTATTATTTTCTATTGTTGCCATAATTTAAAAAAATACTTACCTCACTATGGAGTAAGGGAATAACAACAAATGTATTAGCTTCAAAGGGCAATTTCATATATTTGCACCTAACTTCAGTTAACGGCCAAGTTTTGAGCGCGGATAAGTGTGAAACTACATAAATATCAAGTTTAGATGAATCACAGGGTTTGTGAAATAAATTTTCTTTCTTTACGAATTCTCTACCTATTAGTAACATAGACTGTGCTTCAAACGAATAGGCAATGTTTTCTAACACTACAATATTGCCATTTTTGCCCAAAAAACAATTATCAGAAACAGAAAAAGCTTTTAATATGAATTGATCATTTTGTATTGAATGATATTGAGGATTTGAACATCCTTCAATGAGGGGACCACGAGTATGCAATGTTTTATCAACCATGAAAAATTTTAGATTTTTGTTTTTTGGCAAAAGCTTCCATGTTTGTGTACCTAAGGCTTCTATTTCAGTAGTTCTAAAAAATAATTGTTGAAGTGGTCTTTCAGATTTTCTCAGTAATTTCTTTATCGATGACATATAGTTTTCAAATTTGAAAGCGCTGAAATTATCCAATACTCCAAATTGTTTTACATCTTCAGCAAGATGTAACAGGTTATGAACATTATGGGAAACATTGTATTTTTTGTAAATTTTTTCATATGTCGAAACAAAGATGTGCAGTAATTTATTAGCATATTCAATGGTTTCACATTCATTTTGAATACAAAGCATTCTAATTGCAACATGTAGTGTAAGAAAATTTTCATAAACTTTTCTTCTTAAAATGCCGGAAAAACAAATTGGCCCTATATAAAGCAGTAACATTCGAAACTCTGTTGCTTTAAATAATTTTAAGTAATCCAATGAACGGGGTCTTCTAACAAATTCTTTGGGTATATAATGCTTTAAGCTTGTAATTCTTTGTGATATAGATTTAATTTTAGAACTGGGTAATCTGACAGATAAATCACCCCCGGTCCATAGGAGCAGAAGTCTTTTAGTTATACCAAGACATAAAAGGTGCATATAATCCAGTGGAACTCCTTTTACTAAGTCAAAATTAGGAATTTGTTTTAAAATTGTTTCACGAATATGGTATTCTTCGTCACTTTGGGCTCTAAAGCTTTCATCTGTTCTTTTACCACATGTACTGCCAGGAAAACAAACTCGGTTATTTAAAAAATCACCATTTATCAAACATTTTGTGCAGCTTGAATAGCCAGAATGCCCTTTAACGCCTAATACAAAAGACTTTGCTGGTGCATCACATACTATACCTTTTAGAATAAAAGGAATTATTTTATTATTTATGCATAAACCATTATTTATTAAATCTGTACAATCTTCGACAAAATTTGATAAAAATTCATTGACATCTTGTGGTTTTTGAGGACCAAAATAAACACCTATTATAAAAACATTTGAAAACCCTGAAATATTTCCTAATATTGGCCATAAAGAATTGGTAGACGATTTACCAATAGGCAAACCGTCGATATTTATCAATAATTCAACTATTTCAATGTTTTCATTTATCATTATTTGTAAAATTCTTTTCAAGCCAAAATGAACATATTCTCCTGGACATACAGTTTTAAGCACACACGTTTTTGCTGTATGAAGTAGTGTTCTACTATCCAGTGGAAGGTTAGAAAAACAATTGTGATTATGTAAAATATTCAATAAACTATTAAGTGAAACATGAGAAATATTATGTGAGATTGCCCAGTTAGCTAAACTAGATCTTATATTTTCAGCTTCTAACCTGAAATCTGTAGTAATACTGGAGTTGGTCATCACAATATTATGATCACAATTTTCTGAAGGTTCTGAAGATTCACTTAGTGTTAATAAACTGGGCTTAGGAGGAGAAAAATGTGTCACTTCGATACTTTCTTGAGAATTACATTCATCATCACTTGATTCAATAAAATTATTAACAGGAACAGGTTTCTGTGTTTCAAAGTTATTAACTTCTTGAAAAGTGTTGGTTATTTGTTTTTCAGGCTTATTCTTATTAACTTCAATTAAATTTCTTTGGACAAGGCGCCGCAAATGCCTCTTACTTACTGTACTAACTGATTTAGATTTAGGCATGTTTAATTCATAAAGAAAGGAATAAATAATAAATATAAAATAAAGGAAATTAATAATCCAACTATTAAGTATTAAATTTAAAAGATGCTTACTCAAAAAAAACCGTGTAACCGAAAGACATTGCACATTGCAAACCAAAAAGTGAGGTTAGTTGATCGTTTTCGCTCTAATTCTTTATTTTAACGATTGTGACATTTTCGATTGTTAATCATTCGATTCGATAAGTGACAGAATTCGATTTTAGTACGTTTAAATTATAAAAAGAATGCCTAAAATCAACTTTACATTAGGATTTTTGTCATATTTGCTTTTATTATTTGTTCTAGAGAATACTCTGTTATTATACAAGTATTAATTATTTCGAATCTACATATTACCGATTTAATTCTTATAATCGATTAATCGATATAATTTTGGTACCGCGGAAAGCAGGGAAACAAAAACAAAATGCAGGCATCTGCATTTATGTCTTTTTCTAAACTGACCAATCAGAAAACTATTCGCAATTCGCAATTCGTAATTCGCAAGTATATGGAATGCCCTTTAAGCAATGATATATACAGCACCGTAAAGTGTTATAAGAACCAAGAACCAATCAGAACGTGCCACGTTGGCTGTGGGCTCGTGTACAATAGCTAAATAGTACAATAGCTTAGCAGATCATCCCAAAAAATTAAGAAAAAAAATATGTGAAAATATTACCATCAAGCAATTGATAAAGCTGTAACTATCTCAGATACATCTCAGACATATCACTATTCACCAATATATATGTTACCAAGCTTTCAATTTTTTTAAATGTCTCGGAGACATTTCAGAAATTTCTGAGATATTGTGATCAATATGTGATCTGATTGAGATGGTACTGAGAGATTTGATGCTGTGTGGGTAAATTAAGAACACCACAATGTCGTACGTTTTAGATTAGATAAGAAACAAGTAGCTGCTTTTTACCTGCAAAGCATCAGTTCAAGTACAATAAACTTCAAAGACATAAAATTTACAAACGAATTTTTAACAGATTTTGTAAATTGCAGGAATTTTTATTGCATGGATACAACATATTATATTTCTTTCCAATTTCCCGCCTGTATAAAATTACTAAAAGTATGAAAGTGGAAGGGAAATTTCAAAACATCCCCTTTACCTATGGGATTTACCTAATCCTAATTGATTCACTTACTTTTATTGAATTGCGCGTATCTGAATAATTGCGAAGCATTTTTAATTCTGGCGATTGAAACACCGTATTTCGATGCAAAAAAACAATGATAGTGACTCACATTTATAAATACACTTCCATTTTTAAACTTAACATCACCGAAAGTTCTAATGGCGATTAGCACGATCCAGCACCGGAATTTTCAATCGAATTTTTTGGAGGTTTAAAAACGCGTATTTTACTAGTAAAAGAGTAAAATTGTATTTTTGGTGTGAAACGCCTACATATTGGAATTATTGAATTTTCCCAGTAGGTATTAAAATTTTCAAAATTCGAACACGTTGCGCTATCTATGAGTGAATACAAGAAACTACGGTTACTGGTTAGAGAAATTGTTAAAAAAATTATAAGTTGGCTATCCTGACAACTGACTGTTCAAACTGTCACTGTCATTAGTGTCATTGTCAATTTTCCTCGATTGATATTTGTCAAATTTTGTCATTTACGTAACTTTTCATTATATCATTACGATTAGGTTATAAAGAAAAGTTCGAAAGAATTTTCCGCAGTATCACCTCGAAAATGGCTTTCGGTGATTATCCAGCCGAGTACAATCCGAAGGCGCACGGGCCCTACGATCCTGCCCGTTACTACGGAAAACCGGACACCCCATTGTCGCAAGTGAAACTGGGTGAACTGGGATCATGGTTAGCTCGTCGCAATAAAACTCCCCAAGCTATGATGGGCGCTTGCAGCAGGGCTTTCTGGAGATGGCAACACAAGTACGTACAGCCCAAACGAGCTGGAATTGCTCCGTTCTTGCACGTAGTGTTCGGAAGTATGGCTTTCTTCTACATGATTAATTACAACAGAATTTCTCACCACAGAAACTACAAATACCACTAAACGGCCGATTTTTGTAGTATGATTCGGAATAATGTGAATTGTAATTCGATTTATATTAGGTAGCAATCCTTTCGATGTCTGTTTAACTCAATAAAATACACTTACATATTAAGGAGATTTTTGATTTTTAATTGGTCTATATTTTATTTAGGGGGTCAGTAAAGGAGAATGAAAAGAAAAATCATTGTTTCGTCTATATTTTAACGTTGGTTACAAATCGGTTTCAGGTGCAATTATATAGCATGTATGAAAAATTATAATCACTATCGAGTATTGATATTTTTGACAGCAAAATCTCGTATTTAAAATTAACCATAAGTTGAACTAAAACAAAAAATTTTCTACTGAAATTATTGCATTTTTGTTTCTTATTGAACACGTCTAATACCGGTTCAAAACTCTTACTAATTATGTCACCAGATCATTACATTTGGTGCCCTAAACATGATATATGCTCTTACATACTATCATTTGTATATTTGGCGTGTAGATTAACAATGTATAATTTTGAAATGTATATACAGAGTATAATTTTAGGTCAACAATATTATAATGTACACTATAAAAATTTAAAGGTAAAGATATTAAAAAATCACAAATTTTCTATTATTATCTTTTTATACATTATAGATTTGATTGCATCGAATTTTTGCACGAAAATAAAACGTTTCTTAATTAATTGACAGAATAAAATCTACGTTGTTAATGTGATTCGGATGGCACGTATGAAATTTTAACGCTACAGTCGGGAACTTACATTATTAGATTATTATCAGTAATGGAGACACAATTCGATTTCGAAACAAATTATCGTGTTACTGCAACGTTTGCAACGAAGTACCTACAGCAGGGTACATTTTACATGCATAAATACGAGGGTGAATCAAATATGAACCGGAATTTAGTAAATTAAATAAATTAATTTATTAGTATATTAAATATAATTTTGATTACATCTTATTTTTCTATGTAATCTCTTTTATTGAGTGGCCTAAACATGTGATGGTTGCATGGCGATAAATCGGGACTGTAGGGTGGTTGTTCTAGAGTATTTTCCAATACATTTTGTCCAAGTTTTCTTGAGTTAATGCATGTGCGTGGCCTCCCTAACGTTGCCAATGTACCAACTAATGTACTAACAGCCAATCGACTCCAACGAGCCAAAATAACTTACTCACCTTTACTTTACATCCCCATGCAACGTATATCAAGACGTCATGTTACTCACTTCACCTATAGACAGCATTAAGAAGAAAAATCCGGTTCATATTTGACTCGCCCTCGTACATGATTCTAGAAACGACGTGGGTATACTCCAATAAATATTATCCCTGTATTCGAGTTAACTGAAGCCTAATAAACTTCGCTCTGCATGATCACAGTCTCTACTCGAGCCGCGGCTTCAGAAGCCCAACAACTCTTCCTGCATGTGTAAACTAGGACAGTACCAAACTCCAGCCTTGGTACTTGCTTAGCGTCAGTGACGAGCCTCAACTTGGATATTATCGTAGGTATTAATTGAAATTCGAATACCAAGTCCCCTTGACAATACTGGCACTTTTTCTGAGACTCTTGTATCGGATACAGAAGTAATGGGGATGATTCTCTGCCGTACCTACAACAAAGTAAAGTAGAGTCCTCTCTAATCAAATCTAGAAAATAAAATATCTTTCATATACAGGGTGTCCCGCATAAAATCGATACAAAGCATGATTTAACTGCAGGGGTTGGTGTTATTTTAAGTTTGGTTAAACAACTATTTTGGGGTCCACTACACGCCCCTCTGCTCTGCGTATTTCGGACTCCCTGTATTTCGTTACAATAATTACCTCAAAATTTGCCCTGGAGTGCTTTGTATTTTAGTTAAGAAATGATGGAACATTTTATCACCGTGCGCCGGGTGGCTTTTCTCGTACCCTTCGCCACCTTCAGCGACCCCTCCGCCTTCGGGGCTTCCCCCCAGCACTAAATTTTCTTCGTGCTTCTGCTGGTACTCCTGCAGCAGGTCTTTCACGTGTCGGTCGGTAATGTTAGCAGTGAGTTTTTCGTTTGATTCCTCCCAAACTGCCACGAAGCATGGCGAGAACTGGACTAGGGAAGCCCTTCGAGAGCCCGAGCGACAGATGTCATGCGGAACGGGGGCGGCTTCTTGGAGAATAGACGCTATATCACGTTGGGGAAACGTTGGAGTATCGATGCTTATTACCTCCCCTTCGTTGCCTTCTATTTCTGCGGTTGCAGGAGGAGAGTGCAAGCGACCCACTGCGCCGCCTGTTAAATTATTAATTAAAAAATCTAATTAAAGTATTCATTTGAGTAATAAATTTTTCAGTATTTTAAAAATAAAAAAAAATAATCCTCCCCGGCGGGGAATCGAACCCCGGTCTCCCGCGTGACAGGCGGGGATACTGACCACTATACTACCGAGGAATACGTTACATTGATGCCAATAACTCGTATATTACACAAGTAAATATAATTCTCAAAGTTTCTCAATAAAATAAATTATAAATTCGTTAAATTTTATTGTAGATAAAATTATATTACGAAATAGCAAAATAAATAAGATATTTATAATTGCAATTGTACAAAAAAACAATAAATCGATTTCTTTACGACTTGTCAACAATGTCAAATCGTCACTCGTCAATCTCGTCATATGCAATATGCAATGCAAGAATTTTAACCTCAATCATAAATCATAACAGATAATACTAAAAACAAATTTTTATCAACAATTGAGTAATGAAAAGTTTACTTCAACGAAACATCCAACGCTAACGCGCCCATAAAAAATGGCTTCGGTAATTAAACAACGGCAGGCTCTGGGAGAACAAGTGAGTTTGTTCAGTCAAGTGAAGCTAGAGCATTTAGTTGCAGGCATATCGGGCGGAGTGTCTTCTACGCTTATTCTACATCCTCTGGACATTATTAAAATAAGGTTCGCGGTAAACGATGGAAGGATGCACGCCGCTCCCAGATACAACGGCATAGCCAACGCGTTTTTAACGATATACAGACAAGAGGGTTTCCGAGGGTTGTATCAAGGTGTAACTCCGAACGTTTGGGGCGCAGGAGCCTCTTGGGGTTTGTACTTTATGTTTTATGGTTCGTTGAAGAATTGGGTGAAAAAAGGCGATGCCAGTGCCAATTTAAGCGCAGGAACGCACCTTGCCTTGGCTTCTGCGGCAGGCTTTACGACTTTGTTAATCACTAATCCACTATGGGTAGTTAAAACAAGGTTATGTCTTCAGTATGGAGGAATAAAGAAATATAATGGAATGATCGATTGTTTGGTAAAAATTTACCAAGCCGATGGATTTAGAGGCTATTACAAAGGACTTGTGCCCGGTATCTTTGGAGTTTCTCACGGTGCAGTACAGTTTATGGTATACGAAGAAATGAAGAAAGCCCATTCAAAGTACTATTCGCAGCCCATTACAGCTAAACTGAGCACCATTGAATATTTAACGTTCGCAGCTATTTCGAAACTAATAGCAGCTGCTACAACATATCCTTATCAAGTCATAAGGGCTCGATTGCAAAATCAGCATTATTCTTATACGGGTCTGGGTGAATGTGTTAAATTAACGTGGACTCACGAAGGATGGAGGGGCTTTTATAAAGGATTAGGTACCAATTTAGTAAGGGTTGTGCCCGCAACAGCCATCACGTTTGTTACTTACGAGAACGTGTCCCATTGGCTTCTTAAACATAGCGAAAATAAATTAAGAAGTTAATGATAGTTTAGAAATGTGAAGTTACAAACATTTCTTATTGTTATTTTTTACCCATTAGACTACAATAGAATGGTGATTGTGAGCTAATAATGTGATGTTCGAATTACTTTACACAAAGGCTGTATTCTGTTCCTCTGAATGTTTAATCTTAGTTTCATTTTACCACAATTATTTTGTATTTATGATACTAATCTGCTTTATTTAGCCATCGCCCAATTTCAAATTTGCATACTAAAAATTCAATATTTTAAACGTGTTATTCAATTTGTTAGTATATGATTCAATGTAGAGCGTAATTATTTAATTAAAGTGCAACATACCATTGTAAAGTTCGTTTTACATTATCCAAGTTTTTGTTACAAAAGATATTCAAACAAAAAATCGTAAAAGTTTACTACACCTACCAAAAATTAGATTATATAAAACGGATTTAAGTAATTTTATTTTTGTTGTTAAATTTTATGTTTTTTGTTATTAATAAATGTATACAATAAATTAAAAATGCTTATAATTTGAAGCAGGGTACTCGTATTGAAATTATATAAATACAGGGTGTCTCAATAAAAAGTAGCCCATTTAATCAACTTATAATTTTAAAAGGCCTTTGAATGGCCAACTTGTAAAACCGAGAAAAATAAGTGTTACATCAAAATATTAATATCTTCAAAACTATTAGGTTTAGGTATACGGAAGTAAACATGAACCTCTCTTATTTTTTACCGCTGATTTCATTAATAAGAAATAACTGTGGGTGGTTCCATTTAAAAAATGAAGAAATTTTATATTTTTGAAGTTCAACATTGTACAATTTTTATACACACCCTCTATGCAACAAAGAGTTTTTCAACACAGGTTCAAATACTCTTTGCATTGTTATTTTAGTAATCTTTCTTTGTTAAACTCATAGAAATGACCATATTGCAAACTGAAATGAACCAACATGAAGTTGTTTATTTTATTTTGCTCTAACTGTTAGAGTGAAACGGAAATTTTGTACCACCTGTACAGGATGTTTTATCAAAATCCCCTCTTTTCAATTCACATTAACCAAATTTTATTAAAGACACCTTTTATTTGTAAAATAACATCTACAAATAATACATTTTTAAAAAGTAGAAGAGTATATCTTTTAGAATACCTCTAAATATATGGGCGGGTGTTCCATTTACTAAAATTTGGTTACTGTGAATTCAAAAGAGGAAACATTAAGGAGACAGCCTGTATTTGGACATCCCAAATATCCTCAATTTTTCAAAAATTACACAATTCTTACCTTGAGCCCCCTTATTAGCATTTCGGTCATCGACTGACAAATTCCCGAAGCCTGACCTGAGGGAATCTTCTAGGGAACAGCTCTCCTCCTCATCTTCATCTGATACTTTTTCCATGTTGCTTATAAGATTCCCGTTTTCTTCGTTCAAATTTGCATTGTTCTCGTCATCCCAATCGTCAGCATCGGCACACCAATCAGTCGCATTGGTTTTCTGAGCACCGGACGTCTCTTCAGATTTATCAGTGATCTTTTCCTGCGATTGGACTCTCAAGCATATCCAACTGAAATCGAGGAATAAGAAGTAAATATAGGGAAGTAATTGCAATTAATTTTAAGTAGAATATTGATGTTTTGAGATGATTTATTTACCTTTCGTTGAGGTTCCAGCAGTTCGGATTGATGCAAGCGAATAAATAAAGAGTGCGATGAAAAGTGGAATTTTCGAGTGGCGCGTAAACTTGCACTATTAGAGGTCTGGGTAATTGACACAAATTGCAAATTGGAGGGTCTAAATTGATGCTTAAGGGGTAATCCTGAAACAGACAAAAATAATTTCCTAAAATATTTCTAAGATTTTGGTGATTTATAGGATATTCGTACAAGTGTTTTCTCAGAGATCACTTTATGGGAAAAAATAATATAGGAAATCTAGAAGCTCTATTTTAGGGTATTTCTTATAAGAACCCTGTGTATACTGGGTGGTCTAATTTTCAAGCCACTTGTACGGAAAGTATAATTGTTTTAATTTTGTGATAGGTACTAGTAATACTCTTTTGTAATCTAGAGTAATTCAGATGTTGACTATTTTTTAGATATTTCAAAGCCATTAAAGGCACACTAAATTTTAAGAAATGTACTGAGTGTATATTTAAAAGCATTCTTTACGCAACAACAAACATCGGGGGTGTAACTCAGTGGTAGAGTGTCTGCTTCGCATGCAGAAAGTCCTGGGTTCAAATCCCAGCTCCTCCAAATCTGTTTTACGTTTTAAAACGTAATTTTTTATAAAAATTGCACCATCTGTTAAATTTTCAATATCCCTCTTTTTTTTCGATTTTTTTCTTTTTACAATAAAAATTTTATATTTATACTTACAGGCATTCCTCCTATTTTATTGACAGAAAAGTTAACTTGTGTTCTATGTTTTTCAGTGATGGGTTCATCGTCAAAACCAAGCAATATAGCTGGTTTATTGTACTCCATTATATTCGTTGTTAAAATGCAAAATATACAATAATCCCCTTTGTCGTATTATTTTGTCTAATCAAATAAAAACACAAAAACTTCAAGTGGATAACCAAAAATCCATTTCAGTACAATGCGCTTGCGCGCGATGTTTTATCGATTCGATTACATTACATTTTTTGTATACTGTGGTTCATTTGAAAACATTCGTAAATTGAGAATTAATTTAATAAATATTATTTTTTAAATGAATTAAATCATAATTTGCTATATACTTTTTCAGGATCCAATTCCAAGATAAAGTAGCGAATTGTATATATTTGTTTAGAATAATAAAAAAGAGGAAGAATTTAAATGACAACTTGACACCTTTTTCATAGTTGACATAAGTCACTGGTCACTGTCAAAATTCTCGAATAAAAAACAAAAATTTTTTATGTAAATGAATTTATAATCCTTGAATGAGGAAGTGAATGACTGTGTCATCGTTGCGAAAAAAATGATTTGTAATTATATTGAAATGCAAACTTCGGGATTGACTTTCTGCCTGTTTTGAGTGCTTCTTTACGTCGGAAATTTGTGTTTAGTGATTTATCATTACAAATGTTTAGGACTGGTTGTTACTGCTTATCTAATTCGTAAAACACTTATTTTTGAGGTGAGTTGGTGTCAATTCATTTAAAAATAGTTTAAATTTTGTAGAATGTTCTTGCGGAATACCGAGACGTCCTCAGGAAATGGCATTTTAACTGAAATTCTTTTAGTTTTCATTCATAACCTTGAGGAAAAAAATCGTTATTAATCTGTAACACAATTACAAAGAATGCCTTAAAGCAAGTTAATTTAAAGATTTTAGTTTTAAAAAACTTTACCATTGTATAGGGAACAAATTGTTACTAAAATCCTTGATATTTTCTATTCTCATTGAATGCATTTTGACTTTGCCCATACTGATTAAAAAAATAATTATATATTGGCAACTATTTATTTATTTTTAGAAAACATACAATATCTTAATATGCATATTCATATTACACACATTGAGTTCGAACGGTTATTTAAAAATGGATATTTGTATTATTGCCAGCCTTTAATCATTATGTAAAAGTTTTTCTACTTGTGCATTTACTTCTATTTTTAGTTTACAGAGAAATTAAGAAATAACAAAAAGTGATCAATGCAATGTTTATATAAAAATGAAGTTAGTACTAATTGTGTATTTTTTGCTATTGCGAATCAATGCGCTTTGTTTTAGAAGTCTATTGTGTTTTTAATTTATTTTATGTAGTATACTAATATCTGCTTAGTTTTATGTCTGTTTGTTTAATTTTTTATATCATTTTATTGAAATTGCTATTTTGAACTAAGTAATAACTGAGAAAATGTATCATTCTCAACCCAAAACAAAATTTGTTGAATTTTCCTGTAAGCTACAGATACAGGCTGTTTTATATAAATATATGAGTTTTTTACCATAAAAACTATCATTGAAAATTACTTATAACTCAATAATCAATGATGTATTTTGTTTCTTGTATTTTGCTTTTCAATACTAGGTGTTGGTTTATTGTTTTTGTTAATAATCAGTAACCTTTAGCTCATGCACGTAACACCAATAAGTTGTACAAAAAAATTTATTTACTTAACTAGAAAATAGCAGTATAAATTACCTTACTGGTTCTAATGCATTTATCAACTTATCTAATTGTAATTACCTATTACACTCGGCAATTATAATTTTGCGACATAAGAAATACTTAATTTATAGATAAAATGCAATTAAAACATGCAGTATCTCATTGAAGGGAATAAATCGTAATTTTTGGATTTTGATTTAACGCGCTAAACATTAACATTAATAGCGGGAATGCTATTAGCAGTTTTATTACACCTTTTTCGCGTACAGCTAAGCTAAGGTAGTTACTTTTTTATGGGATTACGCTTTGGCGCTTAATCCTCGGGGGCACCTGTTTGAATTATCGCTTCGTAATCGCCGTTTATATTGCAGGCTTATCAAGTGGACTTCGATGAGTAGGATGGCCACCGTAGAGAATACTAAAAAGAGCCCTCAATTGAGTAAAATCAAATTGAAAGGGATAAATAGCGCTACGGTGACGGCCTCCGATTCGGACGCCAGCGTCGAAACGAACAGCCTTAGCGCAGAAAGCGCCACTGAACAGAATCAAACGGTGCAAAATGAAAAGAAGAAAAAGAAAATCCGACGCGGTTCCGAATGGGAGATAATGGAAGGGTTGAAAGACGGCCAACGATTTGAAAATAAGCCCAATACGTTCACTGGATATTTACATAAGAAAAGAAAATGGCCTTTGAAAGGATGGCATAAGGTAAGTGCCTTACAAGCAACTCAAAATCAAATTAAAAAAAAAGAAACTTTTTTCGGTGAGTTGAATAAATCAATTTCGGGAATTTAATCATTTATTTACAATTTTTTAAACATGCATTATTAATGCAGAAGCTAAACATTAAATATCACAAATTTTGTCATGTATATCTGCTAATATTCGAATTTTATAAGATTTTTTGCGCTATTCATTTGCATCTTGAATTACATTTGAACAATTTAAACACTTTACTTTTGCAATAAGTGGCATTAGCTTTACAAAGTTAACAAAGAACAACGTAGGATTTGTTACATTGCATAATTATTTAACAACGAAATAGTTGATTTAATATTTTTGTACATAATTCTGGAAAATTTACTGATAGTAAAATGTCAATATTGTAAAATACGCATAAAGCAAGCATAGTTTATCTTGTGATCCATATCCCAATACAAATTTGTTGAGGATATTTTTATTTTCCAGCTATTCGTTAAACAAATACATATGTGTAACATTTACGTAACAAAATATGTACTAATCAGTAATCACCAAATATATAAAAATTGTCTCACGGATATACAACAATGTATTTGTTTACCAGTTAAAATAATCATTTTATAATAACCTCAATGTGTAATTTGAAAAATTTTTCTAAATATTTAAAGCTAAGGAATTCCATTTCCTATTGCCTATAGTATTTGGAATATAAAATATAAAAAAAAATTATTCCGCCGGTTGCGGTTTGCAAGGGTTTCCAATGATTTGATCGGCAATTCTACTCGCTTCTCTTAGTCCGCTCAAAAAGGCCCCGTGCACCGTAGCAGGATAGTTACGGATCGTGTGCTCGCCAGCAAAAAATAATCTAGCCGGTCCCGATGTCACCGAAACGCCTTGTTCGTTCGGAGGGATAACCGGAGAAGCCAATAAATCGTAATCACTGCCGGAACTACCTACAGCAACGAAGCTGTACGAACCTCGAGACCACGGATCGGCCCTCCAACGCGTCACTATCGTTTCTTTAGGCTGTGGCACGCCGGATTGTCCGAAAATGCCCCTTAGGACTGCTATACATCTACCCACTATAACGTCGTCAGTGACGTTCTCCATAATGGCAGCCGCTTCTCCTGCGACTAAAGCTAACAACACCGGCGCTTTGTACAGGTTCCAGAATAGGAACAATTCCCCTCTACTGGCTGTTGTACTACCGACGTGTCCGAAAAGATTGGCCTGGGGATTCCAAAATATTCGTTCGAAACACAGTACTACTTTGTTCAAGTTTCCGAATCCTAATCGCTGTATAGCTGATGTCTTCCAATCGGGTAGAGGTGGAGAGAACTGAATAGTGTTGAGCTGACCGCTTGAAGGAACTACACTCAATTTTAACACCCCTAATGGTAGAGTACAAAGCACGACTTCTGCGCGATAAGTGTTTGTTGTTAACGGATTTTTTGGATTATACACCGTTACTTCCACTCCGTCGCTGTTATATTCTACCTTCTTCACTGCTGCGTTTAATTTAATGTCCAATCCGTCGGCTAGAGCTACTGGTACGCACGAATATCCGTTACGTACTGTTAGGTGATTACCCGTAAATTCGAAGTCATCGTCTTGGTCCCAGTGCTTCAGCGATAACGTCGATAAAGGAGTAGCATTGGCGAATTCCAAATTCGCGAAATGCCAGTCCAAAATTTGCCGGTCTTTCGAGGATAGGTAAACGTCGCTCGGCTTGGCGTTTTCTAACTCTTCGAGTTTAATTTCGATTTCTTTGGCTTGCTCCGTTAGTTGATCCCACTGCGTCGCTAAATCCTTTAGATCTTTCAATCCGCTGGCGTATGCGAATTGTTCGTCAACGTTTCGTTTCTCCATAGCGGCCATTTCGTTGACTCTTTTTTTAATATCCTTCATTTTGTCTTTAACGTTAACGAGCATTTGTTGGTTGGTTTTTAATTTTTCTTGTAAAGCAGTGACAGATTTCAAGTGTTGTATTTTCTTTTCTTTTACGTGCTTTTCTTGTAATTTGATCACCCATTCGAGAGCTTGTCCTAAACTGACCGGTTTATTTCCAGCATAATTGAAGTCCAGTTGATGGGACAAATACGAAGTTGCTTCTAGTAGGCGATTAAATTCTCTTTCGACCATTTCGTCTTTGTCCTTATCTACGGTCACTCCGTTTGATTGATACAACGGGCATTTTTGTCTAATGCGATGTAATTCCATGTCGATTTGTTTGCTTATCGTTGTTATAGGATTCCCGCCTAATCCTGTTACGACCATAGCTCCAACATCAGCTATGTAATTGCCTTTTCTAAAGGTTGCTATACGCCCGCCTACTCTGTCTCTGGCTTCCAAAACAATTACTTCCAAACCGAATTGTTGTAATTGCTGTGCGGCTACTAATCCGGCGATACCAGCGCCGATAACTATCACTTTTCCGTACTTTACTGTCGGTATAGGTTTGAGTCTCTTGAAAATGCCGAAGTTTATGAATCCGTTTCGTTCTAAAAACGCGTGAATTCTCTTCACTAGTTGAGTATCGCTGTTATAAGGCGGTTCCATTTTCTCGAGGACTTGCTCCAGAATAAGTTGTTGCTTGGGATTGTCCAGCCACATTTGGAGGATTCGATTGCGTACGTTAAGGTAAACTTTAACCGTTTGCAGGGCGGCGTTTGCAATGTCTGGAAAACAAGCGGCCTCCGTAGATGTTAGTTTATCGAAGGGCATGCGGCTTTGGAAAGCAGCCCCTTCGAGTCCGGAAAAAAGGTCTTTTATGATCGGATCGTCTAATTCCGATTCGGGGTCGTCGGTTTTCTTATCATCGTCAACTTTTGTTTCTTCTTTTTTTGTTTCCTTTTTTGAAACTTTGGAAGTACTGGGACCGGGGCTCAACTTTTTGTCTGGTAATTGGTTTTTGGCTTTCTCCGAATTTTCGAGATTTTCATCATCACCTGCATTAGGCTTCTCCTCCAGTTCTTTTACTTCTGTTTTAACCTTTTTACGTCTGCTCATTTTGAATAAGTAACGTGTGTTAGCGGAATCAAGTGGTATTTTTCAAAGCTCTCCGATGTTTTTCTAAGTTCATTTACACAGTTGAAAATGCACATCACTAATGGTTTATTGATACTTATTCCATTTTATTGTAAGTTTTAAGCGATTGGAATTAGAAAAGCGGTACATTTGTTTACCATAAGATACATAACAAACATAAACTGAATCACAGAGCGCAAGCGCATGGTCTTGAATGTCAATGTCATTTGCCATTGTTGTCAATGTCAACAATCAAGGTTAAGATTGTGGCTAAGATTACGTTACCGTGAGATTATGGGTAAAGTGGTTACTGTACCGAATCGGATTTGTAGAAATAATATTTATTTGAGGGGCGTTTATTTTATTTCATTTGCAAGTTAATAAGATATTAAATTTAAATTTATAAATGAAAAATTATCATCTCAAATTTATTTTTATGTGGAAATTATCCAAAAGATTATCGCTCATAATTTCGATTGTAAATTTTTCAAAATTGTTATTCCATGACTTAATAAATTTTATATGCTTATTATTAAAATTACAGAATTATATATCTATCTTGTCAAGGTTGAAATTTGATATAGAAATGTATTAATCTATAAAAGCTTCAATAATTTATTACTGATCATATTTTTAGAACATTAATTCTCGGTATTATATTTAATAGGTCTAATTTTACAATATCATTGAATTTAATTGAATAAATAATCAATAAAACAGCGTCCCAAAATTAAATTGAATGGGTGATTGGAAAAAGAATAAAATTTCAGTGAACCTTACTTTTGGGAAATCAAAAAAAAAACGTTTTTGCGGCGAAACCGTTAACTTAACAAAAATCATTATTATTGCTCAATTATACACTATGACAAAGTTTGATCGATTTATACCTCTTTGATATAAAACTAGACATAAAACTAGCTATTGGTCTTTGAAAGTACAAACAGTTTATCATTTTTCCACTCAACATCCAAAAATTGGGACCACCAGCTTTTGAAATCAAGTATATCGATATTACTTAGCCGTTTTACTTGAAATTTTGGGTTTAATTTCTTGGAAAAAATTTCAGTCTCAAGTCACAATGCAAAAAATTATTTGTTCAGCGGGAAGATAAGAGAAATTAAAACAAAATGGCTATCTCACTATTCGCCATATTTTAACTCCAGTCCTACAATTATTTTAGTTTAAAATTAAACAATTTCCAGAGATACTTCATGCTGGACAAAGGCATTTTGGTTTACGGAAAGGGCCCGAACGAAATCACCAAAGGAAAGATTCACGGCACCCTCGACATCGGCCTATCCGTAATTTCCACCAAGCAAAAGAGGAAAAGAATCGACATCGATGCCGAAGAATTCATTTACCATTTAAAGACCAAGAACGATGAAATATTCACCGGTTGGGTGCAACAGCTTACTGCACACAGACTATACAGGCAGCATGTCCTAACTTACGGTACTAATATCGGTGCTCTTTTTAAACCCGTCGACTGTATTAATAGTAAGTTTTTTCTTTTAACTATTACCGTAAACACATTAGAGTAGTATCTCTGTAATATCACTAGATCAGGTACAAAACCTGGTGAAAATGTGTCTAGATCCAAAACGCAACAAGGACGTTGTTCTCCTAAGGTTCACACTTTAGTGGCCTTACGACAGCGGGAAACTATAGAGGATTCTATGATGTAGCTGGTTACGGGGCAGAAAAGACCAGCCCTTAAACAACAACAAGGAGATTAACATTTTTTAATGTTATTGCAGCTCTATCGAGGACCCCAGAGATTCTTAGCCGCGACGGCAGCTTAACAAGAGGCCTAAAGCCTCCGAATGGCGGCAGCAGATTGACCACGTGGATGCAGGAGTCGGTAAGTAGCATTGAACAGCAACAACGTGATGCCAGCATCATCGAACAAAACATCTCGAAGCTCAGTAGATTGCTGTTGCAAATAGAAAGCAGCAATCCGATCGTGATCGAGGTAATTAATACGCTAATCTCGATCGATTTACGGATATTCAACGTTGGTGAATTTTAGAGCACCGTGGAGGCGGTCTCTCCTAACGTCAAAAAGGACCGAAGGAAGTTTGGTTTGAAAAAGAAAAAATCCGCTTCGTCCAAAGGCGGTAGCGTAGATTTGAGCATTCAATTGACTACCGCTAAATCGACAACTGGAAATGAGACTGAAAATATTTCCCCCTTATCAGTAAGTGTTGCTTCTCGTTTAACTGTAACTACAATTCTTTAACATGCATGTACTTATCTATAAGCTCGTTTTGAAATATTTGCAGGCTAATTCGTTTTCCGGAATGTCCGCTTCGGCCCCAGCTAGTACCACCCTTACGACATTACCTGTTCCGGCCAATACTGCAATAGCGGCTCCTGCTGCAGATACCTTGAGCAACGTGGATGTGATATCTCTCTCGGCAGAGAATCAAATGCGAGACGATTTTATTACCCTTTCGAAGCAAGGTAATTAACTTTCGAGGCGCAAAGGCCGTGTTGTTGTATCGTTTATTCCGTTTTCAGTGATAAACAGTTTGAAATCGTTGGTTTTCTCAATGAGCACGGAACGCGAGCGTTTAAAATCCGCGTTAGAATCCGAAATGCAAGTTCCTACCGTCGCATCCAATCAGAACATCGTTACGTTGAAGAACAGCCTAAACCAGGTGCTACAGCAAAACATGGACCTCAAGACTAGGTTAGTTAGGATCCACGAGGCCTCCGATTTGGCCGATCTTTCGTGCGTTGAAAACTTGACAGAGAACGTGAGTATTTCGCAACTCGTCCTCAAGAATCTACGAATTCTTCTATGCTTTTTTTTAGCAACAAAACTATCGAAATTACACGACATCGCTGAGCTACAGCTCGTCCTGCGTCAGCGCGACGGAATTCTTCGACGCCGAAGAGCTCGTGCCCGATCAAAAAACGTCCAAGTACCATGGTGAGGAAGAATCGGAGGTGAGAACGCGCTCCGAGAGCAGCTCCGAAGGCGGCTCTCTCACCAGCGAAGGCGAGGGCAGCATCAGCTCCGAAGAATCCGAAATAGGCGTCATGGAGTTAGATAACGAGAATTGCATCGACGTCAGAGGTACTCTACAATTTACTTTAAAATTTATCGTAAATTAACTGGTGGTTTTATCCAGAATCTCAGGGCTTGACCGGGCGCAGAACGTTCCTTCCCGTACCGCGACCGGCCACTGAAGGCCTGTCGCTTTGGAACCTCCTCAGCCGGAACATCGGCAAAGATTTGTCGCAGATCAGCATGCCCGTGACGTTGAACGAACCTTTAAACGTGTTGCAACGTCTCTGCGAAGAGCTGGAGTACTCGGAGCTGTTGGATAGAGCCGCCAGCATCGACGATCCTTACGAAAGAATGGTTGAAGTGGCGGCGTTCGCCGTTTCCAGCTACGCTAGCACCCTCAGTAGGGCGGGAAATAAACCGTTCAATCCGCTATTAGGTGTGTAATGTTGTTTTGTAATTGTTCATGCTTGTCATAGAGGGTAATGTCATTTGTACCTCAAATTATAAAGAGAGTTAGGACCGATGTTAGAGTGTGCTTTAACAAAAAGAAGCTTTAAGATAAAGTGTCTTTTAGGGCCGATTTCAAAATAAAGGCGTTAAAGAATGTTTTAATGAAAAACCTGAAAGCGGTATAATTGAATTACTATTATCCTTTAAGTTGTTTATGAAATCTATTACATGTAATCTACGAAATCGGCCGTTAGTACTACAGTTAATAGTCCATATTTATAAAAATGAATCATTTACGTTGAAGTAAAAGGTTTTGCTCTGATCCATTAACGTAATCTCAGCCTTTTCCTTGCAAGGAAACGCTTCCGATAAATAAAGTAAATGGTACAGAGATTAGCGATTTCGCCCAACTAGTCGAAACGAGTTTAAATGTTTCTAAACAGTTCTAAATGATTCTGGAGCGTTCTAGATTAACCTAGACAGTTCTAGATGACCCTGGAGCGTTCTAGATTAACCTAGACAGTTCTAGATGACCCTGGAGCGTTACAAACGATTCTAAACAGTTTTAAATGATTCTGGAGCGTTCTGGATTGATTAAGACAGTTGTAAATGATTCTGGAGCGGTCTAAATGGTTCTAGACAGTTCTAACATAATTGCACCCTGTCAGCCATAACAAACACAGCCAAAATACAGACCATTTTTTTACGTTTTTACATAAGTTGTGTGGTGGCTGAGTAACTACTGAAAAGATTGTGAAAAGTTGCTATGAACCTAGATTCCATTTTTACAAGCAAATCCTTTTCTCTTAAAGGAAATAATTATTTTTATAAATACGGAAAAATTAAAACCGTTAGCTTTAAATCAAACAGCAGAGTCCTCAAAGCAAAACCTCTTCCTCCACTTCTTTGCATAAATACAGCCTATTATGTCTGTATTCTACTGGTCCATTTGCAGATATTTGTTCAAAATTCTATTAAATTTATAAATAGAGGTTTTTTTATAAATAATTATTAATTGTATTAAATTTATAGGCGAGACATACGAGTGCATTCGAGAGGACAAGGGTTTCAGATTCATTTCGGAGCAAGTGTCCCATCATCCGCCGGTGAGCGCGTGCTACGCGGAAAGTCCGAATTTCACGTTTTGGCAAGACGCCCGCGTGAAAACCAAGTTTTGGGGCAAGAGCATGGAATTCCAACCGTTGGGCTGCGTCAATCTCCTCCTACCGAAAACCGGCGATTTGTACACGTGGAACAAAGTGACCACGTGCGTGCACAATTTATTCAGCGGCCAGAGATGGGTCGATCAGTACGGCGAATTGAGGATATCCAACGGCAGGATCACTTGTAAGCTCACCTTCGCGAAAGCCAGCAATTGGTCGTCGAAGAGGCACGAGGTACTGCTCGTAGATCGCTTCAAAGCATAGCTATCTACTTATAATACTAGATAATGAATAAGGGTAAAGGGGGTAAATAAGTTTTGCTTCCAATCGAGGCCATATTGGAAGTGGAAAGTTAAAAGTGTTGCATACATTTTATATATTCATCTCATATTTAAACACATTTTAACATTTTAAATTTAATATTACAGTATTATTGATGCCTGAAAAGAATTTATTTAATTGTTGCCGTATACTTACTCCTTTTAATTGTAAATTATAAACACGATTTACTTGGTGAAGCCTTCGTTTCAGTTAAGTTCAAATATTTGTTACATGTTACATGAAAAGATATTCCTTCTTTTAAGTGGTCGCTTGTTTTACAGACATTATGCTACAATACTTTGTCTGAAAACATAGGTTGAAAAAGTGTTCCGTTATTTAAGCATAAAACAGGATTCCTAAAACGGCCGCTAGGAGGCGATGTTGTAAAGGACACGGTTTTTTGCATACGAATTATATAGAATTAGCATTACAAAAGATTTTATTCAAACTAAAAATATGTAGAAAATATACAAATATTCTTAAATCAGCGATGATTTTGTTTAACATCATGCCTCACGTATCTTCGGTTAATTTATTTCTCCATTTTCTCTTCGAAATGTCATAAAATAATTTTTGAAGTTTTGACAGCTTGAACTGTCGTCTCATAACCGCGAATTATAGGTAGCGCGACGCTGATTGGCTGAGATAATTTGGTCTAAGTGAGATAAGTTCGTCAAAAAGTCTTCAAATAACGGGACACATTCTCTAATGCATAAGAATAGGCTGTTTCCAGACCTTAGAAATATACGGCCGAGGTGAAAGCTGACTTTTTGACTTGTGCATATTCTAGTATTATTATATTTGATTTCTATGCTTCAAAGGTAATCTAACGGTTTTTTTAATCGTTTCCTTATCGTTATTAGATCGTAGGAGCGGTGTACGACGAGGCGGGCCAGCCGGTGCACAAGCTCTTCGGCAAATGGTCCGAGTCTCTCTATTGCGGCGTGGCGCCTTCGGCGAGGTGCATTTGGCGCGCCGGCACGCTGCCGCCCAACCAGGAGCTCTTCTACGGCTTCACGAGGTTCGCCATCGAATTGAACGAATTGGGACCCGATTCGCAGTGCCTGCCGCCCACCGATACGCGCTTCAGGCCCGATCAGAGGGCGCTCGAAGAGGGCGATCTCAATACGGCCGAAACGTTGAAATTGCAACTCGAAAGCATGCAAAGGGACAGGTAAAGTTTTAACACTTGAAGTTCGTACGTTTCAAAATGACAATGACGTCATTTTTAGTCATCTCCGCGCAATTCAACAATTCCCCAGTGCCAATGTTATTCCGCCATTTGACTAGGAGAATTTTACTGAGCGCTGTTGAAATGCCGACGCTTTGTTGCTATATCGTTGGTCCCAAAATTACGCTACAGTTCTAAATGATTTTGGAGCGTTCGAAATGATTCTATAGACAGTTCTAAATCATTCTGGAGCGTTCGAAATGATTTTAGACAATTCTATATGATTCTGGAGAGTTCTAAACAGTTCTAAATGGTTCTGGAGCATTCTAAATGATTCTAGACAGTTATAAATGAATTTGGAACGGTCCAAATGATTCAAGACAGTTCTAAATGATTCTAGAGCGTTCTAAATGATTATGAAACGTTCTAAATTATTCTGGACAGTTCTAAATGGTTCTAGAGTGTTCTAAATGGTTCTAGACAGTTCTAAATGATTCAATAGACAGTTCTAAATGACTCTGGAGCGTTCTAAACGATTGTAGACAGTTCTAAATAATTCTAGACAGTTCTTAAAGTTTCTGGAGAGTTCTAAATGGTTCTGGAGTGTTCTAAACATTTCTAGACAGTTCTAAATCATTCTGGAGGGGTCTTAATGATTCTGGACTGTTCTAAATGATTCTGGACCGTTCTAAATTATTCTAGACAGTTCTAAGTGAGGATTTCAATTGCAACGCGGCAACGTTGCAACAGGCTGGCTCGTGACGTCAATGTCATTTTAAAACGTATGAACCGTAGTACAAACTTTAACGTGTAACAAAACGTTATAATGTAAAGTTATAGTAGATTAATATGTTATTTGCTGTTGTTTAGGAGGAAGCGCAGGGAAGAGTTGAATTTAGGTTACGAGCCGAGGTGGTTTTCCTGCTCGCAGGACGACACCTGGCAGTACAACGGCAAGTACTGGGATATGCGGAAGAATCCGGGATTCGCCAATTTGCAATTCGAATCGTTGTGGTGACCTGAAGCGTGCTTGCTTAGTTTGCATTTGTATAGATTCGGATTTCGAAAAACGCTAAACGGTGATCGGTAATTTTTTTATTTTCTTTTTTTTCTTTCTGGATTTATAAGTTTCGGAATACGCCCGAAGAAGTTTCACAAATGGTGGACATTGATTGTTATACTCGTTTAGGTGTGATTCGAATTTTCATATTATTTATGAAATTGATGGACAAACGATAATGAAACTCCGGGCGTATTTATTTTGGTTATTTTGTTAAGTTTTTGAATAGATATATTATAGTTATACATATACGTGGTATGTTAAAATAGCAAATTACTTTAGTTTTTACTCTATGTAGATGATTTATTTTGAAGATATTAAAAAGTAACGATGTATCAACTTCTGGAAAGTATGTACATATTTTAATAAATATTATCCGTGTACATATTTCATAATCTATTATAGAATATTAGAAAAATTGTAAAAAATCTGTGTACCTATATTATAAATTGAAAATTTTAATAAGGTATACTTTCATCTAATGAAATAAAACAATCCCAGTTGAGACCTTTGGATATAGGTAGTGTTGCTCTCTATTAAATCATTGTGAATTTATTTTAAACTTTTATTGGCTGTGTTTTTAATATCTTCAAAATTTGGGAAATTTCAGTTTGTTCCAAATAGTGGTTACATTTAGAGTTACATTATAGAATGATTGCAGCAACAGATTTTCCTATTTTGGGTGTTTTAAATTTGGTCCTACTTGAACAATATTTTATTTAACTGTGTATTAGGAAATTTGGAATTTTGCCGATTGATATCCTAACGAGTACTCTTCATTTTTAATTTTGTTAATTTTAGGTCGATTGAAATTTTGGACCGACATGTAATTTTTCCAAGAATGAATGTACTAGAAAAAATCGATACCCTTTACAATTGAGATTATGTCAATTTTAATTACGTATAATTTATTTTAATTTTTCACTGTTTTTAGTAGTAAATATTCGATAATTGTACTATTAATCATGTATTCAAATTTAGGAAATTCAAATATATATGCCTAAATATTTGGAATGCTGGATATCAGTTTTACTATTTGTATTTACTTATGTCTGAACAAATTTGTAAATTTTAAAAGTGACATCCGGTTAGAAATAGAAAGTTCCACCATAATATATTGAATCGCAAAATGAATTTAAAAATGATATAAATGTGTTATATAAAAAACCGTTCTAGTCATTAAAATTAAAGTTATAAAAAGTTATAGGAAAATTTATGACAGTTATTAATAAAATATGAATTTAAAAAAGTACTACAACTTTGCTAGAGCATTTAAAGTTTTTTATTGTTGTAATTACATGACTTTGAATCTACTAAAAATAAAAAAGCTCAGTTAATTATTATGGCTCGAACTAAAGTTAATTACAACAGTAAATTGAACATGTTATCAAATAACAAATTTTATCGTTCTTGCGAGTTTATTTGTTATTTGTATTACTAATTTTGGTATTACTTGTGAAGTATTTTTTGCAATTACAAATTGTCCTCTGCCTAATTAAGCTAATTAGAGTAGATTACTTCATATAAACCGAGTAAAACCGGAATTATTAATCGCCCAAGACAAGTAATTATTACGACAATACTTTTGAATATAGCATTGGAAATTTTAAAATTCTTCTAATATGTTTTAATACTGTACCTGCATAGTCAAATTCAATTACTGATGAAGCTTTAGCAAGGTTTAAAAATTCGATGTATACATATTTAAAAAGTTATATCAGTTTTTATTCTTATACAAACGTTATGGTTGTGAATTTAATAATTTCAAAGCATGTAGACATTTATTCCAGAGTCTCAATGTTGGAACAAATCTAATAAATTTTACAATGTTAATGAGGATTTCATCTTTTGCACTTCACAATAAATGTAAATTACAGTAATAACTACTTTTTCAATATAATAATATTATAGTAGATTATTCAAATATATCAACTTTACAATCCTCATCACTTCAATTAATAGAATTGTCACAGTAAACTTATTAGATTTATTAAAAGATTGATTCATAATGGTTAGAGTTAAATAAGCCAAATCATTGAGGCAGCTCTATATTCGAAAACGGTTCTATAATTTGTTCCTTACATAGAAGCTTTAATCGATTAAAACCAGTTCTCTCTCGTAACATTCCTAATTCGTTTGTAGGATAAAACTTATTTTCGAATTCAAAGCGCCTGTTGATTTTTAGACTAAAATAGCGCGCCTAAGCGCCATTTTAAACGTCAATTGCTACAATTAAATTAAACTAATATACTACGCACTTTCAATGGGCTGGATAACCTAATTTGTGTTTGCATAATGTGCTATGGCTTCGAGGATTTCAAGTAACACCAAGTGCTTGCATTAAATACGTTTTAAATTAAACTTTCTAGATAAGTTCCAAGGGTGCTTACGAGTTATCCTTACCGAATGTAAAGCTAATACAAAATATACTAATGAAATTTATAAAATGTTGTGTAGTGACATAAATTTAATATGAACTTTATGGGTTAACATACAGAGATTGAAATTAATTTATTTCTAGATTCTTGACATTTTTAATGCAAAGTATATTACATTAATAATTGCTTAAAATAACAGCTATTTCATTAGTGTATTGTGTATATCTTTAAATTGACTTTAACTGTAAGAGCGTTTTCGCACGGTGCAATGCAATATTGCAGGAATATATTGCCGCTAATTACTGATATCCACCGTGCTTCATTTGCGATTGCAACATGGGCATATCTATGAATTGAACAAAGAAAATTTTTAAAATAATAGTTTATCAGAGTGAAAAGTTGCAATGACACAATATCACTCTTTCTTTTTCCTTTATAAGTGTCTAATGGAGCGTTAATAAAAATTATCGTATCGCATACGTGTGAAAACTACAATAAACAATAAATTACTTATTACTAAATAAATTGCTGCAATATATGGCACCGTGTAAAAACGCTCTTAGTGAAAGATACTTCCCTTGAGTGATTTCATATTTGGAACATTTATTTGTTTTGATGAGTATTTTCACTTTGTTGGGAAAAGAATTTAAAAAGGGTGGTAATTAACAAATAATAAATTGCTAATAAAAATTTTGTTATTTGGAATAATGCGCTATATTTATCATTAGGAAACTACTTAGTGAGATTTTTTTATAAATACGGCTTTTGATCAGTTTTATAATTACTATCAGGGTAGCGACAATTATTTAATTGAATAAATATATTTCAATTAAACACAAAGTAATTGATTTTATTTTAATTGATATAGTAATTAGTAATGTAGAATTATTGAACAACAAGAAATAAAGTTCATTTTTGGTAACTTGTACTTTGTTATTTTGGTTGTCTACCTTTGGGACAGGGGTTGCTCATTACAATTATGTATTTATGTAATGAGTAACTTGAACATTCTTCATATATTTTCTTCAAATGATTTGAATTGAGAATTTGAGAAACACTTTCTTCAAGAGTGAAAGGTTTTCAAAATAGTTGTAAATTCTTCTATTTTTTCAGTTAATATTACTAACTTCATATGTGACATGAAAAGTTCAAATTGACATTGTTGACAATTGACATACGACAAGGTCCATCAAAAATGTCAAATGAAAATTTCTTTGTAATGTAACTTTTTTCTCACTGTTTCATTTGATTAAAAAATATTTTGGTTGTTTATAATCGGAGCCTCATTACTTTATGATTTCAAGACAATTTTGGCCTTATTTGTTTGCTGTTGTGTTGTTGTCCTCGGTGAATCTAGGAAGGCAGTGAATTGCCCGAGCATTTGACATTGACGTATTTATTCTAGAAAGGGTAAGGTTAGTTACTATATTTTTCTAATTTTCGGGATGACTGTAGAAGCTTTATATTTACGTAATAAACTGTACATACAAGCATTCATTGCTGTAGAGCTGTGCCAAGACTATTTTAGCTTTCTTGTGGCACTTTCCAATCTGGTGAAATTAACCTTATTGTTTCTTTTTTCAGATCCTTAAGTAGTTCACATTCAGCGTTTTTCGTATTCGTCAAGGTAAGCAGCTTTGAAGGTAATATTAATAGTTAGCCCTGATGACTAATTTAATGTTTACTAATGACAATTGAAAATAGTACTACATTGTGGAATTGCTAAAAGTAATGTGATTTTCGTTTTAATTGTGCTTAAAATTACTCATTGAAAGAATGTTGGTCGAGATTTAAATTTTGGTTCAAATAGTAGCTCTACAACCAGTTATTATTAGTAAACACTGAAAAGTCTCAATTAAAGTACAGGATTTGTATAATTTTAAGGGCACCCTTTTATTTTTAGCCAGAAAATGGCTGTTAAGCAGAAAGTAGTGGAATGTGTAGCACCTACGAAAGAAGCCCGGCTTCAGTTGATATTAAGAGCCCTGCAAGGCCTCTCTGCCCACGATGGACTACACGACAAATTTTGCTCGCAAATCGTAAAAAGTTTAGGAACAGTTCCAATACCAAACGATCCGACAAACTACGTAAAATTCATTGAAGACATCAAAAAAGTTCAAAATATTCTTTCCAAAGAATGCTGTGATCAGAAACACATTTTTATCGCTTTAAAAGCACTGTTAGATGAAATATCGAATCCGGATCCGCACAAGCAATTATCACCTGCAATGTCAATCGTTCTACAACTAATAGATGAAAGTAATATACCCAATGCAGTGAAATACATTTTAAATTGTGGCTATCCTGAACAGAGTCTCGAGAAGGCCTTTTACACGCTCTGTATGTGGTTACCGAAATGCTTTTGGGTAGAAAACCTGGGCCCTCTCGTACTAGCATTCATGAAGGGCTTGGAAGCAGAACACCACTACGATATTCTCATCGATGTCAGCCTGGCAGCCATCGAACCTCTGTTTAAATTAGTGATGTTCCCGAAAATCAGGAAGAGTGTAGGGCCCGTCGTATTGTACATGCTATCGAGAAACCAGCACAACAATCCGCAACTGTTCCACAAAGTCATCCCTCACGCTAAAACCGTCTGTGAAAAATTAGATAAAGAAAGAAGTGAATCTAGTCTGAGGTTCTTGCAAGAACTCGTTAATTTGTTTATAGCTTTAATGGAAATATTTCCGGGCGATTCTGAATTGTATCAGCCGTTAAACGAAGTGTTGCAACCGTACTGCGTGAGTTCCGATTACAAACAGGCCCTGCACTGCAAACCGTGGACCGCCGGCGCAACGTCTCCCGCAACGGAAAAGTATTTCATTGAAAAAGTCGGCCTGAACAATTTGGGGAATACTTGTTACATGAACAGCGTGCTGCAAGCGCTGTTTATGACCAAAACCTTCAGAAACGAGGTTTTGCTGTGCGATAAAGAAATTTCCCAGTTGTTCTCCAAACTGCAAACGTTATTTGTACTGTTGCAGTTCTCGAAGAGGTCCTCTTTATCGCCGAACGATATATTACACCTCTCGAGACCGCCGGGATTCTTGTTGGGTCACCAGCACGACAGTTCTGAATTTTTGGGGTATTTACTGGATACATTACACGAGCAAGAGAAGAATGTTATAAATTCATCGGTCGATTGTGCGGAAGGTAATACTTTCTAATACACCAAATTTATTTATATTCTACGTAATAATTTTTAAGATGAAGGTGCTGGCGCGTTAATGTTGACCGCCGTTCAACAATCGTTCGGTGGGAGAACGGTAACGGTTTCGAGGTGCGGTGAATGTACCACGACCAGCGAACACATGGATCAATTCAGAGAATTGCAACTGTCGTTTCCCAATAATTCCGATAATCAATCGGTGCAGACGCTGTTAGATTACTACCTTCAACCGGAAATGCTCAGTGGCGATAATCAGTATCACTGTGATATATGCAGTCGGCTTACTGACGGCGAGAGAGTTACTAAGATTGTCGAAGCCCCTCCGAGGTTGATCCTGACTTTAAAGCACTTCAGGTAATTGGTTTCGATTTTTATGAGTTAAAATCCATTGTTGTAAACACTTCGAACATCTGTAAAAAAATTAACAAGGACCGTATTTGAGTTGCTCAGCGCCAGAGTGGCCCAACTGCGAAATTGCATTAGCTGGTAGAAATCAGGAAAAGTGCTGCATATTTTCTAAATTTCAAGTCCAAATTGGCTCAAATGAGCTTTTTTAGTTCACTAATAGATATGCGTACTTGGGCCATTTGGGCCCATGTAGACTTGAATTTTATAAAATATGCAGCACTTTTCCTAATTGGTTAATCTGGCGCTGAGCGACTCGTTTAAAGAAATGAAGTTAATGATGGTTTGAAACGACCAAAACGTGTGTGAAGAAAAAAAGTAATGTCATCTTCAAGCTTATTAATATTGAGAAACGTGCTTTCAGTTTTTTCACTAGAAACAAGGAAATATAAATCAAAACCTCACTTTTCTTAATAATTCAAAAACCAAAAACACTACTCAAAATGTGTTGCACTAATTACAGTTTAATACCCTCTATTGCACAACTTTTTCCTAATTTGACCATTGGTCTCTTACAATTTCCATCTTCCATTTTCTCCATCTCTTACAATTTCCAATATCCCCATACTATTCATCCTTATCATACTATCCTGAACCCTTATTCCAGACACACTCTATAATGTGATTTAATAGGCTGTATTCATTAAAAGGAGCATAACCTTTTGCTTCAAAAAATGAAGTAATTGCTTCATGATATATGCGAGAGGACCCTGCTGTCGCTTTAAAGCAAAATGTTTCATGGTTTTAAAACCTTAAACAAACGTTTTAAAACCTTTTTCTCTTATTTTTTACCTTTTACTTCAAAGTAAAATACGCTAAAAGTAAATGCTTCAATTTTGTCAATATGGACTAATGTTTGTAGATACGATCCCGCATCACACCAGCGTACTAAGCTTCTGCAAACTGTAATGCTAGACGATTTCATTACGATAGATTCGTTCAGATACGAATTGTACGCCGCTGTGGTCCACTGCGGCTCCAGCGTGGACTCGGGTCACTACTACACATTGGCCAAAGATAAACTGCAATGGTACAAATTCAACGACAGTTTCGTTAGCAGAGCGACCACAGACGATTTGCGTAAGCTCAAACCGCCGGAGACGGCGTACATCCTTTTTTACAGTCGACAGGACGTGAAGGAGCCGGAGAATCTGCCGCCCACGATATTATCCAGTGGGTTGCAGATCGTATTAACGAAGGATCAATCCGAGTTGGACGCCGAGAGAAATCAGCAAACGGGGAAAATGAATTTTAGACATAACCGGAACGACGAGCCGCCTCCTCCGAGTTGCGGCGGCGGCGGATTCAACACTTCTGGAAACATGTTAGTATGCTAGAGTTCTAATTGGGGTTTTGTAAATAAAGAGATGCTTATAATATTATTATCTTTATTTAATACTTACGTTGTAATGTATATTAAATTTAATTTAATGATTTTATTCAAATATTATTATACTGAACATATTATCTAGTTACGAAAAATTGATTTGTCCACTAAAGATCGATTGTGTATAAAAATAACGTACTGAAAAAAACTTTAATATTAATAAGTCATCATTAAAAACGTATAGAGATGCAAAGTAGCTATCACAACATACGGAAAATTTAGTTTTAACAAACCGCAAAATGTAGAAAAACTTAAGGATATTAATTTATAAAAATGTTTGGTACAAAATATGTTTTGATACAATTATTTATGAGGATAAAATTGAGTTAATAAATGTAAATGAAAATGTTATCGAAATATTTAAAACATGAATTTTGTTGTAAATTGTATAGACTTGAATAAAAGTACTTGTAAAAATTTGACTTACTTTTATAGTGCGAATAATTGACGAGCAAAGTAGATGAAGACGAATCTATAACAAACTTATGATAAATGAAATGTAAGTATAATGGACTCGAGGATATAAGTTCTGCAGATCTGGATGAAAAGCACAAATACAATCAATGAATCAATACCCATCCATTCAATAGCTATAAAAAATAAATTAGCAGTAAAGGAAGGCTCCAAAGCTCTGGATTTGAAAAACCCGGGATTCATATATTTTGGAATATCGGTATAAGATGTACCATGTACCTACATAAATATACTTAAAATGTTTAAATTTTCCTTTACACAGAATTTCCCAAAAAATAGTGGTGTGAGTCACTGATTGATTTCCCATTCCAATCTAATATTTAAAGACGGAAAGAAGAAAAAAATGAAACAATCAAACAGGGTGAGTGAAATATTAGAGAACAGTATTAAATGTTGCTCAGTTAAATTGTTGATCCCGAAAACTGGTGACTTAACAATTACATAACAGTTATCCTATATTTGAAAAACAATCACCAGAAATATACCTCTCGGTAGTTAAGACAAAAACAACACAAAAAACCTCTACATTGTCTATGATGCAACATAAGCGGCTTGGCGAGCGGATAGAAAGCAAAAGCTTACATCATGCACTCGTTTTATTTATTTAAGTCAAACGTATAGTAGAGGTTTCGGCTTGGCGAGCCCGGATTAGTTGTTAACTCGCCGTCTTGAAATGACCTTCTCGGTCTCCCGCGAAACGCCATTTCCACGCCGATTTTCTCAATCGAATCGCCGAACGATCTGTTAGTTACGAATCGCGCCTTCTTCTAACCCAATTACCTTTCTGTTGACCCAAGTGGCGCTAAATTTAGTCGTCGCAGTTCGAATTTCGTAAGGTGTGTGTGTGTGTCCGTTTTGCAACTTTCAAGGCGAGAGAACATTTCGTCGGTGCGGGTGTAAATCGAGTTTTCTCATCGGGAGTAATGAGCAAAAACTTCGGATCACCGCCGCCTTACGGCCCCCCGCAGGCGGCCCCGCCGAGCTATGCCCAGGCCATCGGGGGAGTACCGCCCTCCAGTCCATACGTACCAAATCACGCTCGTAAGTGACCACTATCGAATAGAAACAAAAAAATATATTCGATCGAAACACACATTCCGTATTTGTAAAGACAGAAATACGCACAATTAAAGCAATATTAATCAACCATCATCAGGGATACAAACAAGAAACTACTCTTTATCGTGCTTATTTGTCCTGATGATGGTTGAAAAAGGATCGAGACATTGGTGTACCGTTTCCCTTCACTAAGTCCAAATAACAAACAGACATAAAATCACTTATTTGCAAAGAAAAATTATGATTATTGTTGTTGCATTGTTTTGAATTTTTCAGTGCATGTATATAAAATATTCTGTGATTACCCGGAATAAATAATTTTAGACGAAGACCAAACGAGCGTTATTGCGTTTCAATGGCTGTTTTTAATGATTTTTTAGTCTATTGTTGAAAATTGCTTAAAACGTGTGAAAGTTTTCTCACAAAAAGGACGAACGAGATGTTACCCAATTTTAATTTTGTAATGTAATTTATTCATTGCATATGCTTGTAATGTAGAAATATGGGCAATTTATCTACTATTACTATGTACTTAGAAATGTAGATGCACTTTATTATTCGGTAATATATGGCAAATTTTAGCATTCCTTTCCCTTATTTGCCTTTGCTTTTATAGATGTGCTTTGTCGTAATAAAACTGTTTAATTTTTCTTCGTTTATACTGAAAAAATAGCGAAATATTTACTGAAAAAATAGTACCTTATTTACAGCACTCCTTAAGTAGCAATTAAAATTCTTATTTTGTTATTGACATGCATACAATGTATAGGTAAACAGCAACTTATATAATTGCAGATCCATTTTATTCATTAAGTAAACAACAATTTTATTATCGAATGATTTATTCGACTCGCATGATTGAAAATTTAAAATGCGACCGATTATATGATTGGATTTATACGTAATTGATCCGAATTCCTTTAAAAGCCCACCGAAATTTTCATATCTACTTTATTTTATATTATTCGAATATCATTAGTGCCGACTAAAATTAACTCTTATACATAAATTATTGCTGTTTGTTTGACTTTAACTATCCTCCAATTAATATTGCTTTATTAATAAAATAGGCCAAGCCGGCGGAAGTTTCTAATAATGTGTGGTAATATTTATATTGAAAAATGCACCATGAACGCATATAAATTTGTAATACTTTGTAAATATTAGATTAATTAATTTTAGTAGATAATGTTGCTATACAGGGTGATGTAAATAGACGTTTGATTTAATAAAATGGCTTTAAACATTTTAATAAATTTGTGAAATTATAGGGAAAAACAAATCAATTTTATGGAAATATACCTACACTTTCAATTCAACCTCTCTAATTTGTTATTCTACCATTTCAAAAGTATAACAAATTCATAAAAAAAACAGCAAAATTTGTACAAAATGGTTAACACATGCAGCACCATACATTCTGATGTTGTTGTTATCACTGACGCAAATGCACTCATCCATTTCACTACTTTTTTAACAGCCATTTCTCGATAAAAAGTGAATTTTTTATCGTCTTTATACGGCCATGACGTATTTCTCTTTTTTAGTAGTCACAAAAGGACCGTCAGAAATCGTGACGACGGTGGTTCCGGTGGGACCGAATCCAACGCACATGATATGTCCACATTGCCAGGCTGAAATATACACCACGACAAAGACGGCTCCTGCGAACGTTTGCCTCGCTTTATTAGGGTAAGGCCCGTTGAATTCATTAAATGTATTGCCGTCATATTAGCGAGTAAAAATAAAGTGGCTAGTTAATTTAATGACCAGAAACGGTTTCGACGAAAATTAGCCAATAATGGAGCTTTCATAAAAAAACCTACCAATATTTATGTAGCAGGATCACGTAGAGCAAATAACGTAAAACAAGCCTAATTAAAAAGGCTAACGTTTTGTTTATACCATTATTCCTAATTGCTTCCTGCGGTTCTTACAAAAATGTGATTACTGTACTCTAAACAGATGCAATTTACCAGTGGAATAAGCAACTAGTGTTCTTTTTTATTTTACAATCTAATTTATTGACCTTGTAAATGTCAAGGATAAAATGTTCATTTAAAAGGTCGAATGAGTAATTAGGATGTGTATAATACGAGACATATGTATTAATACATCTTTTAGGTTATACAAGTCAACTGAGCAGTAAATTTAATTAGTTTATAATATGTTCGATTTTATTGTTATGGCTTTATTCTTGCTTAAATTGCGTGGATGTATAAACATTTCGATGTTCGAAATGAATCGCAACACAAGCAAATATCTTCAAAAAATTATTTTAGTTGCAATTTACAATATCACGCTATAGAGATTAGAAAGGTGAAGTTAATGATTTATCTAGAATGAATAAATAAATTGAATAGACACATTTTAATAAAAGTGAGAATAAAAAAAATGTATAGTGTACCGTTGAAAACGATTAATTTTCTGTTGTTAATTTAATAAAGCTCGATAATTTAAAATTTTCATATCTTTCAACCTTTTTGGAAATACTCTGTATATCTAAAACTTGAGATTCGAGAGAATCCCGAGGAAAATCCATTAATCTATTTGGGTATATGGGTCAAGTCGATTGATAGCTATAAAAATTTTCTTTGTGCGAATCTCATTTATTCGTGTACCGTCTTCTCTAATATCCCTGTTAATCATTTCAAATTTCCATTATACACCATGTTTACACTCCTTTTATCGACCATTGATTTCAGGTAACAAAAAAAAAACATGACCAAATAAAGAAAAAATCAATGCTGAAGGATGGAGATGCATTTCATGAAATATTTTATTTTTTTTATAAGACATATTTATTTCAATCGTTGTTGAATTACAATTCGTTCACATTCTAAAAAGCTCAACAAATCCATAAGAAATGTTCATTAGGATTTTTGATGATTCTCCGCATTAATATTAATTGGAAAAAAATCAAAAATTTATAACAGTCCTCATTAATATTATAATGCTTCCTACAAATTTTTGAATCGGTAAGGTATGCGCTTAATAAATCGATATATAGCCGATACAGGTAGGCGTGTATAGAATTTTTCATTTCCAGTTTCTAGATTCCAAAACGGTATTCGTACATTCATACGTATCTACTTGTTTGTTTGAAACGTTATCACGACCATGTTAGGAGATGGACCAGTGGATATGTAGCGATGACCGTTTCTTTTCTCGTTCATCGAGAAACATCATTCCTTAGGGAATTCCTTTAACCATTTATTTATTTCAACTGCAAGACTCAGTTTCTGCAATTTTATACGCTTTTAATTGCAGCTACAGACTGACCCGTTAAATTATTGATAATGGTATATTTTAGAGACAAAAAAAGTAGGATATTTTAGTCTTCAAAAAGAAATTATTTTAATTTCATTACCTAGAATAATGCATTAAATTTGTTTTATTATTTAAAAAGACATTTGCGAGCAATAGTTTTGAGGAAAAACTCGTGAATATAACGTGAAACGCGTAAAACTAACGTTTTACAGTCGGGTATAAATAGATTTTCAATGACTTTTAATCATACCTATACCCACTCGCTGATGACGACCAATGTCAAAAATTTTAAATGTATACAGGGTGATACAATAATTCCCTAGAGAATAATAACAATTTAATACCTTCATGGCAGACCATATACATGCTTGCGCCTACAAGGTAACCATTCAGTAACTGACCATATACAGGGTGTCACAGAAAGGTTGGGACATGGCTTAAATGCAGAGACTTCTGAGACGAAAATAAGATGATTTTAATATATAAAAAAATAAGATAAAGATAAAATTAAAAAAAGAGATTTTTCAATATTCGGTTAGAATGGATATTTTTATGAAATTTTGCACGGAATATTTAGCTTAGTTACCTATTATTGCGTGAAATTTTATTTAAAAATGATAAATCAATCTCAAATTTAACAGGGGGTCCAACCCCTTTACAGCTAACTCTTCCACTCTTGTAAATTTGTTTACATCATCATTTTTTGTAAAAGTCTATAGTGAAGCCACATTTCAACCTTTTTTCGACACTTACAGGGTGTATCTAAATAACCGAAAAAAATTAAGGGGTGATTTTGTGTTGAAAATTTGAAGTATGTTTAGAACCTGTTTAGTACCCTGAAGTATGTATAGAATTAAGGATTGAATTATAGTCAAAGTTTTTGTATATAGTTTTTGAAAAAAAATTATACCAAGTACCCGCCTTAATTTTAACCACAGAATCATTTTCGGTGTTATTTAGATGCACCCTGTATAACTATTTTTTCATACATATTATTTATGCGATGCACAAAGGAATTTAAAATACATTTCGAATTTACCTCTCCATCGAACTCTTTTATTAATTTGATATTTTTGTTCCAGATGCTGCCTTATCCCTTGTTGTATGGATAAATGTTTAAACGTGTCCCATTCCTGTCCCAATTGTAATAATTACATTGGAACATACAAACGATAAAAAATTGTAACATACATATAATGAACCTGGAGTATTTCGACTCACTTGATTTAGCTGAATGATGGATTTTGGAGAAAGAGCGATATTTTTATTAATTAGGAATTAACATAATTCGTTTCAGGCTGTCAGTGAATTTGAGAACGCTTGTACAAAGGATTGGAATATTTTAGCATTTATATTTAATGAAGTAACCTGTTGGAAAAGATCTGCAATTCTAATTTTTCAATAGCACGCATACTTAATGTTAAATCATCTGATTTAATTAAATCATTTTAATTTTGCAAAATCATAAATTGCGCGTATATGTTGTTGAAGATAAACCGAATGTGTTCTTATATTTTTTATTTTACCTACACCTTTGGATATTTTTGTAGGTAGAAACAATAATAATTGTATTTGTGCCTATTATTAAATATGACTTTAATAATTACTTAAAATTATAGGTAGTTAAAAAGATTGTATAATTAGTTGCACCTTTGTTAATATTTTTGTATTACTTTACTAATCTTTTAAAATAGTATCCAATTAAACGTGTTAAAAGAGTATTTAACTAGTGTACTTATCTAGTGTATAACTAATAAATAAATAATTATTATGTATAACTTATGATACTTTTTTTTAATTTCCAGTTTTTTTCAAAAGTTTATCATTGTTGCATTAAAAACGTTTGTAAACAGAATTGTACTAATTTTATTGTAATTATATACCCATATTTTTAAATAAATAAAACATTAAATAAAGACTTACTCATTACAGCAACCCTTGAAAGCCATTATTCTCAATTTTGAAGAAATTCACGGCAATTCACCAAAGTAACGGAAGAAAAAAATTAGGGGAAAGACATATGACATATCAATGTCATACGTCAAGTTGTAGAGAAAGATTTCTTCAAAATATTTCATCTTTTATCAAATTATACCCTATGCCATCTAATTCTTATATATCAAAAATAATTTGAAATTAAACTAAAAATGTATTTGGTGTCTTATGAAACATAAGTTACAGATAAAAATAAAAAGAAGAATATATGTACAAGAAGAATATTTATCTTTTTGCCCTACTGTCTAAATAAACTGTCAAACAGTTGGCCAACGTGACAAAGCATTTGATTATATTTATTAATTACCCTAAAATTACCTATTTTTATTTATTTTGTTTTTAATTACATTATATCCAAATCTTGGCAAAATGGCTGGTTCTGCTTTGAGAAGATTAATGGCCGAATACAAACGTTAGTATAAAATTCACTAAACATCGAATATCTTACTAAAATATTATTTTCTAGAGCTAACATTGAATCCTCCTGAAGGAATAATCGCTGGTCCAATAAACGAGGAAAATTTTTTTGAATGGGAAGCTCTAATCACGTAATTTAAATAATCATATATAATTTCCACTCCTTTATCACATTCATTTCAGCGGGCCTGAAGGGACTTGTTTCGAAGGAGGTGTATTCCCTGCGAAGCTAGTTTTCCCCCCAGATTATCCCCTAAGCCCGCCTAAAATGCAATTTACGTGCGAAATGTTTCATCCAAATAGTAAGTGTTACTACATAAACCTACTCAAAGTATTACCACTAACATTTATACTCTTCCCAATTTGCTTTATAGTATACTCAGATGGTAGAGTTTGTATATCAATATTACATGCTCCGGGCGATGACCCAATGGGGTACGAATCAAGCGCAGAAAGATGGTCGCCCGTACAAAGCGTAGAAAAAATACTACTATCTGTTGTCAGTATGTTAGCAGGTATTAATTAATATTCATCAGAAAATTGTACATACAAAAATTATATTTCGTTATTTTAGAGCCCAACGATGAAAGTGGTGCCAATGTAGATGCTGCGAAAATGTGGAGAGAGAATAGAATTGAATTTAACAAAATAGCCGAGAAAATTGTTCGACGAACGCTAGGTATCCCAACTTAATTCAATTTCCCATAAATTAAGTACATAAATTGTTAATATGTATATTTTGTTTCAAATATTAATTTATTCAGCGGAATATCGTGATATTTTTAAAATTTTTATGTTGAAAATAATTGATTTTTAATTAATATAGTAAGTTAAGTACAAATAAATGAAACGTTTTATTAAAATACTATTTAACATGAACGAAACAAATCTTAGATCTAGGTCTCAAAAAATACAATTAACTAGTTCAATTATAATGTAGACATTTATTTTATACTACTGCTTGCAAGTATAAGAAAAATATACTTAATTTGATAGGTGTATCAACAGTTTTAATCTTACTGTTTATAATATAAAAAAATGGAAAATGAACATTTCTGAAAAAACATTGCTGAGCTTATTCAGCATGTTTCTTTTTCTTCTTTTTCTTTTTCTCTGAGACTGGCTCTTCAGTAGAACTGGTTTGTTCTGGTACCTCTTCCTTGGCTTTCTTTTTCTTCTTTTTCTTACTAACGGTTTCCGATTCATCTTCTCCCTCGATTTGTTCGTGCACACTTTCATCAAGTTTTTCGGATTTAATTTTCTTCTTCTTCGGGACTTCTGTGGCTTCTGAAACCAAAATAAATGATAGATACAAGTTGCACATTAGAAATTATTGAATAAAAGTACCTTCTACTTCTTGTTCCAATTTAAGTTTCTTCTTCTTAGAAGATCCCGGAGTAGCCACATCTGTTTGGCTCTCTTCCTTAATGCCTGATTCGGTTCTCTTTCTTTTGCCCGCAGCGGGAAGTGTTGAATCTGCAGCGTCTGGATATTGTTTGATTTCGCTAATGCCATGGTATTTCTCGAACTTGGCTTTGGCTTTGCCTGTACCGCTAATCCTTCTCAAGTTGCCCTCTTCCAAAAACCTTAACCTCGATTCCAATTTAGCCTTGTGTTCGGCTCCTGTGGAATTATGAAAATTTTATTTATTGGTTCAATTACTCGATTCGAAAACTCACCTAATGTAAATGTACCGTCTTCTCCAAGAGCATCCACACGAGTGGCCAGAGACGCTTTGGCTGCCAACATTCTCGACATTTTCCCTTTATTTTTTGTGCTGGATTGTCCGACTAACTGCGAATGGTAAATGAGACCATACTTTGGGGTATCTTTTTTCGTCTTGAGCGCTCTAAATAGGGCCTTTTCGGCACCGAGAATCTGCACTGTGGAAGCCGGGTGTTTAGCCAAATTAATCAGAGACCCAGCGTGGGAAATTAATCTAGCCCCAACCAAATCTCCCACGAGTACAGTTAAATTCGGAGCCATCGCCATCATTCTCGACTTTAAGTAATCGTACAATTGCGTACGATAATTAGTTATTTCGATGATCTGATCGCATAAATTCTGTATGTTAATTATATCTTCATCAGAAATTTCTGTTCCCATCGAAATTTCGGCAGCTTCTTTTACTTTCTCCTCAATTTCTTCTGGTAGTATATCAGATAAATCCGAGGTGGATGTATTTTCTCGCGTACCGATAATAAGTACTGTTTTGGCGAAAACTACATTATCCGTTACAATTTTGCCCAATTCAGGAAAATGCCAACCGTACCATTCCCTGCATCTCATGACGTAATTATTGAGCTCCTTGTCTAAATCGTCCAGTAAAGATACGGCCTGTACTATCATCGTATCCACTTTATCCGGGGAGAATTTGAGCTTATACCTGGACAACGAATGAGCCAGACCCAACGCCATAGCTGTCATTTCTTTCTTCGGTAGACCGGAAATCAAGCTGTCTAATTGTGATCGAATGCATCTCATTAGTTCTTGCACAGCAGTATTCGAAAGGCATTGCAAGCTGAATTTCTCTTTAATGGCCGATCCCAATTTCGCGTCGGCGACTAAAAGTTGTTCTTGTAGATCCTTATCTACATGTTTCTTCAAAACCTTTTTCAAGCTCTTCGATATTTTACCCTCTACCGCCGCTGTTGTGGCCGCTAGGGCTTCTGTGGTATCGCAAAACTTCTCGAAATGCTTCAATTTTACACTGCAAGTAGATTCAATCGTTTAATTAGGGTATAAACAAGAAATTCAGTCACTTACACTCTACTAGCGGAGTCTGGGCTCGCAAAATCCAGATATAAATTTTCTGTTTCCTTCAACTTCTTATCATCCAGAAGCTGAAAGCGTGGTTAAAGTTAGGTTAGGATTCCGAAAGTTTAAAAAAAACTAATATTACCTTAAATATAGCATATCCGGCGGGCGTTTCAAAAAGAACCAGCATTTTGTTAGTGTATCAAAACGCTCAAACGGTGCACATTAATTAAAAACCATTAATAATCAACTCCAAAATACTCGAGACTTTATGGAAGTCAAAAAATATCAAAATTGATTTGACAAGTGGCAGAACGGGTACGGGTGACAAATGACGGATCAATGTGGATATTTTCTTCTTTACGCTTGTTTAAACGATTTTTAGAGAGTGCGTTCCGAATGTTATAAAGTAAATTGCAATTTTTTTGAAAAAAAATAGATATTTCTAAATTTTTTGTTACCCAAATAATATTAGACCAAGTTAAAGGAAAAAGAAAACGGAATTAGTTAGTTTAGACAATTTTCTATGTGCTTCCGAATGAGATGCATTACGGAACGTACCCGTTTTCGGTCCAGATGTTTTGATATTTTGATTGTTGTTTTGTGTTGCATATTGCGGTTTGTGAAGTGAGCTTTCATTCTAAAAATAAACAATAACTAGTCCTTGTATTTCCATTATCCTGGAAATCTGGAAAGCCCGTTGCTGAAAAATTCCAGGAAGAGTCATAAAACCAAATAAATTGCGATGCACGTGGTTTAGCCATAAAGCGAACAGTAAATTGGCAACCTGGTTAAACTCAGAGGCAATCATATTGCAGAAACTGAAAAATTAAAAATGAAACGGAAAAGAAAGAATGCCTGTCCGTCTCCAATATTAGACGACAGCCCCAAAAGGTAAGCAAAATTAAATACTCTACAAATTTGAGCATACCAGAATAATAAAGAATATAACTCTTAAGTAACATATAATGCTTTCCTTTTAATTACCTGTTATGTGCTAATTTAGTATATAAAATTTGTGTAATTTTCCTTTTAGAACAAAGGTTCACGCTCAACGGAAGTTCGCCCAAGGATCCAATGTTAACAGCCCAGTAATAACACCGATAAGAGAACTGGAATCCGAGAGTCCTCAGGCCGTTGCACTACCGGAACCCGTCGAGCTCCTACCAATTAAAAGACCCAACACCGAAGACTTCCTGACGTTTCTGTGCTTTCGCGGCACCCCTTTGCTACCTCCCACTTTGAATTTCTTCAACACAGCCTCTATAGTCGACACGAACGGTCAAGTCCATGAGATCAAAAGCGAAACGACCCACAAAAACGGCCCCATCGACATCGCGAAATGCAGCTCGTCCAACGAGAAGCCCTTCGTTGCGTTCGGAGTGCGCAAGAGGGCCGATCCGATCGTAATAAGTCGCCAGATGGACAGGAAACGGCGACACGCTCTCGCCCTGCAAGCGCTGCGCAGGAAGTACCAGGAGCAGAAAATGGCGAAGATTCGCGCGCTGACGATTAGCAAACTATCGGAGAAAGTTACTAATAAAACGTTAGTAAGAACCAACACGGTATCGAAAACCGAAACGATTACCAAAAAAACCAATGACAACACCCTTCAAAAGACCAAAGTCGTCGCTACCAAGCACATTAAGGTAACGACGAGCACACTAAAAACTACGATGAGACCAAAAATGAAAATGAAGCAAAACATGTGCTTAAGGAGCTTCAGGGGCAGGTTCATCCAGCAAGAACTACCGTTTAGGAAGAAAGTCATAACTAACAAACCCATTAGTTCCAAAACCACCAAGAAGAAAGTCATTCAAGCCAAAAAACGGGATGAAGACGGCGAGAGAAACAGCGAGGCATCTACCAGCAAGCAAATTAAATCTCCACCGGTTAAAAAGCTCATCGCACCAACTCATTCCATCAGGTCAGTAATCACCATTATTATCTCGTACAATTAATACCTACTCTACAATTTACAGTACCCGCTCTATGAGATCCAGTCTAATTAATTCGGCAGCTGAAATAAGAAGGAAGCAAATCAAAAGGATATTAATACCCAATTCTCACACCATCATCAAACCGATGCAAAGGTCCCTTCGATTGACCACTCTGAAGAAAAGCATACTGTCCCAAAGGCAAAATCACCCGTTGAAAATAAAACCGCCGATGAGAACTTCCATCGAGAATTCCAAAAAGCAGGAAAACAGAAGCGAGCAGAAGAAAACCGTAACAAATAAAGGAGAAATACACAAAACGGAAACGAAAACTTTGAGAGAAACTATCAACCACAGCTTAGAGTCGAAGGCGAGCAACAAAGGCAAGGTCGTCATCAAAGATTATAAGAAAGTTTCCGACTTGAAAGAACTCAGCAAAATACTGGATAGGAACAGAAGGCATTTGACGAGATCTACGGATAACAAAAAGGAAATTAACATATCAACTAATTTCAAAAGGAGGAACAATCTGGCCGTTGCGATAAAGAGAAGTAACATCACAGATGTCGTTAAGAAACAAATTAACGCTAAAAGAAACCTCCCCGGGGAATCCCTAAGGAGGACTACCAGACAAACAAGCAGCTTCAGCGACAAAACGGATAAGAAAAATAAATCTAAAAGCGTCGAAAAAGAAACGTCCGATGATGATGAAAATACAAGTAAAAGTGATGGAAAGAAAAGCAAAACGAAGCAAGTCAAGCCCGTTGAAGATAAAAAGGAATATATTACGACAGATTCAAATACAAGTGATGATGAGATTGCGAAGAAAACTAAGAAAATAATACAAAAACTCGATAGCGAACAAGATGACGAAAAAACCCCGGACAGTAAAATTATTGATAACAGAAGCAAGAAAGGATCAACTAAAAGTGAAAAAATTAAAAAAGATAGCGAAGATGAATCAGACGAAAGCGAATTTGATACAAATAAATCCAAATCGAAAACCGACATATCGACTAAAACTAAAACCAAGAAAAGTATCGACAAGACGATAGAAGATAAACCATCGGAAACTTTAGCAAACGAAGAAGACAGCGACAAAGAGGAATCAAAAAAGAATCCCCTTTCGGAGAGTACCGATAAAAAGAAAAGAGAACTCGAAGAAGTACTCAGCGATGAAGATACCAAAAAAGAGCCTCATTTAACCAGGTTACGCAGAGAAAGGGAAGAAATCGCCCCTAGATCGCAAAGACTGTCGAGAAAAACTAAAGAAGCCGCCGCTATTTACATGGAATTGCTCAGCCAAAAGCTCGTAAACGACGCTGGAGGAGACGACGACAGCATATCCATAGACAGTTTTCCAGAATTACCGAACGTCAAAAGAACAGAACAAAGAGAAAACGAATTGAAAGCTAAAGCTAAAACCACTAAGGACGATAAGGATACAGAAGAGTCTGATATTCAAGAAATCTGTTCGAAGAAAGACCTAGAAAACGATGGTAAAAGTAGAAATAAAGACATTGAAATCGAAGAGAACACGAAAGATTCTGAGAGTAGTATAAAAGTTAAAAATGATTCGGGAAGTAAAAGTAGCAACAAAAGAAAAGGTGCAAATGATGAAATCGTCGAAACGAAATATCGCAAATCGCAAGAAACCGCGAAAACACCCGAAGAGAACAAACCGAAACGCGCCATGAGATATTCTTCCAAGATCATCGAATGCGACGACGATTCCGACGAATCGTTCCACATCGACGTCAAGGTGCCCAGGAAGAAGAAGAACACGAGGAGCAGGGTCTCCACCAGGGCCATCAAATCCCTCAACATTTCGTCCAGCGACTCCGACCAATCCACCACCTCCGACAAAAACTTCACGCCCGATCTCAACAAATACAAAACCAAGAAATTCACCAAGACCAAATCGATGAAGAAAGCCGACGACAGCTACACGGACACCGATGATGACGAGCCGCTGTCGAAACGTACGAGCAGAACGGCCGAGAGCAGCCAGAAGACTTCCGTGAAAACCAGAAACGCGAAGGAGAGGGCCAAAAGATCGCCGGAGGTGGAAATAATCGAGCCGAAACCGAAGCGAGAATGCGCCAAGCTGCCGCAAAACTACCTCCCCATGTTGTCTTCCTCCGACGAGGAGGAGATATTCCACGGTTTCGACGAGAAAGTCGAGACGAAACCGGTCGAAACGTACGAGCCGCCTTGCGTTCACGCGCCCCCGCTGCTCGACCTGCTCAACAACGACGTGGACCGGCGGTACGGCAAGGAGAAGGTCAACATGTCGAACGAGCAAATCGAAAAGTGGCTGAAGGAGTCCGCCCTGGCCGGCAGCGGCATCAGAAAGGAGAACGACGAGATGCTGAAATTCGGCGAGCGAATTCCCACCGAGACCAGCCTCGACGTCTCCCACACGATCGACACGGAGAAATTGAAGCGGTCGCTGCTGGGCGAGCAAAAAAGCCAGTCTAAGGAAACCAAAACCGACGCTACCAGCGTCTCCAAACCGGCGAGCGTTACGAAATCAGTGGATTCTTCGAAACCGCCGCTGGATAGGAAGCTGATCTTCAGGAAAAGCAAGTGCGAGACCGCGAACGCGCCTAATGTCAGCGCATTTTCGCCCGAGAACGAGAGCAGCGTGTACGCCTTCGGCGAAGACAACGAGGATACCATCAGCACGCCATTCAGGAGGCCCTCCAGACGCCCGTCGAGCACGGCCACGTCAAAGTCCGAGGATGAAAGTTCCAAGCAGGATGATGCTTCGCGAACAGGTATGATTTATCAATAATACCCTAGTTTTCTTCATTATTAGAGGAAGTGCACCATATATGGATCACCATAAGCACTTTTCTCAATAAAAAGTCTAATTTTAAATTTGAATCAGCTTTATGTATATTAAACAATTACTTAACCATTTAGTTAAGAAAAACTCGTAATAAAATTCTCCAAAAAAACAAAATCTTTGAAATAAATAACATTTTCTAAAGTACATATACCATTTTTATGTTTTGAACTTTTAGAAAGTGAACACAATATGGACCACATCCAGGTTTTTCCATTTTTAGAATATAATTGATATCATTAAGTGATTTGTTTTGGATGTATGTTTTGGAAGCGTTCAAAAAGCCAATTTTCTTTTCTCGTGCATTTTTAATTGCCTCCGCCATTGCGTTTTTTATCCCATGCTTGTCTGGTCTTCTCTATTGTTTTAGAAGCCATTCTAGAACATAAAAATTATTTTATAGCTACTCCATATTTAAAACGTGTTACTGGTCCATATTGTGATACTTACTCATTTTGAGATTATTATTATTTTTTTTTAGAAAATTGGAATATTATAGAATATTAAAACTTAATACAATTAATTGCAGCATGACTCATCTTCCTCGTGGTCTTATCCACTTTCACATAAAATAGTATTTTTTCGATTAAAATACATTTTTTGGAAAAAACTTCTAAAGTTTTCCTGAAAACTGTAATTTTATTAATCTTTCTTTGTTCAACTCATAGAAATGACCATGTTGCGGTCTGAATTGAAGTAATCTGTATAAATCTAGTACTATTTTCAATTAGTACAACCCATTTGCCCACCATTATACTAGATTATTCAACCCAATTTTTTTGTGTAATATTTAGGTCCGTTCCGCAAACCTACCAGCAAAATCATCAAAGACGAATCGGAGCCCGTTTCGAACCCCGAAACCGACGACAACAAGCAGTTCTACATGCCCCAAAACCCCACCAAGACGCCGCTGCTGAAGGTGCCGAAGACCCTCTTCAAATCCAAGAGCTCCGAGAAAATATCCGACGCCGACGAGTTCAAATACAAAGTGCCGAGCTCGCCGAGCGCCAGCTCCTCGTCCAGCGCCAAGCTGTACAAACGGCCGACGCAGAAGCAGAAACCCAAGCCGGCGGAATTCCTGGCGCCGACCTACGTCTCCGATTTTCCCAAGGGCGACGAGCCCGCCCGGCTGGTAGAGGCGCCGGTTTTCCATCCGACGGAGAGCGAGTTCCAGGATCCGTTGGAGTACATCGAAAGGATCAGGCACAAGGCGGAGCAGTTCGGCATATGCAAAATCGTGCCGCCCAGCAGCTTCAAACCGGAGTGCAAAGTCACTGATGATATGAGATTCACCGCTTACAATCAGTACGTGAACAAGATGTTGTACCGCTGGGGGCCCAATTTCAAGGAGTTCATGGCTATCAAGAAGTACCTTAAAACTCAGAGCATCACTTTGAATCATCCACCTTGGGTAAGTAAGAATTTAATACCGGCGTCGTAAAAGGTGTCTCCAGGATTCCTGAAGGAGTGGTATAGTTTTTGAGATACTGTGTTTAGTGGTAGCAAATGTTCATTTGAACTACTTCAGTTTTTAAGAAATTTTAATGATTTTTTAGATTGGCGGAATGGAAATAGACTTACCCCGACTGTACCAAACCGTACAATCGCTGGGAGGCTTGAAGGAAGTAATCGAAAAGAAGAAATGGTCCAAAGTCTCCGAGCTCATGAAGATACCGAAATCGGCGCAAGATCGTGTCACGAAACTCGATGATATTTATTGCAAATACTTGTTACCTTACGACACTTTGTCGCCAGGTAAATTACTCATTCCTTGAACTAATTTAATTTTGATACGAAATTATCCTTTTAGCCGAGAGAGAGAAGCTGTTCGACGAAGTGGAAACCGAGTGGGCCAAAAGGGAATCCAGAAATTTGATCAAAAATCAGGAGGACAAGTTAGACGTAGATGGCGATTCAGACGTGGACGAAGACTGTGAAGAATGCATCACGAAAGGCCGCAATATGGCGCTTAACGCTTTTTACAGGATAGCTAGAAATACCATGAGCATGTATTTCAAAGTGAACGATCCTACACCACAAGAGGTACGTTAAGAATTAAAACAAATTTTCTGTAGAAAATATCATAGACCAAACAATATACATAGATGCATAACTCAATGGCATAATTCTAAAGCTACAAAGCGACATCTACAAATTCGAAGGAACTAAACACAACGTTGCCACATTGCCAATGATTACTTTTCTTATTTGTTTGGTTTGTTTAAGTACAGGGTGTAAACAAATGGTTGAGAAAGAATTTAATGAGTTATTCCTTGTCGAAAGATAATGTTTGACTAGGGATCACCGCTTAAATTCTTTCGCAAACATTTATTTAAACCATGTATTTTAAATAGGTATAGGAATAGGTCATAGGTCGTCCAAACCTTTTTAGAAAACTAGGACGACGTACCTAGGTATAAAATAGAACTTACAATCTCTATTAATTCACTGTATAAATACTCTTATTACATAAAGAAGAAAACGAAAGAAGAAACTAAAAATAATTTCCATAATCGCCAATTCAAGAAAAACATCTATAGGTTTGGTCTAGGGAAAGTATTAAGAATCGATTAGTCATTTCTGTACTCAATTTGTATCTACTGAGCTAGATACTGCAATTAGTTCTTTTTAAATATTTCTATGCGTTGCAGGTGGAACAAGACTATTGGAAGTACGTCGTATCGAGAGATAATCACATTTGCGTCCATTCCGGTTCGATAGATTGTGGCAATTGGGGTTACGGCTTTCCCGTTACCAAAAATAGCCCGTTCGCAAAGCACCCTTGGAATTTGAAGATGCTCACAAACAACACAGGATCTATCCTTCGTTCACTAGGACCTGTTATGGGTAAGTTCGCAAACCATTCTTATATACTTTAATAATCTACGGATTGTACATTACAGGCGTAACAGTACCCACACTTCACGTTGGAATGGTATTCAGCGCTTGCTGCTGGTACCGCGATCCGCACGGTCTACCATGGATAGAATACCTGCACACGGGCGGCTCGAAAATCTGGTACGGCATACCCAACTCCATGGGTACTCAGTTCCACGCTTCGCTAAAAAACTTAGTGCCCGGTTACTGCAAAAACAAGGAGCTCTGGCTACCTTCCGATACCATTATGGTACCGCCGAATCTTCTAGTCGAGAACAACGTGTCCTTGTGCCGTTCGGTGCAAGAGCCCGGCCAGTTCATCGTCGTGTTTCCCAAGGCTTTCACGTCGAACATCAGCACGGGGTACGTGGTGTCGGAGAGCGTGTTCTTCGCTCCGATCTACTGGATCAAAACCGCCCGGGCGCTGTTCGATGCGCTGAAGCAGAGCAACGAGCCGGCGATGTTCTCGTTGGACCGGCTGTTCTTCAGCGTGGTTAACGACGGGAAATGCAGCGTGGAAATGGTGAGGCAAACGTTGCCGCTCGTACAGGAATTGTGCGGCGAGGAATTGGAAATTAGAAAAAGGGAGTTGGGTAAATTGGGTGAGTTGGAGAAAGAAAAATTGCCCGTCGTGGATCTAAATAAAGGGAAGAAAAAGAAGTTTCAGCAAGGCGATGAGGGCGATTACGAATGCGAGATTTGCAGGAGTAGCTTGTTTTTATCAATGGTAAGTAATAGAGATATCACAAAAAATTTAGTGTATGTAAATTTCGATGTGTTTCCAGATTTTTGATACGGCAGAAGGTGTGACTTATTGCTTGGAGCACGCCGTGGAATTAATGGAGAAAAACGAGTTGAAATCGAGCAATTGCAAGTTTATGTTTACCTACGACGACGACGAGTTGAGGGGCTTGCCCGATAAAGTTAAAAGTTTGTTGAATGCGAGGTTGCAGAAAAAGGTATTGAACAAATTCGCTGGCATGCCGACGCTTCTTGGTAAATCTAATTGATAATTTCATTTCGAGATTAGCCGGGTGACGAATGTGATCTCTAACTTGTCGGAAATGTAACTTTATTGACGAGTCGAGTACAATATTTTCTCTACAACTGCAAATTTTTCTAGCTTATAGAAAATTACAATTAAAGTTTGTTGAAGGAAAGAGAGAAAGGTTGTAGAAAAATATTTTTTTGGCTTTCTAGATTTATGTATCCCCTATAAAAAATGGCCCGTATTTAATGGCCTCACTTTAACTTTAGAGTGACTCTAAAGTCGCGTCTTCAATTTGACAGTTGTACTTTGTTATTGAGTAACTAGAGACGCGCCTTTAGAGTCACGCTAAAGTTACAGTGAGGTGCTGAATATGGGCCTATGTGTTTGGTTAAAAATTACAAAAAAAAATAATGATGTTTGATGTTTATATGTCGTATCTTAGAAAACAGATGTCAAGATATAAATGTTGTTATGAATGTAACTATATTTGTTAAATTATAAAGGATAAGCGTAAGAACCTCGTTTTGAAAAGTTATCCTTTATAATATGACAATTATTCTAAGACAAACTCTAAAAATTTTGTCAATTTCCTTTATTATAGAGTGATTAATAACTGCATCATAATTTTACCATTCATGTGGATAATAATTACCCTATAATAATTGATAAACAAAGTTATCCTTAGGTGAGCAAATTTATGTGGGGATGTTACGCATAAAAATAGAATAAGTTTTCGAAATATAATTGCATACTTTATTTTTATTCAACGAATTTTAAAACCAAATTTTATAATGAAAAAGAAAAATTAATGTGATATGTTTTTTAATTTATTTTTTTAAATTTAAGGTTTAATTTATAGTTGGTAAATATATCTTTTAAAGTATTAAATATTAGGGTATTTTTCAAAAGAAATCTATTAACAAAGGTGTTTTTCGACTATTCAGAGACTCTATTTTTTAAAATCTTAAAGACAGATTTTGTACACAAGTACAGAGGTTATTTAATATAAAATAATATTGCATTCAATTTTTGACGTTATAATTATTTCTAATCAAAAATTGATGCTGAAATAACTAGTCAAATTTAATGATTAATATTTTTCAAAACCTGTGAAACCAAATGTACTTATTGTATGAAATCCGTCTTTGTAACTAAATTTAAACATTGAATGTAAGGGTAAAAGAGATGAGTTTACTTTTTATGAAGCAAAAAACTTGAGTCAAAATGTAAGATCTGCAAAACGGTCATTTTTTTGACATGTTTTCTTTTGTTCAACGAGGCGCATGCATTGGAAAAATATCAGTCTTGAATTTGAAAATTGCATCGTTCATTTTATTCGTTGATAATATAATACACAAATCACATACATCACTTTTTATAATACTATCCATAAAAAGTTAACTCTACCAATTTAGTGTAATAATTTTTATTATATAAATGTTTAATAAATTTAAAAAATTAAGTTTGGTTTTTATCTAATTGACAGATTACTTATTAACGATGAAAAATAAATAAAAACGTGGAAAAAATTAAATATTTTAGATTAGCTATTTGAAAAATTAATAATCTGAATTTGATGAAAAAAAAAACAAAAACAATTAAGTACCCATGTGCTTAAACATAAACGAAAATTACATGCTGAGAATATAATCTAGACTACATTATAACGATGATTTGGGCAAGTTACATTTTTTTATAAATACCATAGAAAAATAAATATAACAAAAACAGATAAGCAATTACACACCCAAATAATTTGAAATATTTCTCTACACTACTAATAAAATTATTCTTAGCTTCAAATGCTTGTGCTTCAAATTATATTCAGGACTAGACAAGTTGAAGTCTTTTTTAGCGGAAAAAAATCAGTTAATTTGTTTGGTTGTAACATTTAATATTTTAAAATACTTTTAAATTTATCTCAGTCTTATAGAAGGTTTTGACTGTTTAAAACTGTATTAATATCAGAATACAAAAAATATATAACGATAAAATTTCCTTCATTGCAGAAATTTACTGTTTTTACTTATCTGGATATTTCTCTTAAATAAATCTGGTTTAAATAATTTACCAACAACTTGTTAAAAATAGTTAGAGATCTAATATACTACTGTGTAGAGTAACTATACATACACATTATTATGTACAATTGCTGAAAAATTCCACTTGCTTTAACATCAAAATTGGGTAAACTCCCTACCTAAACAAACGCGCGATCCAAATGGAAAAATAAACTTTAGGTTTGTACCTGTTCATACAAATGACGGATTTTCCATGCTTCCCAAATATACTTAACTTATCTGTCTCTTCTTTTGAGAATATCAAAAAGTATATCAGTATCACTCTTTTCATCATCACTCTCACTCGGACTTTCGTGCATGTAGTTACTAATTAAATACTCATTGACTTCCTGCCTCTCTGATGTAGCATCGTATGGACGTTGATACCTTATCGGCTGGTTCTTAATTTTATGAAAAACGTGCAATGAAATACCGCACAAGCAAAAGACCAAACCCACTATGTTCAACAGTGAGAGTTGATCGTGCGCCCATTCTACAGCTATCACCAATTGAACCACTTCCTGCAATATTAATTACAAATAAAAAAAATAAAGAGCGCAATTCAAATTTTTGTACCTTTACAATTCCTGCTAATGCTAATGTTAGACTGGAAGTGTAAGTAACTACAGTAACTTCAGAAAATTCCATGAAAAAAGCGATAAAGGCTCCTAGCAATATCTTCATGAATAACGGGTAAAAAATATATACATCATCACAGCCCCAAATATGACAGTTTTGCAATAAACTCGGACCTGCAAAGCAACACAATATGCACTTAGATGAACAATTAAGAATTTCGAAAAGTACCTTCAATAAAAACAGCAGCTGGTAATACTATAAGTATCATCCACGGTTGCATATGATAGATCATATCGACAGGATTAGTCATGCCCATTTTAGATTTTTGCAGTAATAATTGCACACACGTCCATCGAATACCACTGGACACCGAAGCCAACAGTAACAATGTAAAACCTAGGACATTAAACTGAGTTGACTTGTATGTAAATAAGAATAATCCTACTGTAATCATCGTTACTATGCTACAAAGACTCCATGACTAAAAAATAACGGTGGTAAATATTTATAAAAAGGTGTTGAGGTTTTGTTGGTGTTACCTTTTTCTCTAATTTTAATAATATAGAGAATATTAAAATAAAAATGATTGTTGTTGATTTGGTCATAGTATACCTAAAAAGTATGCACATTAATTATACGATGATTAATTGATTAATAATACTAACAATGAAACTGTTACCAATCCCAATCCCCAATTGGAGAAACTTATATCGATTCCACTGAACATACCGCTCGGTACCATAGCCAATAAATATTCCTTCCATTCTTGAGTAATGCTCGGTTTAATGGGCCTTTTTAAGTAGCACACTCGTATTAAAGCAGCCAGAATAAACTTCACTATCATGTGAATGAGGACTGTTATCAATGGATAGTGAAAACTCTGCAAAAAACGTTATAAATTATCTATTAAATAAAACCAAACGGTTCTTGATGTTAAAAATTGGTGAATACATCTGAAATAAAAAAGATAAGAAAACCGAAATATATTTAAATAAATGTTTAATTTTTACTACGTTGCATATTTTCGAGTTTCGAAATTTAATAATAGAGTAAAAAAGGAATGAGTACTTACCTTGTAAAGCCAATTTTGATAAAACGTTAGGCCTATCGAAGGTACGTAATAAGAACCAATTAATGCTGCTGTAAAAAGCGATGACCAAAGACATGCTGAAGAGCAAATTTTTCGTTTCATTGGTTCAAAATCCACCGTTTCCTGCTCGTCGGTGTTATCGACTACCGTATATTTTATTTTTTTATCAAGTTTAAACATATTGTTTACTAATTTTCAACATTTATCTTATCTTAACAACAGTAAGGGCATTTTCTCCTAATCATGTTTAGGTGCCAGGTAGGAATTTTAAAATTTTCTTACCAAATTAACATTATCTATTCCAATTTCTTAAATTAATAATATATTAATTACATTTATAGTAAAAATTTCAATTTTGAGTTGACACTAGACATTTGTGACATTTGATTTGTTGATCAATAATAGAGATGTATATTAGCGAAGTAGGTAATCGTTATTTTAACAATTTTAACATATCCGAGTTTTAATCTAATAATGATATTGGTAAGTTAATATTTTATATTTTTAAACTAATATATTATTATTATGTATATTAAAACTTCATATTTTTAGATAAATTCACGAATCATCGAAGATTGCAAGATAACATCTCTACACTTGGAACATTAAATAATTAACTGAATGCCTTTGTAGGCAAGTCCAAAGATACAAAGAAGTTGATACAAGATACATCAATTATATGACGTAACAATTTTTTTTGACATTGACATAAAATATAAAAAATATAAAGATACGTCTATTTTAAAATTATTATTACATATGGAAATTAAGTTATGAAATTTTAAGTTCAGTTTTTTTTACATCACTGTGCAGAACTATTTACAATGACCGTCATTAAAGAGAAACCAAATTACAAATATCCCTCTCCAAACTCAGCCTCAGCATCTGATACCGAATCTTTGCAGTAAGTTTGTACTATTTAAATATACAATTTTTGTTTATATTTATTAATATTCAGTTTGGGAAGCCTCTCGGCCAGCGATGCAGAATCGGCAGATGACGAATCGGTTCCTAATAGAATAAGAATAATTAGACCTAAGTTGGTAAAAATTTCACAAGTTGAAGAACATATAAACGTTAAGAGAAACTCAGGAAAAAAGAAGCTAAGAAGATACCAAAACAGTATTCAACATCCTTGGAACTACTCCATTCATTCTCATTAAACGCTTTTTGTAGGATGCTCTCTTCAAACGCTCAGCGAAGAAGATGAAGCTGAAAATATGGTTGTAATAATGGATACTTACAAGGGACCATTTGAGCGATTACTCGATGACAAGGCGGCCTTTGACTATTGGCAGAAGTTCATTGAAAAGCCCGAAGAAGAGCAGAATGAGATCATTGAAGCTCTGTCGGAGAAATATCCTAATGAGACAGAAGTGGAAAACATTAAAACAGATGTTCCTGGAAGAATATCGTCGAGAATTAAACGTACCTTTAAAATAAAGAAGAACTTGTCATTGAAAATAGTGCAAGTGTGCGAGAACGATTTGATAGAATTTTTTAAAGCCACACCAGAAGAGAGATACATTAAAATACCTCCTACAAGCTTTGATAGGCTTGTAATACACGCCATTGCTCAATATCACAGATTAAAGTCTATAAGTAATTATCTAACGTAATGAATTATTAAAATATTATATTGTTTATACTTTCAGGTTACGTATTAGAAGAAGGAAACCGAAAATCTGTTGAAGTTTACAATGTTTTTAAAAATTGGACGCCCGCTAATTGTTATTTAACAGATTTCATTAGACACTTGAGAAACGTTTAATTGTATAAATTAATTTATGTGTGTGCTTGTATTGATTATTGTGTACCTGTTTCGTTGCATAGTTATTTTATGTTAATAATATTTGCTTATTTAATAAGTAAAATCTAAAATTAAAGTATAGTAATTATAGTTGTAGAACTTATAAGTAAGTTTTAAATGTTAATTAGAATTAAATATTAAATACCTTTATACAATTTTTACCTTTATGATAATATTTATACATTGATGTAATTACCACGCTATAAACTTAATATTTTTAAATTCAGTTTATTTGGTTAAGCTTTATACATATGAAAACATATATCAACGTAAATACATTATTCTGAACAATCTAATATATTTTATGGAAACACAATAGTAAGATTTATTTACATAATAACTACAAATATGTCCAGTCTTTGCAGTTTTAAACGAGCTCTACCCGGAAACTTTTGAGCTTTGTACAAAAGCATTTTCCCAAAGTAAAACATCGTATCAACTGGATCGATAACAATTATTCAAAAAAATACATTTAATTGAAATATTAAAAATAATATCGACATAACAGATTACTAAAAAATAAAATTGGAACAATCTGTAACTCTGAACGACTATAACTACGAAAACAGGTTAACTAATAAAATAAATATAATAAAACAACGAACCAATTCAAATGAATTAGGTTTTGGGAATTTTGTATTACTGAGTAATAACTCAATTAGTGCAGTGCGTCCACGAGGTATAATATTAAAATTTTCTGCATATGCTTAAATAGAATAAAAACAAGTAGATAAAACGAATTCCCAAATTCTCTTGAAAGTAAATTATTCGCTAAAAAAATGATAATTATATTGAACAATGTTTGTGTAATAGTTAAGTAGAATATACGTCATGAACCTACTGTATATGTTAAGTACAGGAATATAAATAAAAGTATCAATAAATTACAATACCCCATAGATCAAATAAAGTCAATTTCCTTCCTTAAATATCAAATAAAATGTTAAAAATAAGTTTAATGTTCCACAATTTACGAAAATATTAGCATACTTAACAAAAAATGTATAAAAATGTACAGCAAATATATTTACACAAATTACAATATCCCTATTTATAAATAATACAGACACCTTTTTGATAAATTTTGAAATTTTTGGTTTCTGTATCACAGTTTTTAAATTAATAATACAAACTTTTAGCACAACCAATTTGAAAAGTCGATATAGACGAATTTTATATACAAATACGATAAAAAATCACTTGTATCCATCATAAAAATAAACAGTAATTGAATTGCAAAAAACAATAATATATATTTATGTAATTCTAATTATTTAGGGAAATACATATGCGCTATAACAGTGTAAATAAGATAAATAGCTAATATTATATAAATGTAATTCCAAAACACGCAATAAATAACGTACAAAAGAAAAAATAGAACTAGAGCGATAAATACCAACATTTTTCCCTTTACGATTTCCAATGAGTTTGTATATAATTTGAATGAACAACTACAAACACGTACAATTCCCGTCTTGCTTCATATGAGATTCAATCCGTTTCGAATTTAAATAATGCTCCAACTGTATGCGCCATATTCTCATATCCCGAGATTTACTGATTAACGCTAAAATTACAAGTAAATTTCGACATGTTGACAATGATTTGAATGTGACAACTGTTGTGAATCCACTCTAAAACGAACTGGGCTTTGAACAGTATTTAACGAAGTGTATTTTTGTTATAGTTGGTGTTATTGAGAAATATTGCGTAGGCAAAAATAATATTGTTGTATTTTTCGCTTCTGTTACTTAATATTTAGCGCTTAGCAATAAAATTAGCAATTTTACAAAAAATTCCTTCCTGCGATTATAGATACATCTACTACACCACTCTGATCAATAAAAAATTACATTTACATTCGATATTCCAAATTATATACCCATATAAACATGAATTCTCTTAACAAATCCGACCACAGTTTGGGGGGGCATTGTAATTTAGCTCGCCCTACGTAGAAACGAATTTACGATGCAGACATATCAGCTTTTTTATCTTTGGTCGATGTCGTAGATTTGGTGCTAGTCGAGCAAGCTATCGTGGGCAAATTTTCTGCAGCAGCCGCCCTTTCGGCTAGGAATCTATCGAAATCGCTACTTGTTACGGATTCTTCGACGCCACTCTATAAAATAACCATTTTTAGTATATTTAACATCGTAAAAATAGCAAATTAATTATAATTTAGTTGTTAATATTAGGAGGAAACGGGAAGACTGGTGGAATGTAGGAAATTTGAATGAAATGAAACTGAACTGAGTGTGTTATATGGTATAAAGGGTATTTTACGACAATATAAACTTAATATTAAGGTAGACTGGGGCAAATGTAAAAATGGAGTAAATGTAATATTTTTACCTATTATGTTAATGTTTTTTTATTATTTTTATAGTTCTTTTGTGAATTAGACAGGGTTTGTTTCTTATTTTTTTTAATTTATTTTGTAGCAATGTAAGTAAAATGCAACATATTGTCAACATTTTAAAAAAATGTGTAAAATCTTTTTCTTCTTTTTTCTTTCTTTAGTTTAGGAAGTTGTCAATTTAATGTGGTATCAGCATTTCTAATAAGAGAAAAAAAGCCACATTTTAGGATTTAATTTGAACTATTCAAATTTTACAACCGATTTTCCCCAGTCTACCTTACTACAAATATAGAGGGTGTTCCGCATATGAACCTACACAGAGCGTAAGCGTGTAGGGAAGCATAAAATATGTTGTTTAACCCACCATTAACTTAATACAGCCAACTTTTAAATTATCAACGAAGTAACATTGATAGTGACAAAAAAGTACCAGAAAGACAAGAAAGTACTGGAAATTCCAATTTAAATTAACTGCAATTAATATTTTTAACTACATTCAAGTTTCTGTATGTAGGTAACACTGTTCTTAATTAGCATGCAAAGAATTAGGGAGATTTCTCAATCAGTTTGGTTGTAGCAGCTGATTGAATCAGTTCATAACAGTAGTGCTCTGCGAATTTTGCAATGCACAAAAATAATGAACAAAGAGTTTGTCTCATATTTTGGGTTTTGAACGGAGTTTCGTTTTATCGAAACCCATATTTACGAATGGTACAAAACTTTTAAAGACAGTCGGGAGATCGCTAATGACTTGCCTTGTTTCGGCCGGTCTTTGACCTATTCAACCAACGATAACGGCGAGAAAATGAAAAGGCGTCTAACAAAGTGTATCGCTCCAAAAGGAGCATATTTAGAAGGATATTCAAGAAAAAATAAAGAAGATTAGGAATTTTACGTTTTATTCCAATTTTCTGAGTACTTTTTTGTTACTGTGTCACTTAATTTTTTAGCGTTTTTCATCAAAACGACAAAGAATTTTAAAAAACAAAAAGAATAAAATAGTTTTAAAATGAAATTATCTATAAAATAATTTATTAAATAATCCATCAGGTAAAAAAATTCTCTAACATTTTAAACGAACATCATCCCTTTAAAATAGATCAATTGATCTCTCAGAACTATCGTTATTTTGTATTAAGTTAAGTTGGTTTAAACATAATATTTTGGGCTCCCTTACCTGCCCCTGCTCTGTGTCGGTTCTTATGTACCCTGTATTTTGATAGTTATATAGATAAGCATTAAGGACATAAGCAGTCGAAGAAGGTGCACAGAATAACTAATAAGCCAGCGGTGAATAACTACAGAATTATGTACAACTTAAAAACCAAGACTTAAATGAAATTTACTCGTTAGGTAAAAGTGTAAGCTTTTGTTATTGCTTATAAATCGTAAGTGTTAGTATAATACATTTGTGAACAGCGTTTAATTTGCTCCGGAAGTTTAGTAGACAAGCCAGATATGCTTTCGATAATTTTGTTTAGTATTTAAAACTTTTTTGATAAATCGACTTACCGTTCTACCTAGCCAACCGGCCATTTCATCAATTTCTAGATCGTCTGATTTCTGCGCAACATAAAAAGCAACACATTTTTATAAAAATTAAAACAAACAAGCTCAAAAAAATAATAAGAAGAATACTATAAACTGGTAAGTTGGAGATTAGGAGTACTTACCGTTGCTTTTCTTTGAGTAATGGTACTCAAACCGCCCGCGATTTGATCCGGATCGAGGTTGTCCTTGTATGAACTACCACTAAAACATGATATTTAATATAATAAATAAAACTATTAAGCATTACAAAGCTAAATGTACCTTTTCTTCGAACTTTCATAAGTTACATTCCTAGATTGGGCGAACATATCGAAATCATCGTTATCTATTTTATTCAGTTTACTGCCCGAAGCATCGCCTGCGGCTTTGTTAGGGGTAAGAGCTAAAAAATAACATACATAACTAACTGTTCCACAAAAATACAGCAAAATACATACTCAGTCCGTTCAATGCTTTCGGCATTTCATCATCGAAATCTATAAGGCTATCGTTGGGTTCTAAAGTAGCTTTCGCGAGCACGGCGGACGCGGACTGTTTGGGCCCCACCTCCCTATTCTTGTCCCATCGGCTATACCGCAATAGCAAGTTGTTGAGCTCGTCGTTGATCCGGAGCAGCTCCTCGCAGAGGCCGTCGTTCGAGATTTTCCCTATCAGCTCGATCAAGCGATACTGCATGCTCAAACAAGTAGCGTGCAGCTCCTGAAATCGATCGGTTTAGACGGATTATTTTCGCGGGAATATGGTCGTTTACTTGTAGCAGTTCCGCTTCGTCGGGCTGCTCTTCGCCCGGTTTTATCTCGTGCAACATTTCGCCCAAGACGGTCATGTTGCTTTGCACTACGTCTAGCTCGGATTGCAGCTTGGCCCTTTGCTCCGGTGTGAGGGAACCGGGAGAATGATGGGCGACTGCGTGCTGGGGCGAGGCCGATTCCATTCGGGGCGGTTGATGAGGTTCTACCGCGGGGGGCTTCTCTGTTGTTACGCTCTAAAAACCAACAATTTTGTTATAATCGAAATAAATGTTATATGAGCGAAGCCTTTAAAATTTCGAATCGTATTATTATGATAAAGTTCGTACGTTTTATAATTACAATGACGTCACGAGCCGGCCTGTTGCAACGTTGCCCGGTTGTAATTGAAATTCTTTATATGACAGACACAAGTTTACAAATTAAAAAAAAATCACAAATAGTAGAAATTACACATGAAATAGAACATCGGGAGGAGATACGAAAAAAAACCTGTCTAAAACGGACGAAAAACACAAAAACTACTGGTAAACTTGATAAAAAAATAGGACAAAGGCAAAAAGAACTGGGCATCATTTAAAACACACCAGAATCGTTTAGAACTGTCTAGAAGAACGCTTCAAAACCATTTAGAACGCCACAGAACCAATTAAAATGCTCCAGAATAATTTAGAACTGTGTTTAAGAACGCTTCAGAACCATTTATATCTGTCTATAACCATTTAGAAAGCTTCAGAAACATTTAAAACGGTCTAGAGTCTAGAATCAATTAGGCTCCAGAACCCTTTAGAACTGTCTATAACCATTTAGAACGTTCCTGAATCATTTAGAAATGTCTAGTATTATTTAGAACACTACAGAAAAAGACAAAAATCGATGAGAAATTCACAAAAACAACAAATTGTAGTCAAAACGTGTCAACTAATAGAATTACCCCTAGTCAAATGATAGAATTACCATTGGCACCAGGGAAATTTTGAACTGCGTGGAAATTACTAAACATGACGTCATTGTCATTTTCAAACGTATGAACTTTAGTACATCCTTTGTGTTTAGTTAAAAATATTTTTTGTCGTAATGAATAAGTAACTAACTAAGGGAATTGTATTAATTCTGAAAACTTGAAATAATATTGGTTTTTTTTGGGTTAATTCAGTCAATATAAATAATGAATTTTAGTTCCAAGGATGTATTAATAATTAAACGATATCTAAATATCTGTGAATTTTATGAATCATAAAAAAATATAATGGCATAGTTAGTATTTATTGAATATTTCTCTACTAGTTTCTCGCGATAAATTACTCGAAAAAAAAAATTATACTAAATTAAAATTGGTAAATTATCATTTTTGGGGCTTATCATACAAAAATTTACGGTGATTTTTCGTGTTTATTCACCAGGGGATGTATGAATTTAATTTACCTTTTTTGGAGTATGTATAGGAGCCAGGGAGTCGAGGTCAGTCGGAGGGAATTCAATACCTTTTGCCAGCAAATCTTGGTAAACAACATTAACACCGGACAGTTCCGGTTGAGATTGGAATGCACTCGCCCAAGACTGTATTAAACTTAATACTTTTTCTTGAACAGCCGTCGGGGGATCATTCTTCGGGCCGATTAATTTCACCTTAAATATAGCAAAACATTATTTATACTTGAAAATTATAAAAAGCGCTCTATTTCTACTAAATTTAGAATGTTTTTACAAAAAATTGTTACAATCAATCTCGATAAATTTAATATACCTGATAAATTTATTACCTATTTGAATTGAGTTCTGTTGAATCATGTTAATATTAGCATAGTCTAATGATCTCCGAGTTAAAAATAAATGTAACAAAGCGAAATTGTTTTATAAAAAAATCATTATTTTTGCGGTTTATTAAGACAATTAATATATTATTACCACAGTAGAAAAAATTATATCAATATTTATTCCAGCGATATAACTAAGCTTATTTACTCACCAATTCTTGTATGAAATCTTTATTACACACTAATACGTGAAACCTTTTACCGCAATTCTTAACACACGTTTCTAATATAGTAAGTGTGTACATTATAACAGTGTAATTCTTTCCCGCATTTTGGGTTAATCTCTTGCGGATGGCTTTTACGGCATCTCTGGGGCCCTCTTCGGTTTCGTTAACTAAATCGCATATTTCCATATTTAAAGCCCAGTTTTCAGAAGCCAAAGTTCCATCAGTAGCTTGCTCTGAAATTTATAGCATTATCCTATCGAGTTCTTATTATTTATATTATAACTAAATTTATATTATTACAACAAATATTAATTTATTGAAAATTTAGTGTTAATTTTATTTATAGAAATATTTATCAATCTTGGGCAACTTTGTAAATCTTTTAAATCAAGATAAACGTTAATAAATAAACACAGCTTATTAATTTTAATGAACTAAAAAATGTTAGTGATATGAAATATTGTAATTTTATAATAATGATTCACATACACCTTCGCATGCACAATATTTAGCAATAACCTTGATAAAACGCCCTAATTAATAAGACTAATAAGAGCTCCATAGAAATGTAGGTGAAAACGGTATAAATGTTCGCAATATGTTGAACTATTCGTCGCAATAATAAATATCGAAAATACATACCTATTTTTAATCCAACGGGGGTTGAAAACGGATTACCGATTAAGGCGTTGGATAAAAACGACATTTTGTAATAATTTGTCGCACTTCACTACTAACACTATCGGTACCTTAAACTGATTATTATTGTTTTCAATTGCAATACTTGTTCAGCAAAAATAAACTCGCATTAACTGTCACTGTCATTATCTGAATGTCAATGTCAAATTGATATAAACTATTGTGTTCAAAGAACATGTTCCGAGTACTTCCGAATTCAAACTGAGTATAGTGTACTCTAATGTTGCTGTAAAGCGGCCATTAATAGTGTAATAAAGACAAAGAAAGTAAGAAGAAGAATAAGAAGATGAAAGTAACCTAAAATAAAATAAACAAAACAACGGTGAAAATATTTTGTATTGTATTTAATTATTGAGTAAATCATGCCTAATTGGAATCAAATTCAGTCTCAACTGCGGCATCCTGCGAATCCGGTGGTGTTCTTCGATGTGTCGGTGGGTACAACGGAAATTGGCCGGATGATATTTGAACTCTTTGCCGATGTAGTGCCAAAAACGAGCGAAAATTTCAGACAATTTTGTACTGGAGAGTTTAAGAAAGACGGCGTTCCTTTGGGTTACAAAGGAGCTGGTTTTCACAGAGTCATCAAGGATTTCATGATCCAAGGAGGAGACTTTGTGAACGGAGATGGTACAGGTGTTATGAGTATATACGGGGGCGGTACGTTTTCCGACGAGAATTTTACGCTGAAACACGATACGCCCGGTTTGTTGTCAATGGCAAACAGTGGCAAAGACACTAACGGTTGCCAATTTTTCATAACTTGTGCTAAATGTAATTTTTTGGATGGTAAACACGTTGTTTTTGGTAGAGTTATCGATGGACTTTTAGTCATGCGGAAGATCGAAAATGTCCCCACGGGACCTAATAATAAGCCTAAAATACCAGTTACGATTGTACAGTGTGGTCAAATGTAAATAAATTTATCTGTTTATACTAAATTGAAGTTTGCTTGATTCTCGTAATAAAAATATTGAAACAACTATTTTAATAATAAATATATTTATTATAAAAGGATTAGGTAAAACTGTTAAACTGATGGTAAAATACAAATTTGTCTTAAAATAATTTAACTAAAGGAAGGTAAATAATTACAGAGTTGTACAAAAGTACAAAAACATTTTAAACATCTCATATTAACAATTGGAATATATACAAGATGTCCCTAAAGCCTCTTATCCACGTATTTTTATATGGACAAAAGCAGAGTTTTTCATCTCAAATAGTTCCTTCCCGAGTATCGTCATAAATTTATTATTTAATTTTTCTTATACTCTATATTTCAACACTAGAAACTCAAGATAATAATGTCTTTTTTATTTTGTATTAAGTAGAAACACCTTGTACATAAACGTAAATTTATCTTCAATATAACAATATACACATGAACTGATTGCCAATTTACAAATATTAAAACATGCTACAGAATTTTAATAAAAATATATTGCACTCGTTGAAATTTTAATCATAATTAATGATTCAACGTTCTAATTTAAGTACAATAAAAATTCACTTCCATTGCATAATTGTATGGTTTATTCACACAAGGGTCGGTCAAACTGGACTACAAAAATACGATATAATAAATTTTGATAACAATACCATCTAAAACCATAAAATTATAAAAATGAAAGTTATTTATCACATGAATAAGATGAACTTAAAGGTAGCTTGTATTTTATGTATATAATTAGGATCGAATAAATCCTGTATTCAATATGATCTGTATTGAAACTACCTACTTAAGGTTTAATTCATTCGCATTCTTTTAAATTATTCATCATAAAATTCATTAAACAAATCGTAACTAATGTGTAACTTTTTTATAAACATTTTTTATAATGGTCAACAATATTACACACTATTATCTACAATAAATTGTTTCAATTAAAAATTATTCAATTCGTTAATACAATATTTCTCTATTAAAAAATATAAATATCAATTAACGATTTCTTATGAATATTGATTGAATAAGAATCGATTTAATCCAACCATTATTGTCCAAAATTTATTTGATTTATTCGAATAGATATCGCGTTTAAGCTTTTAAAAGTAGGTAAATTACAACAGAAATATTTAACGCAATATTTACGTGGTAAATTTATAAAATTGACTGTTTAAAAGACAATGTATAACGAGGAAACAAAACTATATCAAACACTATACAGTTATTTATAAAAACTCCCCAAAACTTTAAACCTCGTACTAAATATTCGAGCTGACATCGTAACAAGTGCTTAAATTAACGTTAATTTAATACACATCTTTATCACGTAAGAATTTATACCTATTATTTTACAATCACAATGTTACATTTGCCTTTGTTTGACTTCGAGCAGTTGCGGGTGGTTCTCCACGATATTCAGAAGAATTCCTTCAATGTAAGTTCTAAGTTGCCTATTCACCTCTTGCTGTTCTTTTAATGCTTGATGTACCTAGATTCAAAAAAATACCAATCATTAGTACTACTCGCGTCGTAGTTCCTTAACATCACAGAAGTTATGAGTACAATTAAATTGCCTATATGTTTCAGGCGCGAAATACACCCTGTACTTGAGGAGAAAAATGTTACATTACCTCATCTTGGGACATAACATCCAACTCGGCAGCTAAACTATTTTCACCTATCGACAGTATCCTGCCGGTTTCTAGGCCGGCGTGAACAAGGCTCGCTTGCAGTTCTTCGTTGACGTCCTTCAACCGAGAATTTTCCGTCCTTAAATTCGTCATTTCCTCGTGAAGTTCTTCCAATCGCAAAGCTTCGGGGGATGTGGTGGGCAAGGCGGGCGTTCGGGCTTCCAATCGGAGCCTTTCGATTTCTTTGGACAAGTCTTCGGATAATTGCACTTGAGCCTCGTAATCTCGCTTTAACCTGGAAATTACAACAAGCGAGTTGAAGTGTAAAGAACCTAATAGAATCGAATGGTGTTTACCGAATTTGTTGGTCTTTCATCACTTTCATTTCGTCTTTGGCCGAAGACAAGAGGGCGGAGAGCTCCTGGTTCTGGTCCTGGAGGTTCTGCCGTTGGTTGTCCAATTTTTCGATTTGGACTCGTTGTCGGACGGTTTCCTCCTTTAAATTCGCGCATTCCGTTTCCGATCCTTGCAGTCTTATGTTCACGTTTTCTAGTAATAATTGCTTTTCTCTTTCCAACCTCGACACCAATTCCTTGGTCCTTCTTTGCTCGTCCTGAAAGATATAATTTGTCATTCCAATTCTAATAATTTATGCGGAAAATTACTTGTATTTTTTCTTCGCATCTAAATTCGGTTTCCCTTATTTGTTCCTCTAGCATTATTATTCTGGCTTGGAGGGCGGCATTATCGGACTTGGCTCTCGTGTATCTTTCGTCGTTTTGATTGGCGGTGTCTTGAAGGGAGCCCAGTTGTTGCTGGAGAACTTGAAACTGGAAAAAAAACCGATAATTAGCAAACTTTAGCAGGCAATTTAAATTATGGAAATAGCGGTATATCTAATTAAAATTTTTTATACCGGATAATGGTGTATTTCTTAAAACCAACGCGTCGTAAAAATCCCCATCGGCTCGATTGGGATTTAAACAGCGTTACTCATAACTTACTTGCAGTAATAAACCTACTCGAAAACATTTTAGAGAACATGTAAAGGTTCTCGATAACATTTCCGAAATAACAAAATTAACAACGCCTCATTTATTTTTCACGTTGTGAAAGTATTTAACAAGTATTTAATATGACTAAAATTAGCGACTCTCTTTTGAGTCAATCTAAAATCTGCTGTGGTCAAGCAAGAGAAGTGAAATTTTCACCGGGGATAGCCTCACGTCTTTTGTTGACGGCCACTGATTGGCATCGTCCTCACTTAATGCTAAGTGATCGTATTTAATACACCGAAACTCACTAAGTTTGAATAGCTCCAATCCTCAATTTCTTCCATTTGAGCACTGTTTTCTTGTGTATTTACTCTTTAATGGAATGATGCATTTTTATTTTTAAATTGGCATTCACATCTCTGGCTTGGCTGTAGCCAATTTTCCATTGTTTCAAAAAATGAGTCGATTATTTGCACAGACAATGTAGTACATTATATGGGTAACTGCAGGTTTGTTTGCAATATGGTCAATTCTATGAGTAGAACAAAGATTATTAAAATAACAGTGGTTGGAGTGAGAAAATTGCAATCCAACAATATCACTCTTTTTCCTTTGGGCTAATAGATGTTATGTTTGTAGCACCCATAGCCTGTATTGCAAACAATTTTGCATTTACCTGTCTTTGTTTACAAATTTAAAAAGATACTTTTTTGTTAAGATTCCAATTTCAACCGGCATTCGATAGGTGTAAAATGTATCGTTTGGTAAAAAACAAATATGCATTACAATGATGTTTAGATGCAACTCCAATCCGCCGAGAAAAAAATCCATTCGTCACGTTTTAATTCAATCAATAAACACCTTTATCTACCGATGAAAACCGAAGAAAATCTATCGTCGACAATACGTACCGCTTCGTCGTTCTCTTCGAACTCGATGCCGAGCGGCATCGAGCTTTTTTTGAAACCGTTCGAATTGAAATCCATCGTTTTGAAATCATTCACGTTCGAGCCGACGAACTCGAATTGCCCGTACCACATGTCGAAGTCCAAATCGACGCTCTCGCCCTCGCCTTCGACTTCCGAGCCGTTCCGTTTTTTGCTGTCCGTTTCTTCCGCACCGGTGCCGTTCATGTTGAAAAACCGTCCCGGAAAACGCATTGGTGACGATACAGGGAAAAACGTCTCGCGAGGAAACCCGTTGGACGAAAAACGCGGTCGCGTCGATACTGATGCGGTTCGTTCGTGCAATGAATGATTCTACTCCTTTGTTGTTATCGAATTAGAGGCTTCCCGGTGCGTTGGTAGATGTGTTGATACTCTTGATAGGCTGTTAAACGGTAAAGTAAGTCGGACGAAAATCGTACTGGGCGCTTCGAAGCGTTCGCGTGTATAATTTTTGAATTATTTATTAGCCGTGATAGTAGATAGAATGTACCTTTCCAGGAGCATGAAACATCCACATTTCATTGTGAATATTCATTAGAAATATTTGGATACCTTTCGTTAAAAACATGTCTTGTAAAAAATAAGGTTTTGAACAGATACTGAAGAGATCTTTTAAACCCCTGAAGTAAACCCCGTTAAGGAAATTATCGTAAGTAGTAAAATAGGGAAGTTTAGAGCAGGATTTATTAAATTTACCACAAAAATCTATACCAGTGCAATTCATTTAACCTGCTGGTTAAAATTACCATGTAGGTAGGGTATTGAACTATTCGACCTTATAATAAAATGAAATTTACGAACAGAATGGGTAGGTAATCAAGATAGTTTACACGCCACATTATGTGTCATTAAGTATTTATTATTAATACAAATTAAATGGGGGTATAAATTTAACTTAAACATTTAACTGAACAAAGTAAAATCCAGTCGTAACTACCGAAAAATGCGGGTTATCTGACAAAAATAGAGCTATTGTGTGCGTTATCGCAAGCTGCTAGATAAAAGGAACGCATTTTATTAATATTGAGTAGAATGGAAAATAAATTTTCTTGTGTTTAATATTTATAAATCAGGAAACTAGAACAGTTATGCAAAAACATCTAATTTACAATACGTTATCAATTTAACCTTCTTCGACTATAATTTTCTACCGATTTATTCAACGTTTAATTTTAACGAAAAAGATGCGTGTGGCAGAGAAATGTTTTAAATTAAATGCTTAATTATTTTTTAATTATCTTAATCATATAATATTAATTGAAATGTATTAGAAATGGACTGTAAAGATCAAAAAATGACCAATTTCTTTAAGATAACATTGTATGTAATGAATTGAAACCATATTAAATCGTGTGACTTAGTCGATTATCATGTGTTTACCACATGCAGTATCCTGTATTGTTTTTTAAAGAAGGAACTTTCATGTAAACTACAATGGCTTACTTAAGAGATACAAAAGCTCGCTTGACCAAAAATAATCCAAAATTATCCCGGTAATTCCTTAGGAAACACAGTTTCTTTACAAAATGTAAATATGTTTAGGACATATGCTCGTATGATGTTTTTTTCTTAAAATGGCCCAAAAATCACCCTTAAATATTAGCATGTCATTATGAAACACCCTGTATTGCTGCGATATTACATTGCAGTTAAAATAAGAACGTTCAAAAGCGTAGTTTTCACACGTATGCGATATGGTAATATTTATTAACGCTTGTATAAAAATGCAATAAAATATTGCAGCAATATATTGCTGCGATTTATTGCACCGTGTGAAAACGCTCTAATGGTGCTTTAAATTCTCTATTGCTCTAATCGATTTGGGTATTTTAAATGTACATAATATAATTCTCACTCTGTGCTAATTGTGGTTAAATTTGTTTTAGTAAAATACCATACGAGAAAGGTTACAAAATTTAATCAAAATGTCAACCGCACTAGATAAATATCGTCGAGGAACGTCCAAAACCAATTTCAAAGCGAAAGAAATTAATTTGAACGTTAGAGATAAGAATTTTGTGTAATTTCCCTGATTCACAGCCCGGTATTTTGAATCAATGCTATCTCACGAATGTAATTAAGGAAGCAATAAGTTAGTTACTCATTGGTAGTTTCACTTACAAAAATAATTATTATTGGTTTCGATCGGGAGAGGGTAAAAACCAGAGCGATTTGTTTAAATTGTACATTTAAAAAACAAACAAGCTGTTTACCAAGAAATACACGCAGCAAGTGACTAAATTATATTTATAGCGAAGCGCCCGAATACGTCCTTGTTTAATTTATTTTTAAAATAAAATTCATTAAATGCACATTCGTGCCACTACACTAAATCGAATTAGGCGAAACAGCGAGACAACTAACGGCAAATAATTTATTTTTACGCGTTTATCGCGTCCTCACCGCCCGATTTTACGTCGAATGCACTTCGAATTGCCCTTTTTCACGTACACGAACCGAACACATTGTGAAATTTCGGCGGTTTTTAATTATATTTTTACTCGGCGTACGTTTTAACACTGACGATCGACCGATGCTACACACATTCAAACTCCACTCATCGCAGTTATGTGTTTGTAAGTAAGTAAGTAAGCGTATCATACGGGACGTCATCGGTCGGATTAGATAAATTTCTGCTATCAGACCGTTTATTATTGGAAAACGTCGCCGTATAAATTCATGTATTTTTGTATAATCGGCTACCAAACATTGTAAAAACTCCTAGGGGAGGATATTTAAACGAGTCGCTATAGAATCAGGGACTAAAATGGACTAAAATGGAACATTTACGACCCTTGACTCAGTATACACTATACAGTGTGAACCACATGTAATGAATAAATTAATTTTCTTCGTTAATATTTGTACAATATGTAACTCCAAAACAGGTCAATTTTTGTTTTTTAAATTGAATTTAGTAACTTTAAATTTTTCCCTTAACTGCCACCCCTTCAGTATGAGACTTTCCACTTCTAAATTTTCAAACTTGAATGGAAGGCTTGAGATACCTCATTTGAAAGGCAATTTCAATCTTCATTCGAGAGGGCCTTTTTTTATTCTGTTATCAAAAATAAAAGCTCATTAGTTTGGAAAATCACAGTATATACTATGAAATTACTCTACTGAAGCTACTCTGAAATTACTCTACTCTGAATCTACTCTTCTCTGAATCTACTCTACTCTACTCTACTCTACTCTACTCTACTCTACTCTACTCTACTCTACTCTACTCTACTTTAATTTACTCTGAAACTACTGTATTCTGAATCTCCTGTACTCTGTATCTCCTGTACTCTGTATCTCCTTTACTCCGAATCTATTTTATTCTACTCTCAAACTACTTTACTTTGAATCTACTCTGCTCTAAAACTAGTGTACTCTGTATCTCCTCTACACTGAATCTACGAATCTAATCTCCTCTAAATCTACTTTACTCTACTCTGAAACAACTCTAATGTGAATCTACTCTACTCTGAAACTACTGAACTCTGCATCTCCTCTACTATGAATCTACGAATTTACTCAACTCTAAATCTATTTTAGTTTATTCTGAATCTACTCTGTTTTGAGTCTACTAATTTGGTGTCCTACTCTACTCTAAAGGGTCGCAATCTGTCCCGACATCGAATCGTTAGAGGCTATAAAAATTTTGTAAGGTCAACACAGTTTTTTAATAGTGTTTGTAAACGTAAATGTAAATTATAAATTGTGTGTAAATTGTAAATTTGTAAACAGATCAAAGAAAACTTAAAAGGCAGCACTTTTTTGTAGACTTTCCTACTGTATCAAGAAATATGGATCAAAACTAAGTAGAAAACTCACAATGGAATACAATTAGAGACGCCTTACAGCACCTTCATTTAAAAAGCCACTTCATATAAAATACACTTACTTTTTGGCGTAGATCCTGAACATCCTCCTCCAAAGATGCATCAGAGTACATATCATCGGTGGTATCGCACGTGCTACTTCGTCCCGACGAATTGAAACTGGAACTGCGATATAATTGACTGTGAAAATAGAAACAACGAAGGGCATTAAAATTGCTTGCCCCTTTGCGAGGGACCGACTAAACGAGTGCATGTGGTGCATCTAAAGCGAGTGAAGTGCAATCGTAATTTAATTTCAAACATTTTCATGAGGTATTTGAATCGATATTTCGATTGGGGGGTGAATGAAGCGAACAGTCTTAGAATCTGTAAAACTTTGAGAGAAGTTGTGGCATAAAAACAACATTTTTTTCACGAATAATTCCACCTTATGGATGCGTAAAGATCCGTAAAAAATACTGTAAGTATTAATTATACAACATAATACAGTTTACAGAATTGGGACATAAATTTATAAAGAACAAAAACGGTAGTAGGATCATAAAAATCTGCTAATTTTATGTACTCAGAATGTGCATCAATGCCTGTTAGCACAGATTTAATATTACAGATAAGAAACCTTTCATGATTACAAATGTTATAGATAAAAGCATTGGTAACATTTGTACAAAGAGTGAAAATAATCGTTGAATAATAATTATTTAGTTTGTTAATTATAATTAAAATAATTAGCATTATAATTATAATTGAATACGTAGCCAACTGGAGTGAATATCCCAGCTTTTCTATCTATTGTATATTGTCTAATGTAAGCTATTAATATCTTACCCCCGTATTCAGAAGTTTTTTTTATAACCAACTGGTTTTGTAACCAACGATTATATTTCCGAATTCTAAACATGACAACGTTGCTTACTTAAATCATAAATAAGATGAAAATGAGGTTAGTTTTTTGTGAAATTTTTTCATCCAAATAAGACACCGGCTACGATATTCTAAACAGACTTAAATTGTTAGAAACAGTTTTAAATAGTTCTGAAGTATTCGAAATGGCTCTAGACAGTTTTAAATGATTCTAGAGCGTTCTAAACGAGTCTGGAGAGCTTTAAATGATCTAGGAGCGATCTAAATTATTCTAGACCCTTCGAAATAATTCTGGTGCCTTCTAAATTGTTCTAAATGGCCTCGGAGCGTTCTTAATTATTGTATACAGTTCTAGATTATTCTGGCGCATTCTAAATGGCAGAATAATTACAAAAAAACTAATCTCACTTTCTTCTCTTGTTTAAGATTCAAATAAGCCACGTTGTCATGTTTCAAATTCGGAAATATTGAAATCGTTGGCTACAATTGCTACAAAACCATTTGATTGTAAAAAACTTCTGAATACTGGGGTTAGTAGGAGTGGAAAAGAAGTAAATATAAAAACATAATTTCCATCTAACTTTGGATTAACATGTCACTCTTTCGTCAAACTTTCCCCAAGGACCACTTCTCGTCATATCCTCCTTACAACAGTTGTTCTCCAAAAATATATCTTCAAGTGTTACATCCGTTAAACCACAAGTTTGTTCTAAAGCTGCATCTATTTAGTTTCTGAGTAGTAGCTTTAATGTCATCAGTAAAACAACAATTCATGCAACAAGTCTCTATGAAAACTTTTCATTCCTTATCAACTATTTTCAACTACCCCGAAGTAATGGATTTAAATTTTACCTGGCCAAAGCGTTTGAACCTAATTGTTGACGACGTCCATTGCTGAAACAAGTAAATTGTGAAGAAAATGTACTTGAAGCAAAAAAAATTTTTGAAACTTACTGTCGAAACGAGCCCCATCTCCTATTCGAAAGGGTTTCTTGATTGCTATGAAAATAAAAAAAATCTATTAATAAAAAGTATTTCGAATGACGAATTTAACATAATAACTAAATCGTTTTTATATTTAGAAAATATTTTCGGTCGAAATCTGGTCGAATGCGACTTTCTAAATATAAAAAGTGTCGCCTAATTTCACAATAATTCGAAGAAAACGGTTTTTTTTTGGAAAGAACATTTACTTGATAGAAAACGGATTGCTCCCCATCTGCAGTACTCACAACGTATGAAATTAATAATAATATAAATGCAAGGTGCACCTAATTGGGTTGGTAATTATGAGAACTCACCTTGGAGACGATCTTCTCAAACTCGTTCGTAACCACGTATTTCTGTTTATACCGTTCGTAGACCTAGGATCATTTCCCCTGAAATAAAAGTTTACGAGTTAAACATCCACAGGTAAAGAATATTTCGGAATACAAAAAGACAAATTGTTATTCAACACAACACTCTACGTTGCGCATAAAATAACATCACACTCTAACGATACTTATACACAGAGTTCTAGTTTTTTTTTCCTGTAGATTTATGTAGTTTAAGGTTACTTTTTAATACACCACAATGGGTAATTAGCGTCCGTCGTGGTCTTGAAAATAACATGCAGCTTTTTTCTGTTTTTATTCCTGTTGCAAGATTATTTATTATTTTGTTTAGTTGTACGTTTCCTCATTAATTCCTTAATTCTCATTTACAACAAAGATGGAATTAATCATACAGGGATGGCCAAATATAGAGAGCATCAGCATTCTTTGGAAAAATGTGTACCTACTACCTACCTAATGGCATTATGATTGAATGATTGCAATGGTGTTAAATTGCTCTAAAAATAATTAAAATGTTACACTGGTAGAAAAGAAGAATTTATAGATCTTATAAAAACTAGAGTTTTGAATTTATAGAAGTGTATAAGAAATATAGTAGGTATGATGGTCGGCAGATCGATCGCTCACCCCGAACTGTCGCTCCTTTACTATCTATATAAGTGGATTAATAGTAAAGGGTGACAGATAACAGAGCGTTCAGGGTGAGCACCATAGGTCCGCCGACCATTATACCTATGTAATAATCGATTATTTTGATTTTTGTCCACACTGAATCTAAAAAGGTAACTCTACTTCTAATCGAAAGGAAGCTACCTTAAGCTACCTTAAAAATATACATAGTAAAAAACTCACTACTTTAATATGGAATCAATTCATAATAACCCAAATTACATGGATACAAAAATGGAAAGTAGATGCGACTACTAGCACTACAACTACAACTGATCGCACACGGACGATACGCAAACCAATCCAATAATTAATTCTATTATAGTGACTTCGGATTACGAAATATGCAATTGTGTAACGATTTTTTTGCACCGCACCACACATCACTGGCGACGACCCGCGGTGGCGGATACACATTACAAATTTACATAAGAAAAAAAACCAAATAAATAAAAAGTAAGACAATACACGTACGCGTTGTTTCCGTTAATAGCTGCATCGGGATCGACTTCTAGGGTTTCTGTGGACCATTCGAAGTTCTCGACATCGGATAACGACGAACATTGGCTTTTGTTGTTCTGCTCGGAGCCCTGCGAAACTTTTTCCGGTGTCAGTACGAACGTCGGCGTCCCCTCGCCGGTACCATTCACCAGTACTGTTGACTCTTTTGTTGTGGGTGACATCATACTCTCTGAATTTCATAAAAAAACGTGTATAAAAAACACTGTAGGTGTGAGAATGCGAGAGCAGCGAAGACTCGCAAATGAGTCATTGTTACAACGGTAACCTATTCTAATTGCTATTCGAGGTATTGGGATAAACGATATTTGGGCCATAGTTTACTTATACAAAAATTATTTCAGCTGGTTGTAATTATTCATTTATGTATGTACATACTAGTGGCTTACAAAAATTAAATGCCATTTGGTAATTAAAAAAAATCTTGTATAGATATAAAGTGACAAAAAAGTACCCGGAAAATGGGAATAAAACGCAAAATTCCTAATCTTTAATTTTTTATGAATATCCTTTAAAATATAATCCTTTTGAAGAGGTACACATAGCCAGGCGCCTTTTCCAATAATCGAAACATTTTTATAGGCTTTTCTTGGTACGGCTTTTAGCTCCTTCTGCGAATTTTTTTGATGGCATTTATGGAGTCAAAACAGGATCCACGAAATGGCAATTTAAGTTTTGGGAAACAAAAAAATGTCACAAGATACTTAACCTAGTGAATAAGGCGGCTGATCGATAGTACTTCACAAGAATCAGCATGCATTCAGCCACCAGTTGACTTTACCGTTTTTGAAAGCAGCTCTATCAGACCCAGCCCTGCCTCAATGCGCAGCATGTCTGATTGGTTGAAGCCAAGTACTACCTCTCTAATTCTAGCATGATGAAAAGTTTTATACCATTCGTAAATATGTATGGGTTTTTGATAAAACAGAGTCACGACCATTTGCATTGATTTGGCCCACAAAATACCGTTCAAGACCCAAAATATGAGACAAATTTGTTATATTTTTGTCCATTGCAAAATTCGTAGAGCACTACTGAGATGAACAGATTTTAATCAGCTGCTACAACCAAAGTGATTGAGGCAAATCACGATCTGAAAAATACTCTGAAAATTTTGGAACATATTGTGTGGAAATGTAGCTTAAGAATCGTACAAATTATTGTGAACTATTTTTTTTCTATACCTGTACATGATTTTTTTAAATTGCCAAACAGAACTTACTTTCTGGTCGCGCCTAGTAAGAATACTTCTTATATACCAAACTATTTCGAATATTTCGAAATACGAAAAGGAACGAAAAATTTGTTTTTAAGCAACCTGGAAACATTGCACCCAATGTCATGATAAAGATTAGTGAATAGCCAATCAGAAATGCGATAAAACAGATATATGTATGTATTTTCGACTGGAAGCACCGCGTGTTTTGCAGTAAATATGGCAAAAATCAAAACAGTGATGAATCAGAAGAATCAGTCACATTAAAGAAATTAATAATCTAGTTGTGATTAGAATTTATTATCGAAGCGGTGATTGTGGCAGGATTTATTAAAAGTACCGGTATGCGTACCGAAAAGTAAATAAAAGATACCGGTACTTTTCGATTTATGTAGGTATGTACGAATGCATGTGTCAATAACCATGATAATAAGCTAATTTAAAGTATAATAATTAAATACAAATAATAAATAAATTAATCAACCAATGTTATAATAAAGCTGTAATTAAATTGCATTCGTAAAAATAATAAAAAAGTATATACATAGTAGTAGATTTGTACATACCTACAGGGTGTGTTATTTTCGATGTTTTTTTATGTAGGTATACCTACCTATGTATCTCGGAAACTGCAGGAGATAGTTGTCATATTTTGCAAAAATGAAACTGGTTATGAACATGTCTCACAAAACTGCAATTGTTTGGAAAATTTAAAATTATTTATGTCTCCTACATTTTCCAATATCACTGTACTTACTAAACATCGAGAAAAACTAACCTTGTATACAGTACAAATGTGCCGATAAGGCCAGATATGAAAGAGCCTTCTGTTCACAGTTTTCAATTAATACCAGATACGTTCTATCTGTTTTAAGCGCATAAACCAATCATTTTACTAATTAATGATGTCTCAATTCGCAACAGTATCACCATACGCTCGACATACTGTATGTACGCGGGCCATCAAATCAAGTGGTAGGGCGCGTTGAATAAGGAACGTCGCTCGAGGGGGTGCGTTCTTGATGTCGAGGATAATACATACACTGTGCTTCATTCCAGATCGCAACATAGGTTATACATTGTATAGGCTATAGGTGCGATAAAGACAACTTCCATTAGACATTTATAAAGGAAAAAGAAAGAGTGACATTTGTTTCATTGCAACTTTTCACTCTGACGACTGTTATTTTATCAATCTTTCTTTGTTCAACTCATAGAAACGACCATGTTGCGGTCTGAATTGAAGCAATCTGTATAAACTAGCAGAAATTTGTTCTTTCAGCGAAATTAAACGTTTCATTTATTTTTTGAAGAGGTTTGGGTACTTGAGTAATTTTACAAAAAAGATTCTTTTGCAATTTTATTGCATTATTGTTCGTTGAGTTAGAACGAATTCAAAGCGATATTAAATTTTGAAATTATAAATTTTTATAGTTTATTTACAGGTCCTTCACGTTTTATGATATAATAGAAACTGATATTAAATCTACTCGAAACAATGATAACTAACATAAAATGTAAGCAGGAAGTACATATGTATAGAAAACTTCAAAAGATATAAATTCCTTAGGTGCTTAATTGAAATTGAAGTAGTACCTATATTTTTGTGTTTTGAAACATAAACTTCCAAGAATAATGCATTGATTTTAATTCGAAATTATTGGCATTAAATTCATCGAATTCTTTACTCATTAGAAATAAATAGGCACTTAAAAATATCAGAAATTCATGTGTATTTTGCGCCCAACATTAAAAGTATTTAATACATTTATTTACACAGTGACAAAATTGCAAGAGATTTTCCAGGACATGGACGTGAAATTCCTGCACACTAAGCGATTTAATATTTTCGATTTTACGAATTTCCGAATAATGACAAACAAGTTCAAAATCAACACTTTAGATAACATTTTTCCGTTAGTAATTCGTACACAGAAAAATGTTTTCTGCATTTTCGCCTAAACATTCGTCAACGTTCTCCAGTTGACGATAAAATGCATAGTTTGAAGATGGGATGATTAGAATGACAAACGAATTATCAATTTACTTGGTGAGTCACGTAGGTATAGGTAAAAAATACTACCGATGTTTGAAATTTTCAGATAACTTTGCATTTAATTGGCAATAATTATTTTCCTGGTGTATTTCAAATATTAACAATTTCTGGGCCCGTATAGACAATGCACGTCTCGGCCCGAGGCCCTTTTATCCTTTTGTGATTTCTAAAAATATATTTTTTCTTCTATGCAGTGCCTATATTTGCTTAATAGAAAATCCGGCTCTGATTTTGGTAACTGCTTATACAGGGTGTTCTATAATGACATGCTAATATTTAAGGGGGCGATTCTTGGATCAATTTTAAGGAAAAAAATCATACGAACCTATATCCTAAATTATTGAGATATAGGGCGGTAAAATTTTCAAAAAATGTTTTTTTCTTATAACTATGATACTATTGTAATTGATACTATGAATCAAGATTCGTTTTCTGATGAATAAACAATTTTAATACTTGGCAGAAAATTGGTACGCCACTGCCTAAACTTAAAAAAAATTGTTTTGGAGTCCCTATAAAAATAAGAACAAATTTAATTTCCTTTTTAATTTTCCTAAATTAGGATAGATGTTCGTATTAATTTTTTTTTTCTTAAAATGGGTCCAAAATCAGCCCCTTAAATATTAGCATGTCATTATGGAACACCAAATAAAATAAATTCTTTTCTACGTTTATTTATTTAAAATATTTATGTGTTCGAATTTATACATAGGGGGGTACCTTTTGGGTTAGTGTACCTTTTAATTTACATAATTATGATTCGAGATATTATATTAAAGTGATAATTTTCACAAATCGAGTTACCTAAGCAAAAATGAAAATGCTTTAATTCACGGAATTTTTGCGAAATTACAGTTATTCAGTATAGGAGAAATTACACAAATCATCATTTTAACAAAAAAGAAAGTAAGCTGAATCGATTACAGCAATACTTTACGATTTAATATATCATTAGCCGAGACTCTAATTCATTAGAATATATGAAAACCTACAATTTTTGTACCCAAAGCGGTAATTTTAGTAATGAACTAAAACCAAACAAACCTATCTTTACCTTATAGGTACTGCTTGTAACAATATTTAATAGGATTTTATCAAATGTACGCATTAAATTTAAACATATTCCGAGGCAGTCAAAAATATTTGTGGAATATATTAGAAACATATTTAACAAACAATTCGAACTTACCTTGACTCAGCGTAAACAGGTGAAAAGTGGAATTCCTCGGCGGTATTTTTTAAGTACTGGTCATCGGTGGTGTTCGATTAATGAACGTAATAAGTACACAGCCACATTATTTACTTAATTTCTGGATTCGTTAATTTCTACCTATTGCAATTCAGGAAACCATAACAACAAAAATCGCACCTGACGTCTACACTTCACCACTTCAAGAGAAACTGCTAAAAAGCACTAGCGCGACGTTGCCGCATCGGACCAGAGGTATCCTTTCTATAGAAATTTTTTACGAATGTGAAATGCTTATTGACGTAATAATTACTAATTCCTGCACGCTTTTTAGTTTTCGTGCTCATAAATAGCAACAGCAAGTTTCAACTCTATTTTTGTTTTACTTTATTTTGATTTTTAATTGTTTTATTGCATTTAAATTATTGCTTATTTTTGACTTTTGTGGACTTATCTCATGTCGCCAAAAGTTGGTTGATGTAGGTAAACACTAGATAAATAAAAATTTTAATCGTTATATTATTCATAATCAATTGTAAGATAATTATGTAATTTAATAATAAAAACTAAGTAGTTGGTATGGATTTTTAGGTAAACGTGACAACGTCGCGAGAGGATTCTTAAATATCAAATAACGACACACCTCCGAAGAAGGAGGACAAAATGCAACATAAAGGGAGATAGGGCTAAATGAGCACATTTGTTTTGTTGTTTATTTACATAATGGCAGGTTGGAATTTTAAGTTTTCACCTGTATAATTTACATAGAGGGATTACCAAGAAAATGCAAATTACTAGGGGAAGTGGGGCGGATGTTGGGAGCGTATTCTCATAATTGAGGAGTGTACTAAGTGCATAATGATTTAAAATATACTATACATACTTTTATTACGTAAAAACAATAGATGAATATCTTGTACTTCCCACGGTCATTAAATTTTTTGTACTATCACATTATTTTTAATATATGTTTAAAAATAGCCAATCCACCCTACTTATTTTACGAAACTCCAAATAACTCCTCGTAATTTATAAAAAAAATGACGGAAATCCCATAACCCAAAATTGGAGAGTGGTGCACAACCGGCAACGCCGCGCTGCACTTGACACTCTTGACGTGACATTAATGACGTTCGATGACAGCTGTTTGACAGTCACCATTCGTCAATGTCAAAACAAATCATGCCAGTTGATACGGAGAAATTTACACGAATTTTTTTAATCGAGTAACCAGATCAACTACCTTCAATAATGTCATCCCGCGTGTTGAGGAAACTGCAAGGCGATAAGGACAAAGATCTCAACGAGGAAGTGTCAGACACAGAAACGGACACCCCAGTGAGCGGAGGTGCAAGACGAAAGCAGCTCAACGTAAATCGCTACGATTTGGTAAGTGTTCGTGTGCACTTAAACGTCTGTTACAAATTGATACATTATCTTTCATCATCTTTATTGCTCTGTAATGGTTCATTTAGACGTCGTTTATCTCGAGTCATTAAATATCGAGCCGAAGAAAGCGCACTGAATCGAACTTTTCCACAAATAAGCAGCTTTCACGTTAATCGTCTTAATTAACGATTGGATTTTTTTAGTTGAATCAGCAATCCCATTCCGAAAGCGAAGTAAAAGAGGACGACAACGAAACTGAGGCAGCGAAATCCTTCGAAGGCGAACACCCCGAAATAAAACGCAAAAAGAAGAAGAGGAAGAAAAAATCAGGGAAACACACGAACGCTCAAAGAAGCAGCGAAGACAATGCTGATGTGCGTTACGAATAATCGTATAATTTCAAACGTGAATTAGTTTATGATATAATTTTCAGGTGGACGAAGTGGAGAGGTCTCTGAGAGAGGTAAACAAACTTCTCGGCGAAAATTACGTGCCGAAGGCAGCGAATATTCAGCATGCGAAACACGAGAAGACGAGCCTAAGGAAAAATACTTTATCTATTCAGCATAAACATTTGAATCCTAATAATGAACTGAAGAGAATTTTCGGTTCGAAAATCGTTCAAAATGAACAGTACGTTTCCAAAAATACAAGGTGTTTCGCATAAGAACTGACACAGAGCAGGGGCTTGTATGGGTGCCTATACAAGGGCAAGATGAAAATGTTCTAAATGGTTTAAACAGTTCTAAATAATTCTGTGGCATTTTATAAGAATTTGGAGCGTTCTCAATGGTACTAAAGCGTTCTAAATGGTTCTAAAGCGCTCTAAATGGTTCTGAAGCATTTTAAATGGTACTAGACAGCTCTAAATGATTCTAGAGCGTTCTAAATGGTTCTAGTCAGTTTAAAATGGTTCTGAAGCATTCTAATGGTTCTAGACAGTTCTAAATGATTCTGTGGAATTTTAGATGACAGTTCTGACAGTTAAATGATTCAGGCCGAGAAATTTTCACCCTACCCATGTATGTGTTAATTCAACGTTAACTTAATACAGTTACGAGTAATATTGATATAGTGTACAGGAGTGATATTTATTAAAACGACTAATTTTAAAAAGAAAAAGATTGAAAGTTTAAAAATGAAATTGCCTATAAAATGAACTAATAATTATTAATAATCATTAATCAGGTAAAAAAATCTGTAAAATTTTAATGGAACATCATCCCTGACGAACCTTTTAAGATACATCGATTGATCTCTCCTAACTATCGATTAATGCTCTGAGTACACTCATAACATATACCAAATGTTGTTGTTTTAAGTTTGAATATTACGTATATGTATTGTTTTATTTGTAACTTCACTTGTAACTCTGGAATTAACTATTAATTACTTTGTATTAAGTTAAATTGGATTAAACAACATATTTTTGACGCCCCTACACGACTCCGCTCTGTGTCGGTTCTTATGCGGGACACTCTGTATAATTACACTTATTTATTTTAAACATATTTTTTTACAGTAAACGTAAAAACCGAGCAGGAGGTCGCGCTCACGGGAAGCAAATAACAATGGTAAATTGCAAGGAAAACTATCCCAATGTGGGAAAATCCGGTCTTTCTATGACGTACATAGAAAACAAAAATGGAATACAATATTTCACCTATGAACATAGTCAAAGTTATAGGCAAGTGCAAAATAAATTTTTAGAGGCCGTAGAAAGCATAAATCCTAATAATATAGTAGCTATTATAAACGAGCATCAGTATCACGTTGACGCTCTGATCCAGCTCTCAGATTTGTGTAAATTAAGCGAAGATTTAGCTACGGCAGCGGAACTTATCGAGCGAGCGCTATATTCTTTAGAATACGTTTATCATCCTCTATTTAACGTTGCTCAGGGTAATTGTAGACTGGATTATAGAAGACAGGAAAACAGGTAAGACGATCAGTTCATAATTAGAACCTAAATATTAACAAAGTAATTTTTTTAGAGCACTCTACATAACGATATTCAAGCATCTGATGTTCATTGGTGGCAAAGCATGTTATCGCACATCATTAGAATTTTGTAAATTGCTCCTATCGTTAGATCCTGACGGCGATCCATTGGCCATTGTTTTAGCTGTAGATTTTTATGCAATAAGAGCACGAGAGTACCAGTGGTTTATAGATTTCGTTAAAGAATGGGACAGCACTAAAAATCTGACATGGTTACCCAACATTGCTTATTCATTAGGTTCGTCGATTTATTATACAGGGTGTTAATTAATTGAGTGCCGATACTTCAGGTTGTGAATATTTGGATGATTTTAAGAAGAAAAGTTTATAACAATATATGTCCTAAACCTCTTAGTTTTCGAGCTACAGGGTGTTATAAATTTAGAAAAAAAAACTTTTCTATCATAGGTTTCTATTACTCCAGAAATTTTTATGAAATTTTGTACACACTTTTTAATTATTAGGAGCATTTGTAAGACCTAAGAGTTTTTAAAATTTTTAGCAGTGACGTCCGTACGGAATTTTAACTCAATATGTTCGAAGAAAAAATAGTACATGCTATAGTATATGCATAAAAAGAAGTGAAGGAAGAGAGGTTTTGCTTAGAGGACATTAGTGTTGCCTTAAAGCAAAAGGTTTTACGTTTTAAAGGCCTTTGTTTAAGGTTTTAAAACTTTTTTGAAGTATCGGCACTCAATTAACACCCTGTAAATGTAAACGGTGATTTTTGAGTAAATTTTATTTTAGCTGTGGCACATTTGTATTTGGAAGATTCGGAGAAGGCGGATTTCGTGCTGCAAGAAGCCCTTCTCATATTTCCGGGGGTGCTTTTGCCATTGTTAGAACAATGCAGCGTACAGACTGATAACAGGGTCGCTAGCAATCCATTCTTCACCACAGCCAACGACGTAAAAAGGTAAGCAATTTATAAAGAATAAATTTAAAAACTAATAGTAACCTTCCTTATTTAGGCAGCCTTTGGCTTTGACGCAATTGATCCAGTTGTACATAAAAAGGAGTTACCACATATGGAAAGACAGCGACTTACTACCGTGGTTAGAGAGAAACGTGCATCAGGTTTTAGATCGAGTCGAAAATAACGATCCTATGGTTAAAGAGTACGAAGTTAAACGGTTGAAGAGATTCCAAGGAAACCTGCCGTTGAGTATAGCTCGGCACATTGTGTTATCCGATATAAAAGGAGTATCTCCGATGACTGATGTATGTATACACGTTACAAATTTGTACATAATATGGTCCATGGGTGCAACAAAAAAAATTTCCTTTAGTCTCATATAAAGGAAAAAGAAAGAGTGATGTTGTGGAATTGCAACTTTCGCACTCTAATCACTGATATTTTGTTAATATTTCTTTGTTCAACTCAAAGAATTGCTACCACATTTGCACTTACCCCTACAGGGTGTCCCACTTGAGAACTGACACAGAGAGTGCGCGTGTAGGGGAGCCCGTAAAATGATGTTTAACTCTATTTAATTTAATACAAAGTTTATTATCTGAATTTTTAACAAGATGAAAGTGAGTTTAGTTTTTTTGTCATTCTTCTGCCATTTAGGGATGCTCCAGAATCATCTAGAGCTGTCTAGAACCAAAAAGGGCGATCCCGAACCATTTATAACTGTCTAGAATTATTTAAAATGCTCTAGAATCATTTAAAACTGTCTAGAACAATTTAGAACGCTCCAGAGCACTAACCATCAATAGTCGATAATTCAAAAGTTGGCTGAATTAAGTTGGGAAAACAACGTGCTAGGCTCCCCTACATTCTCCTGCCCTGTGTTAGTTCTTATACGGGACATCCATTATAACAACTTATTTCTTTCTGTTATTTCATTGTTGATTTTCAGGAAGCCGCCGGTCCCGTAATGAGTTTCGATCCACTACCACCGAAAGATTCCATCAATATTTATACGAGATCGAAGAAATCCACGGTATCTCATTCGAGCGGAAACGCTTTGGGTATATTTTTTAGATCGATTCTACCTAATTTTAATCCGAACGCACCAGAACAGTAAGTGAATGTTCGAGTTCTCGATATTTACAAATGTTTGTTCTAATGTTCGATTGCAGAGCTAGAGAAGAGGACGGTGCCAGAGCGTTGCCTGCTGGTATAGAAGAAAATGCCATTGTCGATTTACAAACTAGCGTGGCCTCGTTGGTGGACGCCATGAGAGATTTATTGAACAACATCAGGCTGGAGGTGCCGAACGATGCCGATGCCGAGGAGAATGACGATTCAGCAGACGACGACGACTTGACATGAATTCATTCGATGTTTTAAATTAAGCGAAATTACACGCTAATCTATTTCTTGCAGTTGACGTACTCCTATTAATGCATATAAAGAAATTTTATTACTTCGGTGTCAGCATTTTATTTGAATGGCACAAACAACTTTTGTTTTCGGTACAAAAATAAGCTTTTATATCAAAAGTTTACCTTTACTAATGTATAATAAATATTCGTTTATCCAATTGAGCAAGTTTCACTCATAACTTAATAACTAATACACAGGTTAAAAACTTTAATAACTAATTCATTACATTATTTTAGCGTTTATTAACAGTTAAAAAAATTGCAAAATTAAAAAAATACGACCTGAAGAATCTTTAAAATGTAATAATAAATAGAATGAAAAAATATATATCGAATATTATGTCACAAGAATAAAGTTCAGACACATATATCTGTACCATAGAGCTAAAGAGTCGTAACTCCACTTTACACAATTGTTGGAAATGAACGTTTCCCTCACTAAAACACATTAATATTTTTTCACAAAATCATACCACGTAAAGTAGTGGCTGGGAGTTGCGATTTACAGCTAGAATGTGGATTATAGATCAAGCAGAAGGAAAACCACATTAACTCAAAATCGAGAAAAAGTGGAGTTACGACTCTCTACCTTTTTGACATGTCACATAACATTACTATTTCTGGTTATTAAGCAAGGCTGTTAGGTGTTCATTTAAAATCCTTAAATCTTCTTTAGTGTTTTGATCCAAAACTGGCAGCAGAGACGGTCTTAAGCCGGTTTGTGGCAATAAGCTAAGCTGGCAGCCACCTTCGAGGGGTATGTTGATAGTGGTCGCGCAGTCTTGAGTTGTTGGGTTCACTAATAGCGGGCTACCCTGCAGAGAGAGGGCCACTTCACCTTGTATCGGCCGCCTCATTATTATCTGAGGTGTGTTGGGTACAATCTAAAACATAATCGATATCGAATTATTCAAATTAATTGAATTTGTTCTATAGTTACCTTAGGAGTAACTGGTCCGTAATTGTTAGGATTCCTTCCCTTGGAAGCGGGCGTGACGAATCTATTCTGAATTTGTTCTGTAGTTCCCTTAGGAGAAACTGGTCCGCAATTGTAAGGATGCCTTCCCTTGGAAGCGGGCGTGAGGAATCTATTCGCCTTCGCAGTACTTTGCTTCTTAGTTCTTGAGCGACTTCGTTCTGATGAATTAGAACTCTCGGTTGTTAAGTAACCTAAATGACAGAAATACCACCACCGTGTTAAATGAAATCGAAATGAGATTAATTGATTTAGTGCATGATTTTCAAGTTATTTTTTTATGATAACACGTAATGAGAAAAAAAAGATGTTTACACAGTTATGCAATAGGGTACATTAAAATTGATATCTATTATTTATAGAGAAATATATTAACTAACCATCATCATATGATCTACTGCGGGTTTTCCTAGTGCTTTTAGTTACCTCTAGTTTACTCTTGGTTACATTGGATAATGTGCCATTGTGTAATGAAGTACCCAGACGTTTCTGGAAGTAGTTAAAAATTCTTTATAAAGCTACGAATATAAGATTGTTGCACAACTTACACATTCGCCAATCGTCATGGTTAAAACAGTTCCTGAAATCGAATTTATCAGATCACAGTAGTGCTTCGTAACTAACGAAATTTGTCGCTCTTTCTCCTCTTTTATCATGCTCGAAGATTTTTTTTCTAAAATGGTTTGAATTCGTTAACATAACTTGGGTGAATTGTACAAGAATGCTGCAGAAGACTTACCGAAATCTACCAATATTTTTGCTATCGCAATATTTTCATCTTGACCTTCTCTCCTACTTTCCTTTTTTGCTCCTTTCTTGACCACCTTAGTTCTCGGCATCTAAAATAAGGTAAGTTAAAAATGTATACCCAAAGCACGTTTTACTTTTCACAATCCGAATACTCGTTTTTTATAAAATAGCTGGTGATTTAAACATGATAGACAAGTACAGCCAGATAACATTTTGTTAAGAGAAGCTAAAATCAGCCAACTGCCTTAGTGTGACTAATTACAATATGTACTTTTATATTCGTAGATAACACGTACCCTTTCAAATTAATTTTAAAATGTAACCGACTGTTTTAAAATGCAAATAACCTGAACAAGTAAGCACAAACACAAACGCCAACGGTCATCAGTAGAACACAGAACACAATAAAATGGCAAAATCAAATTCAAACTTCGAACACAGAACCACTGACAGTTGATTGAAGTAACGTCAAACTTCACTTTTTATTGAGTCGTTGACTATGTTTGTATACAGTAAAAAAACTTAGATTTTATTTTGCACTTTTGCACTTTGCATTTTATTATACATAGAGAAAAGAAAGAAAGAAAGATATATTTTGTCTATAGTATTATATTTCTTCCACTTTCATGTATTTGTAGTTAATTGTACATTAAATAAAATAACATATTACAAGTCCAAGCTTACATTTTAAGTATAATTATTATTAAAGTGTTTTTAAATCTACTTTGTATATTGTAGTTAACTACAATTACAACTACTTGTAAAAAATGTAATTAAATACGTAGTTAAATATATTTTATTCTTAAGTATTTAACTACGTATTTAAATATATCGGAATTGTAGTTTAAATTATTTAAAACTAAATTTGTAATGACAAAACTCCACGAATTGGGGGGCATTTACCTCTAATTTATAATAAGTTCGTTTTCAATAATGGCAAAGGAATTTATATAAACTTTGATCGTAAATAACAATTCAGGTACCTAATAGAAAAAAAATAAATTATTTGAAAATGTATATTTAAATAATGTAGTTAAATACTACAAAAAATGTAGTTAAATGTATTTATGTTTCCGGACATATAAAAATAGTTAGTTGGTTATTTAAATACAGTAAAAGTAGTTGAACTACATTTTTAACTACTTGTAGTTAACTACTTAACAACACTGTTATTAAATATCTGTCAAATTTCTGGTATTTTACAGAGGATCTGATTTAGGGTTTTTAGTAAATTAAATTCAATAAAAGTAACAATTGTAATCAATAATAATTCATTAATTTATTGAATAAAATAGGTTTTTAAAAGACTGACATTTTATTAATACAAATTTCGGTGCCGATCTAGTATGGGGTCTACCATAATATTTGCGGTCTAAAAATCTTTGCGGTTTACCTTCATATTTCGTTGCCCAAGTATATTAAAATACGTAATTTTTGATAAAATGAGTTACCCACATGCTGTTTTATAAATAATTCAATACCAATAAAAATTTTTCTTTTGCTTAATGAAGGGCAATTTTTCCAAATCTTGCTGTTATACTTTGTAATAAATACTTTGTGTACAAACAGAGATTGGTTCATTTAAGTTTGTAACATAGGCTATGGGTGCAATAAAGAAAACTTCCATTAGACACTTAAATGAAAGAAAAAGAAAGAGTGACATTGTCAGTTTGCAACTTTCTCACTTTAACTGTTGTTTTATTAATCTTTCTTTGTTCAACTCTTTTGACCATATGGCCAACTTTATGCACCTTACTATACACCTAGGTGTATAATAAATTTAGGTAGACCGCATACTAGACCGACATCCAAATTTCTCGAGAAATCAACAAAAAAATTAAATTTCCCCTTTTTAATTTGATCCATGGACATACTGTAAATATAAAGTTAAATATGCTATTATAAAATAAAATATAATATAATGTAAATTTTAAAGGTGAATATAAAAAATTAATTAATAAATAACAGAAAAGTTTGTTATAAACTGAAAATCGAATAAGGATGAGTTCATTTTATTTTTACTCAGTTAAATTGCAGTATCCAATTTGATACAAATAATGCTTCGTCGTCTCATCGCTTTAATTCTCTTTACTTCATTAGCAAATGCTGTTCAAAGATTCATAAAAATCGACCCGTCAACGGTAATAAATCGCAGTTTCATAAAGAATTAAATATACATGAGACAGGAATATTAAATATTTTTTAGGTTGTTCCTGGTTCTGGAGGTAAATATGGTGGAGAAAGTGGCTTAGTCCAGTATTCATATGGGCAACTGGATCCAATGGGAAGAGTCATAAAATTAAAGCGGTACACAATGAATGTAAGTTGGAATTTATCTATATACATAAGTTTATAAAATTATTCATGTTTAGTATGATATTTAAGTTGAAGTTATTCTCCATGATAAGAGTGTTTTAGCTATGTCCAGAAAATAGATGTCAATAATTCGGGAGGGTTTACATAGATGACATCAAAATAAGGGTACACCTTTATACAGTGTGTCTATTTAAGTTCGCACCATATGGAAAACTTTTTTATTATTAATTTTACGAAAAAAAGTTATTCTTCATAAAAAGTTCTGCATGTTTTAAAACCTAAAATACAACCATCAGATAAGATTTTTTTTAATCCGTATACGAGGTTTGTCAAAAAAATGTGTTTTGTACTCAAGAGTAAAGTACCTTTATTTTTGAAAATATCGGAAATTGTTATTAAGAAAAGTTGATCAGGACTTAAAATTACATTTTTAATGTTTTTATGTAGTCGATAATTATTGTAAAATAAATTATTTTGTTATCATTTATTTCAATGCATAATCAAACTAATGCAACATAGAAGTTAAGAGATGTAAATGTAATCAAATTTTTAACGAATAAAGGGATAACAGATAACAATTTCCAATATTTTCAAAAATAGATTTACTTTACTTTTGAGCAAAATTCATATTTTTTAACAAACCTGGTATACGACTGAAAAAATTAGATATCTGATGATTGTATTTTAGGTTTTAAAACATGCAGAACTTTTTATGAAGAATAACTTTTTTTCGTAAAATTAATAATAAAAAAGTTTTCCATATGGTGCGAACTTAAGTAGACACACTGTATAAATTTTGTTCATTTGGGTTCCCATTTTTGGGCTAGGGGCTTTTAAAGTTGAAAATTTAAAACTTATTTTTATGTTTTATTACCAAATTATATATGGGAACAATATTTTCTTTGTTTTTTACCAACATCCGTATGCCCAATTTGGTGAAAAAATGAATTCTCTACACTACTCCTTGGAAGACAGTGGCGCCGTTTTTCCAATTATAAACAATTCGTAACTCTTATGGGGACGATCAATATAATGCAAACATATCGTAAATATATTTTTGAATCGATTACCTAACAAAAATGTTCAAACTCATGTTTGAAGTCGATAAAATTAACGGTTTATACCCTTATTTTGATGTCATTTATACGCTCCAAAATTATTGCCATCTATTTTCTTGTAACCCTGTAACTAAAATAGTCAGAGAGTAAAATAGCTGAGGCTGTTAGTGTTGTAGACACAAAAGTTCCGTTATCAGTCTAATTTTAATACATATAGTTTTCAATTTTATTATTTCATTGAATTGTTATTGAAAGTGTAATCGAATTTCGCTATTCCGTTCAAAGTATAGATAAATTATTACAGTTTTACGCGGTTTTGTACTGTTTAGCAAAATATTTATTATTAATTCACAATTGAAGTGTATATAGAGTATATAAAAATACAAATTTCATTGTTCTTTTATTCCTGAATAAAGGAAATTAAAAATTTAATAATCGAAGGTGGAAAAAGTGTTAATTTAATTGAAAAATCTTCAAACTGCCCACACAACACTCTTATATGTATAAAGCTTTAAAATTTTTAATTTATTTAGTTTACTTCGGCACCTCTCACAAAATATGTACCGATTGTTTGGAATTTTAATCTTATTTATTACTTTAACAAATGCTTCTAAACAAAGGCAAGTTATATTCGTCGATCGACGTAATCAGGTAGGTAAGAAAATAAGTAGAATTTTTTCAACAAATCAACGTTATTAGTACATCAGTACGCTTCCATTATGTTAATATGTTCTATTTTAAATAAAACTAATCAGTTTTAATTATTTAAAAAAATTGTTCCAGAATGATCCTTACGTTACGGTGGTTAAGACGAAACCTATTCGTATGAGGACACTTTTCGGAGGATTAGGTGGTGCAGTAGGCGGTGGACTTAGCGCTGGAATAAGTGCAGGAGCAGGTCTAGGTGGTTATGGAGGAATGGGCATGGGAGGAATGGGCATGGGAGGAATGGGTATGGGTGGCATGGGTATGGGTGGAATGGGATCAATGGGAATGGAAGCAGGAATGGGTATGGGGGGCAGCATGGGGGGTATGGGAGGAATGTTTATGGGATAATAGATGTCAAGCAATTACTAAAAAATGTGTCATACGACATATTGTTTAGATAATAAATGTATACGAATTACCTATAGTTTTTGTTTCTGTAATAACATAAAAGTTACCAAATAAATTGTGATTATGAAAACTTGCCTTTTTGTATTTGTAGAATTTATAGAGTGTATTACCAATTTTTGTTCGTTTAAGATTTTGCAATAATGTTTGTTTATTCAACCTAACTCTTTGTTTGATCTTACCTGCTGTGTCAAAAGCTCAAAGATATTGTTAATCATTGTTTGTTAAATGGCAATCAACATTTATATTAAAGCATCAGTAAAAAATGAAGTACTGAAATTACAATCAATATTAAAATAATAATTCATTATCACAATCAATAGTTATATTTCACGAATGATTTATGTTCGTAATAACGAAATTACCGGTTCGTTTATTATAATAAATTACAAACCATCGCTTATTAAATACTATAAACTAATAAACCGCGTAGGAAACAATACAATCCATTATAAAGTAAACGAATCGATTACAAAAATAATTAAAAAACATTTAAATAATTAAATGGTTCTTTCTGAACCGCCTACGAGAAAAGCTTAAATATTGGCAAATTTCCATTAAAGAACAATTTACTAATGTTCGAATTTTTGGTAAAAATGCATCTCACCCACGTTATTCTTTTATCATTGATTGGTTGTATCTACGGTCTGCCTAATCCAGAAGAATATGTGGTTGTCAGAAATTCGTTGGTAAGATTTACATTTTTTTATTAATCATCATGTTACTACTTCCTTTTCACGTTTCTTACATGAGTCCTCATAGCCTCTTCGCAGTTAACAGAATCCACTAATGAAAGTCAATGAACAATTAAATCAATTGACAAAAAATATTTGCTTACTAGCTTTATTTCTTCTTATTTCGTTTTTGAAGCTACATATGTAATTAGGTACATTGTGCTTTTATTACTACCTAATATATAAATTAGAAAATAATTAGGATACAAATAGGGGGAAGGAGGGCAATATTTTTGGCAATATAATTGATAAAATAGTACATTATTCTTTTGGTAATTGTTTTATTCGCGATATCAAACTTCACTAAAAGTGATCAAAGTGTAACATTTCGGATTTTCATTGCTTCAGCCGGTAAGTATTTTATCAATTTTAGCTGCATAATTTTCCAAATTTTCTTAATATACCTTACATTCAATTAATCGATTCGCCAATTTACCCTCCTGTCTTCGCAAAAAAATCTTGTGAAAAAGAAATGAGTGTTCAATTAAATAAACTTGGTTGGGAATACACTTTGTCTTGTTTGATTGAGAGAGAGGATCAGAATTCAAATTCAAAGATGGCCGACTCACGCGAAATACTTAGGTACCATTATAAAAGCTGCTTGGTGGAATTACAATTTTGGGAATTTTGGAATTTAAACGTCAAAAATAAACTACCATTCTCCTTGTTTTAGCAGCAAGGTGCGTCCAAGAGACAGGATGTATCCGGAATGCACGAGTCTGGAGACACACGATTGATGGCAATCAATAACATGATACCCGGCGCGCAGATGCTTCAGATGGTTCCCTCCAGGACGATGTACCCTATGGGGCAAATGGGACAGATGGGACAGTATTCACAGATGGGCCAAATGGGACAGATGGGACCAATGGGACAGATGGGACAAATGGGACAAATGCCTGGACAGATGTTCCCGGTAGGACGTTTAGTGGGTCGCTCGATATCAACCAGACAAGACAAAGGTATCCCAATTCATGCGATTCCGTTTATGCCAAATGGTTTCGTAGCTTACGGTTGATTTGAAATGTTCCATTTATGAAATTATTTTAATAAAACCTAATAACTACAATATCACGACTATTTTTTGTGGATTTGATTGTTCTACTTACGCAAAAGAGAAAAAAACTAGAATGTAAGTTCAAAGAATTACCTACACAGTGACAAAAAAGTGCCCGGAAAAATGGAATAAAATGCAAAATCGTAATTTTTATTTTAATCTCCTAGAAAATATGCTGCTTTTGAAGCGATACTCATAGTCAGACGCCTTTTCCAATGAGAGAGATGTTAGTAGATGATGATTTTCGAACTCAATTTCCTTCATTTTCTCGCTGTTATCATTGGTCGAAGAGGTCGAAGGTCGTCCGGAACAAGGCCAGTATTTAGCTATCTTACGACTGTCTTTAAAAGTTCTGTACCATTCGTAAACCTGCGTTTTCGATAAAACAGAGTCACCTTAAGCATTTGCATCGATTCGGTCTATGAAATTCTGTTGAAAACCCAAAATATGGGACAAACTCATTGTTCATTATTTTCGTCCATTGCAAAGTTCGCAGAGCACTATTGAGATGAACTGATTCAATCAGTTGCTACAACCAAACTGCTTGTGAAATTTCTCTAATTTTTTGCATGGCAATAAGGAAGAGTGTTACCTACGTACAGAAAATTGAAATAGTTAAAAATATTAAGTGCAGGTAATTTAAATCAGAATTTCCGGGTACTTTTTTGCTAGAAGGTATATCTAATATACAGGTCATAATTATGAAAACTGCAAATAGTACGATTACTAAGGTTTGTGGTATTAATTTAAGTGGATGAATTAATTACCTACTAATAGTAAATAACTAATTAATTTCCTCATATTACTAATCATAACTGGGTAAATACTTACCAAAATAAAAAGGAACTTCATACGTTTACTCGAGTTTTACAAAAGTAGTAAAATAAATCTAAACATTTAATAAATTTACTAATAAATATTTGCTTGAAACAAATTTTGTCTTGAGGTATTGCGAAAAAAAAAACATTCTGGGATCATCTACTCTAATAAAAATCAGTCATTCTGGAGATACAAACGATTTAAAAAAGGTTAAATCAATTAATCAACTAAGTATATTCGAAATAAACAGAAGTTATCCTTGTTTTAGAAGCATCGGAAACACCACGCTCCTAGGCGAGATGATTCTGACATATTGTACGATTATGCAGGCAAACAAATTATAGTAATCAGTACGCTGCCTCCTCTACCGTTACTACATAATGGGGTACCGCCCAAGCAAATGGTATATCCCATGGGAGAGATGGGACACTTGGATGCAGTCCCAATTCCGAGACACTCAGATGTAATCCTGCTAAGAAGCGACGACGGTCCAGTATTCGATAGACAGCTGAGACTCATAGGTACATACGGGTCCTTTAATGTGTTCGAAATGCTGTCGCACGCTGGTGAAAAGAGGAACACGAAGCTGAAGAAGCGCATACGGGGATATACGAGACAAATAGGATTTGGCCCAATGGAAATGGGCCAAATGGGAATGGCACAAGTGGGGTTGGGGGAATTGGTAGAGATGATGCAAAATGGTGAATTTGCGGAAGTTGCGGAATTGTCGAGGGAATTGGGGTTAATGGGTGGTGGTGAGTCGAGTTTTCCATCGATTGACATGGGAATCCCGCAGGCGGGAGAAATGGGTCAACTTGGAAATATGGTTCAAATGAGAGGGTTGGAACAATTGGAGGAAATGGAACAGTTGGGGCAAATGAGACAAATAGGGCTGCCGGGACTGTTGGGATAGTTGGGACAGATTGTATAATTATGACTCAAAATTCTATGTTATCTAGTTTATACCGATAGGAATAAACATCATACGTTGTATTTCGAAATGTTTTATTACTTATTACTAATAAGAATAATGTTGTCTCGATTTTTTTCTTACTCATAGTACTAAGAAGTCAATATAGCATGCCAATCAATTTTCAGGTATCAAATAATATGCTAACTATACACCAAAAACTCTGATAAGCAAAAATACTAGTAGGGCACCCTGTAGATTAGCAGAATTTATAACACATTTTGCAATGGAGTTTCATTTGATTAACCCACCAATTTAAGTTCTACAGTTTGATAAGCATTTTTATTATTTTTTTAGCTAGTATGCTCATTTTAGTTACCTACTATAAAATATTCAGGTTTACATCACTTGTTTTAATTAATTTAAAAACAGCTTGTCCACCACCCACAAGGTTAGTCAAATTCGATTGCCTTTTTTTAATGTTTTACAGTAATTGTTACTTTTTATTTGACAATGATTTATTGTTTGTATGTGCTGTTTATTATCGTTTTATCTTCTGCAACCCATCATGCAGCCAAGAGAGGATTGATAAGATCAAATCTCTAATTTTTATACAGTATTAGTGCCTGCAGTGTACGTTATATTATTTATCGTTTATTAACTAAAATTAGTAAATGCAGGGTGGCCCAGAAAGTTATTCCAAAAAGTTATTCCTTTGGTAAATAAAGAGGTTTAAAATTGACCAATCCCAATAGCAGTTCACATACGCAAAAATGACGTGAATTTGACATTATTGAAAGATTGTATGTCCTTTTCACATTCAAGGTTAACAGAAGCTGCCAAAATCAGCTGCGACTATTGATCAAAGATTTGCTTTTAAATCGATCATTCAGGAGCTCCGCCGTGCTGATACCATAGAGAAATATAGAGTGGCAAAAGCATACGGATGCGCGTGAAAATAATGGAACAAATTGAATTTGACAGATTTGACAATTTTGACATTGTCATGTCATTTAAGGTAGAAAAGTCAACGAAAATAATGAGATAGCTAATTGAACTTTTGTTATGTAAGGAATAAAGAGAGCAAATGCCCGGTATTCGCACGAAGCGAAGCGAATAACCGATATACAAGTTCCTGTTCCTTACTATCTTATAGAATTGATTGAGATTCTAATTCTAATGCTTGCAGCGGAATAATTCGGTCATATGGTATATTTTTATTATGATTTAAAATTTTTGATACTTGTAGTAATAGAAAATTTCATTCATTTTGTTAACATTTATTTTATTTCGTACCGTTTATTTATTTAGTCTTTTATTTTAACCTTAGACCATATATACTATACCATATAGACATACCGTGTTGGAAAATTTTTCGCGCATAATAGGGAAATCAATGTTAAATTCTTAGCCGGCTGAAATCCAATCTACCAGTGTACATTTCAATAGAACGTCGCGATCAATTCTAATAAATTTAATTGTTCTACTGGACTTCACACCGCGCTTTGGCTTGGTTAGATTAAAAATCAAATAATTTCGACGGTTTCAACACTTCGACAGTATCAAAACGGGTTCGGATGGGTGAACGTCGAGTCGATTACAAAGAATTGAGAATTTTTAAACGATAATTTATTGAAAAAATATCACTAATAATAAAATAGAATTATGTAGATATGTCTTTTTGCCACAATGGCTTGAAAAAGAAAGTAAATTCTAAGAAAATAATAAAAAGAATACTCCAAAAATAAACTTAAAGATTATTTTAAAATAGAAAATAAAAGAACTCTAAAAAATAGTCAACCGCTTTCTGCTAAACAATAGCCAAACCTGTCATACAGATGTCATCTCATATTACTGAGCTGAGGTGTAATTTTAAGAAAATTGAATTATTTTTTCCTTATTTTTCCTTATTTTAACAAGATTTGTTGCTATTTCAAAACTGTACCTACCGATACACACATTTTTTTTGAAATATCCCCAAAAAACCTATTAATTGTAGTTTCTAAATAATTTTGTACCTCATACCTAACACAAATAACTTTGTACCTCTACAAATCGCGGCGTGCGATCCAGTAGAACAATTAAATTTATTAGAATTGATCGCGACGTTCTATTGAAATATACACTGGTAGATTGGATTTCAGCCGGCTAAGAATTTAACATTGATTTCCCTATTATGCGCGAAAAATTTTCTAACACTGTATATACTATTATTATATAAGACTCGCTAAACGCTCGGAAAGGGGGCTCTGCCCCCTTTCAACCCCCCTTCCTTATGGTGGCGGCTTCGCCGCAAGACAGTTTGCTAGCCGGATCCTCGTTCGCTTCGCGAGCTCGGTGCGATTGAATTTTCGTTTGGAAATTAATCACACCCCGTATATCAATTTTTTAAACAAACAGATCTCGCTCGCTGCGCGAGCTCGACTATATCGCTGTAAATATCGATGGGCTCTGCCGCACTAACCCGCAGCTCGGAGGCCTGACGGCCTCCTACGCAAAGGCTGTTAAAAAACTAAGGTCTCGCTCGCTGCGCGAGCTCGACTATATCGCTGTAAATATCCATGGGCTCTGCCGCACTATCCCGAAGCTCGGAGGCCTGACGGCCTCCTACGCAAAGGCTGTTAAAAAACTAAGGTCTCGCTCGCTGCGCGAGCTCGACTATATCGCTGTAAATATCCATGGGCTCTGCCGCACTAACCCGAAGCTCGGAGGCCTGACGGCCTCCTACGCAAAGGCTGTTAAAAAACTAAGGTCTCGCTCGCTGCGCGAGCTCGACTATATCGCTGTAAATATCAATGGGCTCTGCCGCACTAACACGCAGCTCGGAGGCCTGACGGCCTCCTACGCAAAGGCTGTTAAAAAACGAAGGTCACGCTCGCTGCGCGAGCTCGACTATATCGCTGTAAATATCCATGGGCTCTGCCGCACTAACCCGAAGCTCGGAGGCCTGACGGCCTCCTACGCAAAGGCTGTTAAAAAACTAAGGTCTCGCTCGCTGCGCGAGCTCGACTATATCGCTGTAAGTATCAATGGGCTCTGCCGCACTAACACGCAGCTCGGAGGCCTGACGGCCTCCTACGCAAAGGCTGTTAAAAAACGAAGGTCACGCTCGCTGCGCGAGCTCGACTATATCGCTGTAAATATCCATGGGCTCTGCCGCACTAACCCGAAGCTCGGAGGCCTGACGGCCTCCTACGCAAAGGCTGTTAAAAAACTAAGGTTTCGCTCGCTGCGCGAGCTCGACTATATCGCTGTAAATATCCATGGGCTCTGCCGCACTAACCCGAAGCTCGGAGGCCTGACGGCCTCCTACGCAAAGGCTGTTAAAAAACTAAGGTCTCGCTCGCTGCGCGAGCTCGACTATATCGCTGTAAATATCAATGGGCTCTGCCGCACTAACACGCAGCTCGGAGGCCTGACGGCCTCCTACGCAAAGGCTGTTAAAAAACGAAGGTCACGCTCGCTGCGCGAGCTCGACTATATCGCTGTAAATATCCATGGGCTCTGCCGCACTAACACGCAGCTCGGAGGCCTGACGGCCTCCTACGCAAAGGCTGTTAAAAAACGAAGGTCACGCTCGCTGCGCGAGCTCGACTATATCGCTGTGAATAACAATGGGCTCTGCCGCATAGACCCGCAGCTCGAACGCCTATCGGCGTTCTACGCAAAGACAGTTATACATATAGCCGGATCCTCGCTCGCTTCGCTCGCTCGGTTTATGTAATTACCATTTTCTTAAATACAAGTAACCCTGTACTATATTATAATTTAAATTTAAATAATTGTTCGCTTTAGAAAAAAATCACCCCGTATATCAATTTTTCCGATTTCCTTAATGAAAAAACACCCTGTACATCAAATTAAATGTCAACGTATCCCGTAGTAACGGAAATGACAACTTTGACAGTTTGAAGTTTGTTCATCGCCGCTGTCATTAGTGTAGTTTTTTTAAAAATAATTTGATCGTTTCTCGGTTTTTGGTAAGTACAAATGACCAAGAAACGTATATTTTTGCGAATTATTGCAATTTCTTTTATTCTCGTCCATTAAAATCGACGAAATTGTCAAAATAACAAAAATTCCGTCATTTCGGTGTTAGTTCCGTTTAAACCAAACGAACGGGCAACGACCATCAAATAATTTCTTTGGAAATCTGTCAAAAATTTTACATTTTTAATTTCGATTTACGGACAAAAACGAATTTAGCCAGCGAAAAGAGGTCGATTTTCGTAAACAGCGAATTTTTTTACGTGCCCCTATGTACCTCTGTACGCCCAAGTAATTCATGATTTAAAAATCTCGCATCCTAACTCGGTTCTATCTATATATATATGTGATTTTAACTATATAAGGCCTACACAAGATCGCATAAAAGTAGTGGATTTCCGTTACTTCTGGCAACGCTGTGTTAAAATTCCGCTACTTCTGGCAACACTGGTATCTACCTTAAATGACAAGTGACAGTATGCGCAAAATTCAATTTGTGCCATCTACGAATACACGCTTTTTCCACTCTATATTCTCTATGGCTGATACCAATCGTACTGAATTGCTTCAAAAGTAGTTCGAATCGAATGATCGATTTTTTGATCAAGTTGGAAGCAAATCTTTGATCAATAGCCGCAGCTGATTATGGCAGCTTTTGTTAACTTTGAAAGTAAAAAGGACAGAATCTTTCAATAATGTCGAATTGGCGTATAGCTATTTCTCGACATTTTTTTTTTAATTTAAACTGACACTGGGATTGGTCGATTTGCAACCTCTTTATTTACCAAAGGAAAAACATTTTCATGTTTTCTATTGCAGTTTTGGCATATCCATTGTCGTTTCCATAAGGCTATTCCCGGTGGAGCGTGAGTTCTGGGCCACCCTGTATTCATAGTCTAAAAAAACTAAGAAAAAGAAGTTTCATATTTCAGCCTCCTGATAACTTTCCCCAATTGCAGCAGAGAGTGGAAAACTCTCGGATAATGTACGGACACAGGCGAGAATTTCAGAGATAATTGGAGATGAGGGAAATTGGGCAAATAGAGAAATCCAATTGAAAAGGATTAGAAAAATTGAATTAAATTAAAAAGTTGTCCATGGAATTGATGTTGACAGAAATGTTGCAGGATTTAGGGCTGATGGGTGGTTAAACTTTTTATAAAGGAAATAAGAAACACGTATGAACAGACAGTACGAATGCAATTATATTATTTTATATTTGATACAAATAAAATAGTTTCAGTTGATATTGACAATTTTTTATACCCATTTTTTTACTCAGTAAAAATATATATGTAGTTTTTTACTTACCTATTACCTAATATTGTATTAAAAGCGATCTTCCTCTTATATAATAACTAATTAGTATTTATTAAATGCTATACTTACTACCCTAAACTATACATTCTAAAGGATGTACTTAATTGGACATTTCAATTGAATTCCCTGATAATTAATTTTCATGTCCCAAATACACAGCATACACACCATATTATATTTTTGCTGGGACACTCTGCATAGTTGCCTAAATCTTTCAACACATTTTTATAATAGAATTTTCTTTGATTGATGCACCACTATAAATACTAAAAATCTATAAAAAATATTTAATATTTTTTTGTATTCGCTTTATATTTTATAATAAATGTGCTGGTGTTAATTTTCACAGTAGCAGTTGTAATTAAACGAGGAAAAAGTTTAGTCGGCCCACACACATAGCAAAATTCGATTGTCTTTTTAATGGCAATGGTTTCGTTTGATTCGACAATGATTCATGGCGTTCTTCTGCTGATTGCTATTGATCTATCCACCGTACGAACCCGTAGCACTCCCAAAGGCGGTTTAGGGGTAAGGACGTACATTTATTTTAATACTATTAATTCATCTAATTATAGGTATATTCATATAAAAAAATTAAATATAATCTGCCTCAAGGACCGTAGCATAACAAACTTAGGGTCAAAAGCACATTCAGGTATCCTTTGGGATGATTGTACTTAATATAGAGTGAAAATTATTTTAAAATCTTGCAAAAAATTTATGGTTAAAGGTTCCAGTTATACTTCTAAATCCAGTTTGTTTTTAGAGAACCGCCTTTACTGCATTAGAAGGTTTCAAAACTAATCACAATAACGATGAATATACGAAGGCTTTGCACAAAGAAGAAAGCTATTTTAAAAAATCACAGAAGCGCGTAGAATATTCTACGAGCGTTCATTCTACGGCTGGATTCGCTAATTTACACCATACAGACCATTCTCTAGGCCAAAACAGTGGTTATTCCAATCACGAGGAAAATCATCAATACACCGGCCACTCACAAGGAGCAAATTCAGGAGGAAAACAACATCAGGATTATCATCGAGATGACGATTTTCATAACAAATTATCGACCCAAAAAAAAGATTTCGACCGAAAGAAACATAAACATGAAGATACAATAAATAATCATCTTAAAGGTAATCTGGATGCGAGTCATTACAAGCACAAGAAATCACAGATTCAAAGCCACTCCGAGCACAAGGTTGTGAAAAGCAAAAAAAAATCTAGTAGCAGTTACAAACAAGGTGGGCATGTACAAAATAGGCATATACAAAACAGTGAAGACGACGATGGATACAATATTGCAAAACAATCTGAACATGAAATAAGTACCGGTAAATCCAACGTTGAAATGGTAACTGGTGCTGGATATCAAAATGCTGGAACAGGAATAGGAGTTGGAACAGGTGTAGGAGTTGGAACAGGAGCAGGAGTTGGAACAGGAGCAGGAGTTGGAACAGGAGTAGGAGTTGGAACAGGAGTAGGAGTTGGGACAAGTGTAGGAGTTGGAACCGGAGCAGGAGTTGGAACAGGAGTGGGAGTTGGTGCAGGTGGAATGGCCGGTGCAAGTGGAGCTGTCGGAGGAAGTTTTCAATTACACACGGCACTAGGTAGCGGTGTTGGAGCTGGAGTCGGGACCGGTTTAGGACTTGATACTGGATTATTTGCTCCTGCAATACCACTAGGATTTATCGCCCATCCACATCCTATCAATCCAATGGAATTTATGACATTCTTGGATTCGACTTTCCTCAAACATATACCCGGATAAATCCAATCATATAAAAAATACATTTTTATTAAGGCAATAAAACCAATTTATATTATAAACTACATACCTAATACATCCATACTGCCAAGTAACACAGCTTCTTAGTCTTTTGTGCATAAAAGAATTAAACATTGAGTAGTAGCATGATTTATTTCTAATAATTAGAAAATATTTAGTACATACATAAAACACAATCTGGTATAGTTCATATTACTATTTTAAGAGTACCAATCTCCAAAACCTACTTTCAACCTACTTTCACAAATCCTTTGCATTTTCAATGGACAATGGAGTAATTTTTAATTCAACGTATAGGATAATATAGAACTTATGGACAAGATGGTCCATGATTTTGGACTATGATCTTTTTTATCCCTTCCTATTATTCCCTAAATATCTTTAATTTTAATTGTAGTTCTACTTTCACTTTTCTCTTCCATAATGTAAATGTGAACCTAAATAACAAATTTCCAAATATTCGGCAATAAACTGGATCAATACTGTAGAAACATTATTCACCTATTCAATTTCTGATCTATTTTATATTGCAGAACGACTTTAAATCTCAACGTTTCCCTTCAACATGACATATTCCAATTGTTTGTTTGACTACATCACGCCCATAAATCCAAACCATCGCAATACAAAAATCGAAATTTCAAAATTCTAAGTAAGCATCCCCGATAAGCGACCGATCCCAGCAAAATGTGCTGCCCAGTGGTGAAAAACACGGACATGTTCGAGTGCATGCAGCAGGAGGCCATCCAGGTGGCGACGCAAGCAGTCAATATGTACCAAATCGAGAAGGACATTGCGGCGTACATAAAGAAGGAGTTCGACAAGAAGTACAACCCGAACTGGCATTGCGCTGTGGGAAAGGAGTTCGGTTCGTATTTGTCCCACGAAACGTCCTATTACATTCATTTCTTCATCGGCGATTTGGGCTTCGTGCTCTTCAAGTGCGGCTGAAACGAATCGAACAGCTTAAGGGGTGTCCAGCAAAATTATAGTAACAATAAGTATGAAATGAAATAAAGTATTGTTTGAAACTATTGCTGACTTTTTATTTAAGGAAGTTGAAGTTTTTAAAGACATTTACCAAGTTATAAATTGAATAATTGAAACATTTTACTTGGTAAAACATATTCAATTAGTACCATACAGTTTCATTACTGTTCCCTTCTGGAGACTATACTTATCTATATTGGAGGTAATAATGCTTATGCATTAAAGTGATGCCCAAATTGCCTAGTTTTAAGTTCTCTATTTTTTAAAAAGGGTTATTATCTAAACTTTATGCAAAGTTAGAATTATTTGGGAAAATTTGCCTGTTCTTTTCATCACCTAAGTATAAGTATAAAGTTCCTTTATACTTAGGTGATACAATATTGATAAAAATGTGTCATCATCTTGCCCTTTACACATAATGACGCTATTATATCCTAATACACCTTCATTAAAATCAGTCGTTATAGTTTCCCTTATGGTATTCATAACTGATCATATTTAACCCAATATTCAAATATCCAAAATGTAATAAAAGGAAAAAATACCTTTAGTTCAAGCAAAATCACACTTAGGGTAAGTATTATAAAAAATAAGAGCTTTAATGCAAATATTATAAGAAAAATTAAGATATTTACTAAAATTAAGATTGAACCAGCAAATCGATCGGTTTATTAGAAAACACTCGAAGTATAAAAAATTCGCTCATGCACCCGATGCACTCGCAGGTATTTAATTTTTATTATAATTTTGAAATCCAATTAATTTTCTTTTTTACAATTCAATTTATTCGATGATAAATTTGTAGGATTTTCAATTATATATTTTCATTAAATATGCGGCATTGTTGGAAACGTATATAAACTGTAGCATTTAAATTATGTCACCACTTGAGCACAGCCAAATCCGTGCAAAATGAGGGCATACAGCGTTATTTCTTTATTTGTTGTTTCAGTAATTGTCCTCGCTGAGGGGCGACGTCATCACCCTTACGGTCACTGGGTAAATATAGATTTTTATATCAATATTTATAGATTAATTTTATTCATTTTGTGTTATCAACTCTTATTTTAGAAAACTCTCTATTCATCTAAGAGTTAATTTTATTTTGGCCTTATTTAGGGCATTTTATAATATTTCAAAATTTCATTTAGAGAAAAAAGTAGACAAAAGAGTAAAAAACATTAAATTTTAGAGCTATTAAGATATATTGCAAAAGAAGGTTGTTGTTATTCAATAAATAAAAGGATGCTGTATTTTTTATGCGTCATGATAAAAACAACAATAGCTCCTAAAATTAAATATAATAATAAAATTATTTTTTTTATTCTCATACTTAAATATTAGTTTATTATTATACCATTTTTAAAAACAATCTTTTGACTCTATGTGACCCTCTTAATTTAAAAGATTGTACCATCATTTTTATGCATTATTTTAGGTAGATAGAATATTTGCGGTCATTTCATTTTCTTTTATAAATTCTAGTCAACTACGGTTGGTGTAAAGAGAATCGAGGATCTTGGAAAAAAATTCTCCACTATCGATTTCGGTAACGCTCATGTACCCATGCCTTATTACCCCGATTGGATGAAATTTAATCCAAACAGATACTGAAAATCAATATGAGCTTTTAACACTACTATATCCGATTTAAACACCCTATCAATTTGTTTGAAAAAAGTGGAAAATAAACACAAAAATTTAACATAATCTCTACTTATTTAGTACCTTCAATAACTCGCAACCGCTAATTATATCCCACTATTTATTTATTATTTTCTAATAGGTACGCTTATTTTATGTTTTCAGAGGAGTATATCCATGCACGGTTTTGGTACAGGAACCGTAAACGCCGATCCCCTGGACGTAGACTTCATGGGCATGCCCGTCACCCTCGGAGGTAAAGGCCAAGGAGACATCAAAGGAGCGATGGCCATCGCCATACCCGCGGCGGGCGGCTTGGAGAAATACTTCGGCCCCAACGGCGCCGCCAAGGACCTCTCCAACGATCCCGAATTCTACGCCAGCTACCCCAAATGGATGAAGCACCACTCCAGGTACATCGCCGCCGAGAACGTGTACGGAATCAGACCGCTCGACAACATCCACCACGACACCAAAGGAGAGACCGTGTTGATCGACACCCGCAGTCGCAAACATGGAGGTACTGTGACAACCAAAACCAAGCCGCTTAACCCTTTGGAAATTTTGAAACCAGGAGGCGCGCATGGTGCTATGTTTTTGTTACCCCTGCACGTTGTTCATTGAATTAACCGCTTATTCTTGCAATAAATATAATTTACATGCTGGCATATCTACTATCTAGGCTCTTTTGTATTCGCAGTCGTCTAAGATATATTCATGAAGATTAGATAATGAAAAAAGAATAATTCAAATTTTTATTATTTGGAATTGCTTTTTAAAGTAATGCTAAACTAATAGTGCAAAACATGTTAAATTTTGAAATAATATCCGCTTTTTGAATAATGTACACCTGATTGTAATTTTGTTTTGCTTTAATTTATCATAATCGCTAATGCTAAATAAAATTTCTGCAGCGTAACACTCTCACTTACTAATTAGCTATTAATTTTGGTGAAATAATAATGCAATTAATTATTTTCAGGTTCAGTCGCCATCCTAGAGTAGATGTAGTTATTACCAAATACAATTTGTATACGGTAAAATATTTTTAAATAAATTATGTTTTGAAATATCTTTCGTTTTCATTTTCTTATATCAAGTATCTGTTGGATGTACCTACTTACCTGCCAAACGTCGTTTTGAAGTACCTACAAGAATATAAGAATGCACTGCATACGAATTTGATTAAATTATTGCGAATTTAATTATTGAAACGTACAGGAGTCATAAAACAGTTACTTACTTTATTGGTTATTATGTGAGTATAATAAATTAAAGTACTCAAAGAGAACGACGCGATAAAAATATAGAAACTTGTATAATACAAGGTTGTCAAAAACCAGTACGAATATGTATGTAAAATGAATTTCACCATATTGAGTTATGTAGATAAATTATTTGGATATTATGTAACTTCTTACCACTCCAGTAAATTTTTCTGTGCAATAAACAAATTATGTTTATCATTTTTTGTAGAGTTAATAACATGATGCACAACTCCACTCTGTACAATTATCAAATTAATGCTTAAAATTAATTTATTACGTCCGAGTTATATTCTATTCAATAAAAAAAGTAATAAGGCGGCCCACGGGTCACCGTAAATTTGGGACTATATAACCAGCGGTTGATTCTTCGCAATAGTCTTGAGCAACGTTAAATATGTTGCTGCGTGTCCTGCTCCTCTTAACTCTCTTACAATTGGGGTACTCTCGGCATTACAGCAGTTCATCATCGTCTAGTCAATCCGATGACGTAGAAGACTACGAAGAAGATAGCTCTTACTCGCCGTCCTCCTCTTCATCGTCTTCCTCAATGTCGAATTCTATATATGATTCGATGTCGGATAGAGATTCTTCGTCTTCGTCTTCATCATCTTCGGATGATTCGTACTCATCGTCTTCGTCGTCGAGGTCCGGTTCGCACTTGATACGGCTGAGGAGCAACTCGATGAAGTTTCCCGTGTACGGGAACTTCGATGGGAAGGAGAAGCTGGTCGATCTGGAAGTGAGGAACTCGCATGACCGGAGAGGCGTGACGTTGAAGAGTCCTTATCACCGGAGGAAGGCGCACATTTCGCCGATGAAAGCGCACAAATCACGGCACTGATACACGAGAAAATTAATTTTTTGCTTGTATTTAAGGTGATGAATCAACGTTTATTTTCTTAAGGATTAAGTTATTAATAGTTTGCTGGATGTAGATATTATGTTAATTTTTTTATTAAATATTACTGTTATTGACATGTGACAATAAATATTTTTAAATTGTGTATATTTGTTTTGAAATTATTAGTTTCTTTTAGAATTAGAAATCGAACAAATTCTGACAAAATCTGACTTGTGGAAACTGTTAGCAAAATTAAAGAATTTGTACAGAATTGCCCGAATTCAGCGCCCTTGTTTAACTTTAGAGTGTCTCTAAAGTCGCGTCTCGAGTCCCTAGTTACTCCATAACAACAATGTAAATCTTTCAAGTTAAAGACGCGACTTTAGAGTCAATCTAAAATTAAACAGAGGCGCTGAATACGAGCCATTGACTCTAAAAAAGTTTATCAAAAAGTTAAGCTAATCTAAGAGTGAAAAAAGGAAGTCATAAAAAATCAGTCAATGATCTTTCTAGAAAGTCATTTAAATACCTAAACAAGCTCATCTTTCTAAAAGAATTGTTAATAAAGTGAGCATGTAATATTGATCTGGATAACAATTCTTCCTACATTGGATTATTTTGCAAAATACATTTTAAAATAGAAGTGAAATAAGAAATTACTAGGTAGGTACAAAGGTACGAGTACTTAACTAGATCCATACAGGTAGAATAAACTCCAATGAACAAAAAAAATTAACATTTGTCTTTCAAACAATAAGCAATAATACCTATTGATACAAAACCTACGTTGACTCGCCAGACAATAATTTCATGTGGGGGTAAATTCTTGTCGATGGTATTTTTTAGTCGTCACGGTACTAAAAACAAAATTAAATAAAAAAACTATAATACCGAAGAATAAGTAGGACTAAATGTTTAGAAACTTAAATAAAGCATACAAAGCATGCAATTTGTAGGACAAACTTTACAAAACTCAACCCTGTACACCCTTATATCTAGCAGTAAGAATCAAGAAAGGAGTCAATAGGGATTATACAAGTTCGATTTAATAGGAAATATAATACACTTTGTCCCGCATAAGAACCGACACAGAGCATCAGGGGTGTGTCGGTACAGTAAAATATGCTGTTTAACCCAACTGTAAATTATCTACGATTAGTAACATTGATCAATTGATCTCTCCTAATTATCGATTAATACTCTTATTACTCTTATAACGTATACCAAATTTAGTCATTTTAACTTTGAATATTACTGAGGTTTTATTTTTATTTTAAATTTGTAACTCCACTTTAAAGACCTATAACTTCCTAAGAAGGCTCTTCCATATCAGTAATATTGATGGGAACATGTAAACGGTGTAAGAATTAGGTAAGACTTAGAATAAAACACAACCAAAAAATAATTAAAATCACGATGAAAATGGAATGTCCCATAAAATAATTTATCGAAATCCCCAATAACTATTTTCAATAATATCTTAATTGTAAATCGTTACAATTTTGTGAAATTCGAATTTTTAATTGAAATTTTAATTAAAAATTTCCGCCACGGCGTGCAAGATAATCGCATATATATTCGGAAATTTGATAACTCGGGGACATTTATTTGCCCGTGATAACATACCAACAAAATGAAATTTGTATTCCTTCTATTTTCGGCAGTCATCGCTTTGGCTAGTGCACGAGTGCATCTAATCAAATTGGTAAGAAATTTACTTATTTTATTTACTAAAACAACACTCTTCTATTTACAAGTCTTTCCAATTTTACTCTATTTAACCATCTGATTTCACACGAACATCTACTGTAATAATCTTGAGACATCTACCCTCTAGGAAAAGTTACGATCAGAAAACTACAGTAAAATGTTAACATAATATTATTGATTTTTTTAGAGAGACGTGGACTTGGCTGGAACACTCACGGGTGGACTCGAAACTGATCCCATTACTTTCTCAGTGAACGGATACCCCGTGACACTAGGAGGAGCTGGACAAGGCGATTTGACCGGAGCCGTAAAGGTGCACACCCCGAAATCGAAGACGATTCTGACTGGACCCATTCCCTCCCCTGCTGCAGCCCGAAGCGGATTTGATATTATCGAAATAGTGCCGGAAAGTAGGAAGATGAAATGGGACTGGCTGGGTACCCCCTTCTGGTAAGGATCGCGTCGCAGGAATAATTTATTTTAAAATGATTGTAACTAGTTTTTAATAAAACTATAGTAGTATTTGGGATTTTTTATTTTTGCCCATTTTTTTGCTTGAACAGTGAATACTGGTATCATGTAGTTTTAGTAAGGAGTAAGTGCAATTATGAAGAAAGTAGGTAAATTTATAGAAACATAATGTGTACAAATGTAAGTAGATGTAATAAGAAGTTCACCTAGAAATTAGTCTAGTGACTTATCTAGAAAGTTAAGAGCAACCCCAATTTGGTGATAAAGTGATAAAATGCATGAAAGTGTTGTTTCAAATAAACAAATATTTAGAAGAACCAACTTGGGTGTACTAGATGGTTTTAAAAGTTTAAATTTGTATTAAAATCAATTCTGATTATTTCCAAGGCTTAATTGGGGGTGATTGGGAATAATAAGGCCAAGTAACGATGAACGATGAAATCAACGACGATGATCAAGTAAGGATGAATCAAGTAACAAGGATCGAAGTCAAGTCATTTAAAAATATTTCTATTAATTAAATGTTTTCATATTTTTTATAATTTTCTTCAATCTTTCAAATGATCTTTACTTTAATTCTTCTAAAGTAATTGGCTATAGAGATAAATATATATTTTTTTGCAAACCTGAAGCTAAACTATTAGAAGACTCTCAAGGATAGCTTACAATTAGATTATGTTAAATTATTTTTTGGTATAATCCACCCCTGTTCTGTATCAGTTTTTATGAATACATGTATTTTTATGTATAATAATATTGAACAATAAATTATTAATAATAACAAACTCATTTTTGAATCTAAATACCTAAAACAAAAGAATTAAAATTTTTTCCTGCTTATATATGGTTTTTATTAAATTGTAGACTTTTATTCACTCATCAATAAACGACAAAATGATGTCGCGGGCCGTTGTATTCGCAACCCTTCTATTATTTTCTCAAATCACCATGCCTTCGGTATCTGGTGTAAGTTTCCATCTTGTAATTTAATGCATCAAATGCAGCTAAGAAAGATAATAAGACTTTTATATTTTGAGCTGCTCATGCGCTATTATTGTTTTAGACAAGTTACTTCTGTAAAATGGTGGACTGTCACAAGAGTAAAGCAGTTTTTACAGGGACAGTATTAGCTGCTGCTAAAGCAGTTCCTTCTTCATTAGCGGAAAGCATTTTCCCAGAGACCGATGCGGTGGGTAAAGCAAACTTCGGAGTAGAACTGGGATTGGCCTAATGGGCATTTATTAAAATACTATATTGAATATATTGTACTTACAAATAAAATTAATAAAACTTCTTACATGAACTTAGTTAATTGGTTTTATTTTGACACGAAAACACTTTGTTGAAATTGGGTTATTTATCTTCTCTACAAGATTTTTACTCTTCAACAAACTCCATAAATTCTTTTATTTAGGTAAGAGGGTCTTGAAATCATGAAATAAAATATGTACCTAGGTTGAATAAATGATATACTTACATGAGCTAAAATCAAGTATTGTAAAAAAAGCTAACAAAAGATTTTGGTAGCTCTTCAAGATCATGATTTTACTTGTAGCTTCAGTAAATGGTTTATCCTGGTTCAATCAAACCAAGTTTGATATTCCTACCATAATTAAAGAATAAAATGTACCTATCAACTATATTATCAATTTACGGACTTCTTTATAGATCTATATAGATCAAATTATATTTTAAGATTTATGTATTATGCCTTTCTAATTGGCCAAGTAGTTCTACCTACAATTTTGGAATTTGGTTTTGTCGTTATTCCTGCATACCATGCGGTATGCTATAAAAACCAATTGGAATTGTTAATTAAAAATGTCAATTAATTAAAAAATAATTAAAGAAACAAAAATTATTTTTTTATTTATTAAAGTTTTTTCAATTGGATTTAAACAAAGGTTTAATTTTTTGTGGCAGTATGATAAATGACAGGTAACTTGAGAGGGAGAATCGCAAAATTCAAGCTCATTTGTACTTAAGTCATTAAAATAAATAGTATTTATTAGCAAAAATAAATATTCTGAGAAAGATATTAGAATCAATTGAATTGTAAAATTAATTAACCAAAAGTCTTATTTTTATGTTCTCATTTATATTTAAATTAATTAAAAAAAAATAAAATAAAACAATAAAATTAGAATAGATTGGTTTAATTGAATCAATCTACTTTTATAACCTTTTTATTAATACGCTCCTGTAATCAATTAAAATTTCCCAATATTTATTCAAAAGCTTATTATTACCTACTGTCTGTTTTATTTTCGCACTCCGGTTTTGTAGAAAAATTAAAAAATAATTGAAAAAAGAACAAAGCATCAATAAAAAAAATATCGTTTACGACCCTACGCAGAAAACTATAACTTTGAACCGGCCCATTAATCTCTTCAGTCTTGGGATAATTATCTGTAAAAATGATCGCTGCATTTGTTGCACTAATTTCGGTTTTATTCATTGCAACACCTCAAGTTTCCGGTGCCCCTGTACGTATTTTATTTACCTAATTACCACATTATTTATTTTAATTAAATAATGCACAATTGAATCTACATATTTTTGTTTATCTCACGATTTACCTACTGATATTTCGGTACTGAATTTATATCTTAGTTTTTATAATATTGGATATTTATGTTTTTAAAATACTTGAAATAATTATCTTGTTTTAGAAGCACCATTACGATTACAATGATTACGTTAGTTACGTAAGTACCTACAAGTTATTTATAAACTGATATTATAGAGATCAGATATTAGAGTCGCGTGCACAATGGTTTATCGTATATCAGCGATTTGGCACAGGAAAATCACGCAATTGATATCTCATGCTATTCTTGTCGCACTGTACATGATTTTTTGAACTCATTTTGTCTTTGCTAGAATGAATATTTTTCTCTTTTAGGAGAAAGAACCCACTCTTCTTTGCACATTCTTGAATTGCAAGCATTCAAAGGGCAAAATTGGAGGCGTGATCCAAGGAGCAGCATCTTTCGTTCCAGGACCTAAATTAAAACAGTTCGTGCCTACTTTAACGGCTGATGGAGAGGCCCAATGGGACGTAGCAGTCAAATTAAGAGAATAAATGTCATAATTATGCGTTTGAAGAGTTTGTAGGTTAGCTTTTTGTGTAAAAATAAAATGAAACCGAAATTATATACTTTTATTATCCTTCACCAAATTTGGCTCATTATGCAATTCATTAACGAATAGCAGATTCCATTTGGAAGCTTATTCTAGAATCTATATTGTATAATCCTTACAACTTATTCAGGGCAAAAGTCCCTTACAGTCCATATCAACCAAAGCTAATATGTTAAAGCTTTTACTGCTGCTTTATTACTAGATATTTCTGCTTGAGCTACTTACCTACTTACCTACTGATTTTTTACGAAATCTAATTGATGCATTACTTTGGCTGAAAATGATTTTTATCACTAAATATAACATTTTCATTACAATCCTGATTTATTACTTAAATGGTTCCCAATTTTTTCACACCAACAAAATCGATACACATTTTATTATAATCGTGCAACGCCCACGTAGAAATAAGAAAATAAAAAATTTAAATTGAATAAATATTGACACAATATTATAAAGCTCAATATAGTTCAGTAGGTACTCGTATTCATTGCAGTAGAACATGAATCGCAGCAAAATGTTTGTCACTTTTCTTTTTAGTTTCCTTGCTGCAATTTCCTTTACAGGGGTCGCAGAAGGTGTTGAAGTGGTAAGTACAAATTTATAGTTTGTATTAAATTCTTCTTTTCGGAAATGATTCCACAATATAATTGCACGAAATGATGAGTTTTTGTGTATCCTTAGGGAGATTTTGCCTGCAAATTTTTGAGCTGCGATGATTCGGCGGCTTTTTTGTTGAACCAAGGTGCTGACCTAGCATATTATGTATTGCCTGCTATACCCACACTTATCAATAAATTGCAGTCTTCTATGGGAGAGCCGAGCGATGAAGAAACTCCACAAGTACCGAGGAGGCATCACCGTATAAAAAAATAAGTGACAAAATGTTCTCATCATTAAAATAAAATTTTGATTACATAGATATTTTTTTAGTAGTTTGTTAGTGTATTGAATTATTCAGACAGTTGGAAAGTGTTGATAAATTTTGACTATCTACAAAGGCCTTCCTAAACTACTAATTACAAGAAATTAATAAATATGTTTTTTGGATTTTTAAAGCTTTTTAAAAGGTATTTGAAGAATTTTTGAATGTTTCTCTAGCAATGCATGATTACTTGTTAGTTTTGTGACGCACAGAATAAGTCAGTAGTAAGTTAATATACACCGTTAAAAATTTAATTTCGCATAATAAGGAAAATTAACGTTAAATTCTTAGCCGTCTAAAGTCTAAATCCAGTCTAATAAATTTAAATTTAAATCTAATTCTAATAAATGTAAATTTAAATTTAATTATAATAAATTTAATTCTTTAACTGGACCGCTTCCGCGCTTTGGTTCGTTTATATTGATTTCCCTATTATGCGTGAATTTATTTCCCGTATATTTTATTAACACCGTATACCTATTAATCGATTTTTTTATTTAATTCATTTTAATTTAACGTCACAAACAAGCACCGGAAAATTTGCAAAATCCATCCAAAGTTCACACCACAAAAAACCTTCGATCGCAAACAGGATCCGTGTCCATCTTTTCGATAATGTAAAATCAATTAGGCTTGTCAACATTCCGCAAACAATTGTTATAGAGTTACTCGAAAAAACAATTTGCGTAAAAACATTCGTTAGGCTTAATTATTAATTTGTTAGCATGATTCATAATGACTTTTTTTGCAAAACACGACGCTCATAGCAGCGTCAGTTTAATTGATATTATGTACATTGGTATACTAATGCATTGATCATTAGAGGTAAATTTAAGCCACACTTTTCCATACATGTAATTAAATTTAGCACTATGTAGATATCTTTTAAAATAAACATCCTCAAACATTTGTTCAAACATATACTACAACATATCCTTAAACATATTTTGCAATATATCGTAAAACATATCTAAGTATTTAAACTTGAACATATAATTAGTACGATTTTACATTTTCAAAGAAAGAGTTGTCTTCAATATCTATATGCGCTTGCTTGTATGCATTCATTAGAAATAACTCCGTTACTTCAAAAATAGTTTTTAAAAAATTTTATTCACTACAAAAACTGAAAGTTACAAATTATAATTTTTACGATTTAAACTACTCGAAATCTAATCATGAACTAACTGGAAAAAATACAATGTTAGAATTAGCAAAACAAGTGTTCTCACAGCGTTAACAAGAATTTGGAAATACGATCTGCTGATACTGCTTGGGAACGGTGGATCTCCTGGTAGAACATGCTGATAGTACTTGGGAACAGATAATTTCCTGATATAACACCTTCCCCCTGAGATTCAAGTCCCGAAGTTACTGAGGGAGTTGAACGTTCGATAATTCGGTGGTTTGGCGATGATTTGGAGCCTTCTTCTTCTTGGCCAAAATTTTCTTGTAGACTATGAAACAGATGAGGAGGATGCTGACCCCGTAGATGATGATCGTCCAGATACTGGGTGTACTGGATGGTATTGATGATTCCAAAACGGGTTGGTTATTGATTAGTTCGTTTCGGATTTCTTGAAGCTCATCGAAGTCTATATTTTCGAATTCGATGTCGAACTTTTCGGGTTGTTCCTCGAGATTTGGAAGCGGTATGTTCGGAAACAAAATCGTTTGGCTAGGGTCGATGACGAGTTCCTCGTTGATGATATTTTTGAAGTTGGTTTCGACCTGGCATCCCAATGGAATTTCGAATAGGTATGTACCCCGCAGCTTCAGAATTTCTTCTTGTTGTCGGCAATGGATTTTAGTGGTGGTTTCATTGGGTAAGACCATTATCCATTGGTTTGAATTTTCCAATCTCCAACACGTAGGGCGTCTAATGGGGACGGTTATTTGATGGCAAGTTGTTGTGTCCTTTTGCTTAAGAAGCTCAATTTCGCATTGGTTTTCGAATCGAATTTCTCGCAGGCTCGTTTCATCGCAGAGATACAGTTTTTCAGAGATTTTTGTACATATGTTATCAGTGAATGCAAAGTACAATTCGTTGATTATTAAAAATTTGTTTTCTGGAATTATAACTTTGAACTGACTTTTCTGAAGAATGGGTATTGAATACAAATGATATAGGTCTACTATGAATGGATAGGTAATTGGAATTTGCAATATAAAATTGATTCTATTTTTGGACGAGTAACTTTCAATCTTTACTAAATTTTCTAGAAGAAAAAGATTATTTAAACTTACTTCTAAGGGTAACTTATTTTTTCTTACTCTACTTTCTATAAGCTTTAATTCATGAAGGAAATAACCACTCTTCATGATGCTAGGGTGCATTTTACTCAACTTTGAGAACACAATTGCATTTTCTATGTCTTGGATTATCGAATATATGATATTATACATTCCGATAATCTGAATGAAAGCATCTTTGATAAAGGCAGAATTTTCGCGGTAGACTTGACCTCGTACAATTAATTCGATTTGATTTAATTTTGATTGCAATAGTTTTTCGTTATGAGAAACTTTAGTAATTGTCGCATTGAACTGATCAATCAAACGTGTTGAGAGGGAATTTTGATTTTTGATGCTATTTGCCAATTTTTCCTGATTGTTTTGAAGTTCTTGAATTAATTTATCGTAGCGCTCGCCGTCGCTGGCGTCTAAATTTCCTGATATAGCCTTAAAAACAGATCCTAAACCATTTATGAGACCGCGTCGAATTCTGGTAGGGTGTGGGACAATGTCTGTGAGTCTTTCTTCAATTTTGTTGTCTATGAAGTCCAAAATTTTGATATAATTTGAGCTGTCGTTAAAATATTTTCCATTTTGGTGTACTAGTTGCACTAAAGTTGATGAATGTGTTCTCAATTGATTAAATTCATTAATAATAGGTTGGGTATCGTAATAGTAGATAATTTTGTAGTAAAAGTCCGAAATTCTTGCCTGACCGGATTTTACAGGAATAAGACCGGGATTATTTTCTAAGTTCCTTATGTCTATTCGTTCCAGAATACCGAGGACTCCGGGTAAACTGAAAACAATTGGTTAAAGTTAGTTTCGAAGTCAAAGGTTTTTTGAAGTGGACGTTTTAGGTTGTGTATGTGAATTTTGGTTGGGTGTTAGTCGAAAAGGTTTTGTTTTCTGCATTTACTGTCTTAAGTTTGGTAGGTTTACTAAATTTGTTAGATGTTGCGATTTTTGTATGAAACGTCAGAGAGATCATCATTTGGTGGCAATTTAAATTTCCAACGATGCTTGATTTTATTGGTAAAGGTTAACGAGTCGCTTAGGTTGTAAAACCTATCGGAAGGTTCCTTACTGTCATTAGGGATTACAGGCTTTCTTTTATTAATTAAGTGATCTTTCTTAGTTTTACTCAAGTCTTGATTTTGGGAGGAATAGCGGTAGTAAATGTTGTTTAGATTTCTGTTTTTTATTTTTTGGTTTTTGAGTTTCTCAACTTTTACAGGTTTTACAGGTGCTTCTTTAGGTTTTTCTACTTCTAGTGGCTTAGTTGTGGGGTTTGAAATAGTTGTTAGAGATTCTTTGTTTTTTGCTATGATCTTTCTCTTTTTTGTTGAAGTTTTTGTCTTAATTGCTTGTTGGGTTTTTGTAGAAGCAGAAGCTGCAGTTGTTACATTTAATTTCTTTTGGCTTTTATGAAATAATAGTTTTAATTTCGTGAATGGGGTTATGAAATAAAAATTTTCAAAATCTAGTTTTACTTTTAAGAATCTTAAAATATCAACGCCTAATAACCCATCAAATTCGTCATGAAATTTAAAAAGGTAAAATTTTAGATTCGTTGGATTTGGAATTTTAAATATTTCCGAAGCTGGTATTGAAACACTATGTTCGTGTGACGATGTTTGGGATACGTTGGAAATTACGAAGGGGTCGTTTTGTATTTGATTAAGGAAAAGAAGGTAAGCGATGTCTGGATCTATAAGGGATTGAGAAGTGCCTGAGTCGATTAAAAATTTCAAATTTTGTTCCGGAAAAACTATATACGGTAGTCCGTCTGAAACTACAGCGTTAAGGGAGATGAATTGAGGATTTATTATCTCTTGTTTTGGGTAGGAGGCTTCAAGTGAAAATTTTCTTGTGGTTCGCTAAGATCAATCAAATTGTAATCGATTCCATAGTTAGGTGATTGAAATTGATTATTATCGTTATATTCAAAATTTCTATTTGCTGGAATCGGGTTTTCACACTCTACATTGAATAGTTCTTCGGAGATAAAATTTCTTTGATTTTGTTGTGGTCTGAATGGAGGTCGGTTAAAATTTCTGGTTTGTGTAGGGGCAAATGTATTTCTTGTGGAAATACTCATCGGTGTGGGTTCGTCTAACTGTTGTTGTGGGTTCGGTCGAAAAACGTTAGTGTTTTGTCTCGACTGAGGAGCTATTTGATTTTGGGAGTTGTTGGGGAAATTTTGAAATCTTGGGGGTTGATTTTGAAAGTTTTGGAAATTTTGGAATCTTTGGGATTGGTTTTGAAAGTTTTGTCTAGGATAGAAATTGTTAGGAGGGTTCCTGTTTTGGTTTTGGTTGAAGTTGTTATTTCTATTCGTCTTGGTGTCAAAAAATGATTGTCTGTTGGGTTGTCGATTGAAATTTTGAAAATATCGTGTATTTCCTTCTTCTAAAACTTTTTGAAGAGCTTGACTTAAATCTTGGGGTTGCATGCAGCGAATGATGGTACCCAATGGTTCTCTTAGACCGGATAGGAACGTTTTTAGGGCTAAACTATTGTATAAAATTCTTTTTGATTGCCTATCATTAGCATTTGGTTCGTGTAAATCGACGTAACTGCACAATAGGTTCAAAATATTCAATACTTTATCATAAAATTCTTGGGGACTTTCATTACTCTGACGAAGCATAACCAAATCTCTGTTTAGACATGCTTCGTCCCTTTGATCTGCAAAAGTGCGCGTTAAGGTCGCTTTTAAATCATCCCAAGTGGTTACATTATGAATATTTACAACCTTTTTAGCGTTGCCATGTAGTTTTTGGATTATGGAATTTAGCAAATAAACATTTTGAAAATTGTTAGGGTTCGCCGCATCATAAAATGCACTTAGCACTGATTCGCTGGTTGTCAAAAATCTATTTAAGTCGTTGGGACTCCCGTCGAATTCGGGGATGCAGTTTAAATAATCAGGTTTGAATTGAGCCATGATTTCGATTTCGTTTAAAGCACTAATAATTGGGATTACTTTACTTGGTTCTTCGTCTGAGTCAGTTAAAAGCTCTACTTGATTTCTAATTGACCAATTTTTACTATTCTCATAGGAATTTGCCATAAAATTAAATTGTACTCACATTAACATCAATATCTTGTACATATCTCTCTTAACTGTAAGGATGATGGCCACTACAGGTCCGCGATGTAGTCTTCTCTGTAGATGGTTGGTTCTCCTTGCGAAATTGGACGATTTTGTTCCAATCCCCGATGTATCACTGATTGAATTGCTCTGGTACTCAAGATAGGGTTCCCGATTTTTGTGGATCCGCCCAGGTACAACACTTAACAACGATACAACACGTATACGGTTCGATATCCAGTCAATCGTTTCGACGAAAAATCCGCGTTCGATACGTGAATTCCCGGATATCCTACTGACTGCGCCAGAAATAACTCCGTTACTTCAAAAATAGTTTTTAAAAAATTTTATTCACTACAAAAACTGAAAGTTACAAATTATAATTTTTACGATTTAAACTACTCGAAATCTAATCATGAACTAACTGGAAAAAATACAATGTTAGAATTAGCAAAACAAGTGTTCTCACAGCGTTAACAAGAATTTGGAAATACGATCTGCTGATACTGCTTGGGAACGGTGGATCTCCTGGTAGAACATGCTGATAGTACTTGGGAACAGATAATTTCCTGATATAACACATTACTTATTTTATATCTTCTTTAATCAGCGTTTAATTTTACTTAATTAATGCTAATTTCAAACGTCGGCAAAATTATTCAACCAATAAAATTACCCATCATTTTCCGCGAACCGCAATTAAGTAAGAAACAATGAAAGTGCGCAACAGGAATAGGATATTCCTTAATAATATTTGCTCTAACCGATTTCTACTAATTGTTCAAGAATACATCGAAAAATTACAAATATTTCGTCAAATATCTATCTAAAAAAATCGCATACTTTTTTTCCACCGACCTAAATTCATACATCAATTCCGTCATATTATGTTCGAAAATTAATATCTTACCCACAACATGTAATTAATTAAATAACGTCGAATCACCGGGTCAAGTTCGACTTTTCCACACACCCGGAGGTGATCACCGAATGTTGCGACGTTACGTAACATTTATATAATATCGATAAGTTTTGGCATTCATTGTTTTACGGTCAAAGAATCTCGAATGCAGTCAGATGCGTATCGAAGCCCGCTTACGGCCAGAACACCAGCAAATGCAATTTGCAATTGAGAAATTAGAAATGGGAGTCGTAAATCTAGGCGTAAAACGTAATGGAGTTTCGGTCATAAAATGGATCGCATAGAAATTTTTTATTTGATTGATTTTATTTAATTTAATTCGGTTCGAAATAATAAAATTAATTTATTTTAATTAAGCGTTGGAAACGCTACTGCCGATAATTGCATTCGTAACTCAACCGAATTGCAAATTAGTCCTAAAGTGGTCTAAGTAGGTGATATTTGGAAGTAGGTAATGTTAATAGGTTTATTGAGAAATACGTGTATTAGTTTTTTTATTAAAAATTTACATTTTTTTTTTGTCTTTTCATAATACCTGCCAATTAATAAGGTAGGTACTTACGTAAATTTTAATCTCTTCAAATTGACGTCGTTCGATTTTTGGGAATTCTTTAAACCACAATGGAAACTTACATAAACAGTATGTCCTAAATTGGAAGGTTAATATTTATTAATGAAATCGTGACAAAAATTCGTATCTATATATTGTATCTGTATCTGCATTTAATGTCTAAAGATTTGGTGTATGACTAGAATTAAAAAATTAACAGGGATACCTACCTACATCTTACGAAAAAAAACCAGTTCCAAATTGCCGAAATATTCAACAAAATAGTAAAAGTCGCTTGCCCAACATAAGTTGAAGCCAAAAATATTGCAACAGATTACATGATTACAATGCACATTAATATGTCGGTAAAATTCACGTACATACTCGCATTTATTAGAGCATTCCTCCATCTAATCTATGAAAAATAATCTAATTAATGCAATAATAATTAGTTCTATAGAAAAAAACCACAAATTACCCGGCGTGAACTACATAATTATTACAGCTTAACTAAATGTGTTATGTAGGCATTCTCATGTAACCTTGCACATATGTAAGTAAATACTACGTACTTTCAGAGCTATACCAAATAGACAATCGGATATACATGTCAGGTATTTACCATAACAACAGTTACGTGCACACTTTTATCGCAATCGAGAGCCTCTTCCAAAGGGGGGTTCCTCCATACAAGCAACAGCAATTAGCGTATTGTATTGTATCGTGCAAGTTTAACGTATGTAATTCATCCAAACCCCTCCTTCTCGCCGTTTCGATTTAAGTTTTCGCATCGAAGATAACTCCGGTGTAATATCTGCGTTTTGTTTATAGTGCACGCATCACTCTCGATTTCTCCTGAACAACGACCATAACAGCCGATTCGCGCTCTTCGCTCGGTCATTCTTCGGCCGCGCTCCGGCTGATCCAGGCTCGCTTTCGAAAATTAACAAAATAGTCCGCCCGGAAAAATGTCCCGGTCCCTTTCGGTTTGTTTGTGCTTGTTCGCGGCCTTCTGGCTCGCCGGCAGCCAGTTCAGCGTCGAAATCAAAGAGCCGCGATTGACGACTTTCCTGAACAGGATTACGAACACCACTTTCGGTAAGCCTGCTTGCACCGGGCACTCGGTTGGGTTATGTAAGGTGTCTTGTGTTGTGTAATTGGTAATTTTCGTTTTGTAACATCAGGCTCGTAAGGTGTCCTGTTTTCAGGATTAATGTCGAGGATGATTTTTTTTTGTTTTTATTTTAGTCTTAAATATACCCGATTGTAATGCATTGTTCTATGAATTGCATTATTAGCAAAATTAACGATTATAACACTTTATTCAGTCGTCCTTCAGAATTTACTAGATATTTATTTATGACTAAAACTAATAATTATTATAATTAGTTCGATCTTGCCCTACCTTATACATCTACATTTTTCTTTATCGAAGGACTATTTTTCCTACGTAGGACAGAGCACTTATTATTTCCATTATAATTGTTTAGTAAAACAAAATTTGTTTCCACTAAACAAAGGCTACATAGAGGTTACTCATTTTGTGATAAACAAGTTATATCCGGCCATTTTTCCTTATCAATATGCACCAATTATTTGTACAATATAATAACAAATATAATTTTATGTATAGTGTTGCTTCGCTAACGTAAAACTTTTTTCCCTTTAAATTAGACTTAATTAGACAAATATCCAACAACGCAAATTTCCTCAAAAAGATTAATAATTTATTTACTATTGGGACATACATATTTATTTGTTTAAAGGTCATCATTTTATCGCATAAAATTTTACAATATTTAGCGAGAAAGCCAAAATAAACAAATCAGAATTGATAGTAAAGATCGACATTTGAAAACTTTGCAATGACGAAATTAAATCACATTTGTATATAAAAATACAATGCAATTATTGTTAATCAAATTATTCTTAAAGTCTGTGCATTAATTTAACCAAATTTTCATAATAGAGTAGATATTTTGCAATCTAATACAAAGAAAATTAGCCAAACAACGAAATTAATCCCGCAATCCACGCGTTAACCAATAACACACGAACACATAATAACTTTTTGAAGTATTTCTTCATGTCTTGGCGTAGATAACAACAGTAATTTTTATTTGCTTTGCCTTTACCCAATTTCGCGGTTTCGTCAGTGCAGCACATGCAGACACAAAGAGATGAGACCTTTATTAAAATTGCCGGATTCTCTTTCAACGTTGCACAAGCCTCCGTTATATAACAGTTCGACAACACGATCTTAATGGTTCTTTAAAACAATTCTCGCGCTCTTGAGCAACCGCTTAAAAATCCGTTTACCAATACTAATCGCTGGGTCGACGAAAATCGAGCATGACCCATTTTCTATCATTCATACCGCCGTTATTGTTCCAGATTTGATTAAATCCGGAATCAATGTATTCGGACAAACGATAGATAAAATCATTGAAACATTCTCGAGGATCGAAGATCGTTTGAGCGCTCTGGTGGAGCTCATTCGGAGCCAGCTCATCAAAGGCGTGCCCGAATTGAGCATTCCCGTACTGGATCCTCTTCACATTAACAAACTCGAATTCGATGTTCGACACGATGCTGCTAAGTAAGTACATTAGGAATATTGTTTTTGAAAGAAACTGGGATTTATGTCTTACTATATCATAGTTTTTCACTTGGTGCTTTCATGAAGATTTTGAGATATAGTCAATTTATTTAAAGGATATTACAAAGCCTCATTGTTGAGTTAATATTAGGGTAAACAAAAATGTAGTATTGGTGAAAATACTATTGTTACACTAAATATTGGATCTGGATCATATTTATTCCAATTGTGTTTAAAAATGACTAAAATCTTTAGGAAAACTAAATTGGCAGTTGCATCAAATTATGAATATATTCATTACTCTTTGTCCATTATACACTCCAGATTTCAGTATGATAAATCATATGATTTTAGCCTTAAAGGAAAAGCTGAAGATATTACCATCAAGCACATCTCGAAGTTCGTCGTGGACAAAGAGGCCTTGACGGATTTGGGAAAATTGCGGTTCAGATTGGACTTGAACTTGACGTTCCCCTTCATAAAAGTGAATGGAACCTACCAAGTGAACGGACTGATTGGTCACACTTTTAAAATTTTCGGCAACGGACCTTTCCGGTAAGCGAGAATATTTAACATTTGGAATTCGTTTCAACGCGTGTCTTGCAGATTGAACTTGAAGGACCTGAGAGTTGGAACTACCACTTATTTGAAATTTACGCTGCCGGCTCAATTGCGCGTGGAAAGGCTGAAAATCGACGCCAATCTGAGGAGATTAGATGTGAGTGGAGTCGTTTTTCTTGTTACGCTCGTCCGATAAAAAGTATTAAATTTCAGAACCGATTCGAGAATATGATGAACGATCCCGAAACGGGTGCTCTTATTAATAAGGCGATATCCAGGCTAGCGCCGGAGGCTTTGAAGATTTTATGGCCGGAACTCAGGGGATCAGTCGAGTCACAATTAATGAAGGTATGCTTTGAATGAACATTTTACTTTACTCACAGTTTTTACTCAATTCAGAAATTAATGTTTTTTAATTTACCCCTTTACAGAAATAAAATCAACTCTTAAATTTTCTTACAATTTTTTTGAGACAGACAGGTGTATTGACTAATTAATTTATGAGTGCTCTATTTCTTGAAGTTTAATTTCCTATTTATTTATCTATTCCTAGATATTTTTACAGTGACCATAACCGCAAAGAGATCATTGCGCAGTTTCATTGCAATGGTATTGATCGAAAAAGGTCAATGAAAGCGTTTATTACCTACCTGGAATAATTACAAATAAGCAAATTATTAGCACCTCGCAAATAAATTAGCATCTCATCGAAATCCTTATTTTTCTCCGTTTATAAACCTATCGGAAACCGAAAAAGTACATTCGATAGTTTTACAAATTCATTTTAAATAGTTACTGAGATCTATTATTGTGACAAAGGTTCAAAATTGATAACAAAATTCAATTTTTAGTGTATATATAAGATTAATTTATTTAAATGTTATGTATTATTCTCAAAACAATGCTGATGTTTAAGCGAGTTATCCATATGATTAAGCGTAGAAGAGCTCCTTTACAGATTATTTTGTCGTTCTGAAGACAAAATACAAACTTTTAAATATTTCTAAACTTCTAATTAATTTTGTATTTACTTTTTTCAGTACATAAATAGCATTTTGGACAACGCCAGTGTGGTGAACTTCGCTAAGAGGATCTTCAATATTGTATAAGAAATTCAATCGACTTACGATTATCAAAATTTCTCGAAAATTTAAGGCTGTTTAATTTATATTAACGCCAGAATTCTCGTCTAAATCAAAACTAGATTTCGAAGATAAAAGAGCAGTCTTAACTTCATTTTTTTAATAAGTTACCAAGTGATACTGTTATTTAGGAAATAGGTAAGCAGCAATTTTGATAATTGTTTCCCTGTAAATTTAGGTACAAATATGTTTTTTAATTAAGATAAATGTAGTATATATTTTGAAAAATTATCAAAATTCATCATTATATTTACCACACACATTTTTAAGTACTTGCCAGTAATTTAAGAAACTAACAGAATCCTGGAATAATTAAAAAGTATACATTAATCAACATTAGTCATATACTGTGATACTCGATTTTTTAACCCACGCATTATTCATCAATTGAAATTAAGTGTAATTCCAAAATAATATCTGTAACTAATAAATCTATTATCCTTATCAACAAATTTTTATTCCAAGCTTTAACGTTAAATAAAATAGCTTTTTTCCAAGAATTGACAGTTTAACATTATTCCACTATCAAGGAACTTCTTATCTGAGTTATTGATGTGATTTACTGAGGAAATAATTGTATTTTCTAATTACTTTTATATGTTTTTACTTGGTCATCGATCGTTTTATCTGTAATTATATTATTAGCGGTTTAATGTTTAATCAGTATTATATCTATAATAAATATTGTTTTGGACAAATAATTAAAAACTAATTGCTATTATTGTTTATTGGACTCAATTATTAGGGAAACGATAAAATTTCGTTTGAGATTTTTTTGGAAAATTAACAATTTTGCCAATACAATGCAATTTTACCAGTGTTTGTATAGGAAACTAAACATAAACTTATTGTTAAATTATAAAGTTTTCTCGGTGTTTGATATTTTTGTAGGCAAATTGATACTTTGGTAATAAATAAAATAAAATATTTTTTAGTTTTATTTCACAATTACTCCTTTCATAAAAGGCCTTTAAATACTTTGCAAGTTTTCCATTGAATCGCCCTTTAGTAAAAAAACGTCATTAAAACGTCAAACCAATTCGTTACAGCATTTGGCATTTTTTCAATTCACCTTAATACTTCATCTTCGATACTAATTAGCGAATTTTTAATTGAGTTAAGCACCAAACGATAGGTCAATGGCTATATTTAAAAGGAAAAAGCGACTGTTCAGTGCTTTGTGGCCGGACGCTTCCAGAGGAAAATCCGAAACGTACAAAATGGTAAATATTCTATTCTCCACGTGCAACTCACACTCATTGCAATGCACCCAAAAAAATCCACCTATAAATTGGTTAATAAATCTTGCAGTACTTTAACTACGGCCATGATTGCACTTTGGAAGACCTGAAGGATAACTACGACTGGGATTACGCCCCGGAATGGTCCGTATGCGGTAAATTGAAGAGATGGTGGGCGCGAATGAGGGTCGTGTCGGATACCAGCAAATTTTACACGCACCATTTAAGAAGCTACGGGGCGATTTCGGCCGAAAGAAAGAGGCACTTGCAGAACTACCCAAATGTGTTTCATCCGTTTAGTTTAGGAAGGTAATGAAATAGGTAATATATTTTGTAAGGTAAATAAAATAAAATATTCACGAACTCAAAGCCCCAATTCGAATTCTTTGTATGTATGTAACTCTATCGAGGAATTATGTATTTTGGGAAAGTGCTAAAGAAGAAGAAATTCGATATTCTTGGAAGGAGAGAAATCGAGATGTAAATAATTATTTCAAATTTTTAGTACACATATTTAAAAAGGCTTATAGTTTAATTATCTAATAAATGTATGTTTATTTTAGAATAGTTTGGGCTGGAATTATGACGGTAGTGATATTAATCGAATTCATTCTCGTATCGTGCATGTTCCTGTTATTCGATTTTAGAGTAGATTATTATACGTTCCCGATGATATTTCACGTGTTGAGGTTGATTTTCGATAATTTTTTAATACTGAACGTCGCAATGAATTGTCTAACGGGATATTACGATGAGCCGATGCAGAAAGTGGTCTTAGATTTCAAGTCTATTATGAAGTAAATCGACAAATTGATGAATTTTGTAGCATATTTTATAAATTCGTTTTAGGCATTATCTGAAAACCAATCTAGTGCAAGACGTGTTATCAGCAATGCCGACGTATTTCGATATATTCCTGCACCTTCATATAAAACACATGGCGATTTTGCTATGGTTAGCAATGTTTAGGTTCTTATTGATCCGATCATTAACAGGTTATTCTAAAATCTTAGCTAACGTAAGTAGTTTACTGACATTTTTAACATTTCCTCAACTTATCCTCTAATTTGCTATTATTTTCAGTACTTTCACATTAATCATTTTAAGTATATGACCACGATGGTTGTCTTGTATAGCGTTTTGTTCTGGCATGTTGCCAGTTGTGTTATCGAGTTTATAAGAGCAAATATTATTTACGCAAAAAGACGGGAAGCTTTTAACGTTGAGGGACCAGATGGGTAAATAAGCATTTTTATGGTAAATAAGTTGATTAAACAGTTTGTTTCCAGGTACAAGATTCCTAATAATATTTGGATTAAATACGTAAATGTGCTCCATCACAACTCGTTGTTGCTGTATAATGCAGGATATGGCCATTCTAATCCTAAAACGCAGTTGGAAATTGTCCTAATTTACGTTGTTTGGTACGGATCAAGCCTTTTTTGCATCTATATTTTAGGTAAACTTAATCCTTCCTATCTTTACACCTTCCTATATTATAAACAACCCTTACAACAACTGATACATTTTTTGATTAATTTTTCAATATATTAGTTTTTGCTTAATGCTTATTTGCTTATTGCTAATATTAAGATTTGTGTGTTAATTTTTGATTATTTAACTATTTTTAGGGGTATTCTTGGGCTAATACCAAGCCAATGACTCCGAATAATTAAATTATGGAATAAAATTTTGCAAGAGAAGAAATCCGCGTTATGTACAATGAAATATTAAATATTGGCCGAATTCTAATGTTTCCTGTACTCAGATTAAATAAAATTGAATGAGGTAAGATATTTCATTGTTTTAAAGTATATGCTAGATCAATAATTGGATGAATTTTAAGAATTGCTTGTATTATTTTTCAACCTAAAGCCCGAGAATACCCTAAATTGTCATATACATTCGAGTGCGTCCAGCATCTTTAAACGTTTTTTAAGCCCCTCCTCTATTTTTAGCGATGATAATGGAAATTAACACTGGAAAAACTTCCTCTGCCCATAAGTATGATGCGATAGAGAGACAGCTGGAGGAATACATGCGACACAAGCAATTGCCCAGCTACATGAGAAACAGAATTTTAACGTATTACGAATTCAAATTTCAGAAAAGATATTTCCGAGAAAACGAAATTTTAGCCACATTATCAGAACAACTGAGACAAGTAATATATATTTACATAAATAAGCCAAAAACAGAATGTATTGTTGTGTTTTTATGTAGGAAATGAACATGCACGCTTGCAAGAAATTGGTAGAAAACGTAATATTCTTTCGAAACCTACCTTTAAATCTGCTCGTTCGAATAATATCTTGTTTGAAAATAGAAGTTTACCTCGTAAACGACGTAATAATAAGAGCTAATACTCCTGGGGCTAGTATGTATTTCATTTCAACTGGCACTGTTGCTGTCTACACCAAGTCTGGTAAAGAGGTGAGCCTAAAATCTACAACAAAAATCATACCAAAACGTTTCAAATATAGTAATTTCGCAGGTTTGTCACTTGGAAGACGGGGCCCACTTTGGCGAAATAGCGCTTCTAATCAAAGACACTTATAGAATAGCATCAGTTGTAGCTGTTGAAGTATCGGAAATCTACAGGTTAGATCAACGGGATTTCGTAAAAGCAATCAATCCCTATCCGGATTTGCTGGCCAACATTCAGCATATCGCGGAGGAAAGAATGGAAATATCCACTATGTTGGATGATTATAATAGAAGGGAACATGGGATTAACATTTTGAGAAGTAAATAATAAGCTTTATTCAAATACGTTGTTTTATTTATAATATCCTTTAAGTGGATTTTATATTAATGATAATTACTTAGGACAATCAGATAGTACAATAACAAAGCCTTTATTTTTTTGGATTTTAAAGTACCCAATATCTACTTACTGAAAATGAAGTATGTACGTACGTTTCTCAAAAATTATCTCAATTAATTATTATCTATTATTAAGATTTCAATTTCTTTAAAAAATCACGTATAATAACAGAGGTGGGTAATATGAAATTTATAAATTGCTTATAGGTAACTTTTTATATGAACATTATACAAATATTAAATATAACGGACGGAAGTAAGAGTTACTAACGATGTTAATCAACTAAAAAGTCTTATAATGAATAAATGATAAAATAATAATTACAGATTAATAATTACAGTTGTTACATATTATATTCAAATATTAATTAATTTGTCTTGTAATAATAGTTATCTTACCTTATAAATTTGTAAAATATTTTGCTTGATCCACTCCTATTTGTGATTCTCGCATTCTCTAGATATTGATAATAAATCTCAAGTATTCACTTATCGTACCAATATTTAAAATGAAACTTTTATAATAAGTTATCCATTTAATAATAACATAGTAACATGATAGGGTGGGCGTTATTTATTTCGTTCTTCGTTACTGTCTGCAAGTCTGATGAAATCATCGATTTGGACGGCAATAACTGGTTCCTGAGAGATGGATCCGGAGGTAATTATGAATAACACTTATTATGTAACATATAACTAATCACCGTTTAAATTAATTAATTGGTTCTCTCAGAATTCAAAAATCTTAGGGCTGTGGTACCCGGCGGTGTATACAGCGACCTGATGAGGCACGAAATAATAGAAGACATTTTCAAGGGCTACAATGATAACGCAACTAAATGGGTACCCAGGCGAAATTGGACCTATTCCACTACATTCAATGGTGGGTAAAATAATCTTTAGCTGGTAACAAAATAATCAAGTTTAAAATTTTTTGCAGTGAAACAAGATGTTTTAAATAGCGACAACGTTAACATCGTATTTGAAGGCTTAGACACCTTTGCTCGAGTTGTGGTAAACGGCAAAGATGTTGGAGGAAGCAACAATATGTTCGTGCAATACATCATGAGCATTAAAGACGTGTTAAAAGTAAGATTTAAAATTATTTTACATTTAAGTACAGGCTATCATATTAATTTCGTTAGGTTGGAAGTAACTCGTTGGAAGTACAATTTCGTTCACCCATTGAAGTGGCGGCTGCTTTAGAGGAAGAGCAGGACAAGCAGTACGTCGTACCTCCAAAATGCCCCCCAGGCGAATACAGAGGCGAGTGTTATGCCAATATGATCAGGAAAATGCAGGCTTCATTTTCTTGGGATTGGGGTCCAGCTTTTCCTTCCGTCGGAATTTGGTACTTACACACTTATTTGTTAACTTTACATTTTGTAATTTGATTTTGGTTGTTTGCAGGAAAAAAGTTTACATTGAAAGCTACCAGGAATCGAAAATCAGGTACATAGGAACAGAAATTACGGATGACCAAACCAATTGGTACTTAAATGTAGATATTTATTTGGCAAATAACGCAAAAGGAGCAGTGAACGGTGCTGTTAAAATAGATATAAACGGACTTACCAATACTGTAAACGTCCAGGCGAAGCCAGATAATAATGGAGAAATTAAAGCAAATTCTATTTTTACAGTACCAAAGGTGAGTGGATAAATTTATGATCGTGGACATCTTTTGTATTTATTGTACTAACATTTTTCAGACTACAGTCGAAACCTGGTGGCCAAATGGTTATGGAAAACAAACGCTGTACAAATTACAAGCCACTTTTACTAACAATCAGGGCGAAACGAATTCCAAAACTGTTAGAGTCGGTTTTAGATCAATAGAGCTAGTACAAGAACAACTTGGTAACTATCCAAACTATCCGAATAACTTAATTTTCATTATAACCTTTCATGCAGGTAGCGGCTTGTCGTTTTATTTCAAAGTAAACGGGGTTCCCATCTTTATGAAAGGCTCCAACGAAATCCCCTTGAGCATCCTGCCCGAAAAAGGTCACCATCGAAGTCTGATTGAAACCATGTTAAACACGGCCCAAGAAAATCACATGAATATGTTGCGAGTTTGGGGCGGAGGTGTCTACGAATCCGACTATTTCTACGATTTGGCTGACGAAAAAGGCATTCTCATTTGGCAAGATTTTATGTTCGCTTGTGCCATGTATCCCACCGGAAGCGATTATTTGCTGTAAGAAGTCTTTACGCTACAACTATTCGTAACAAATGCACGAAACTTATTTTATTTTCTAGTAACGTTGTACAAGAAATAAGACACCAAGTAAACAGATTGCGCAGTCATCCCAGTATAGCATTGTTTGCTGGTAACAACGAAAACGAAGGTGCTTTACGTGATAATTGGTTAGTGATTCAACCAGAACTTAATTTGCTTAAATAATTCAATTTGTATTCTTAAAGGTACGGTACTCAAGATAACTTCCAGACTTACTATAACGATTACATTAAACTCTACATAAACACCGTGCAAACCGAGCTGAAGGAGCGTATCAGCCCGAACAGGATATTCTTGAGTTCCAGTCCATCTAATGGGTTGAAGACTATCAACGAAGGTTACGTCTCGCAAAATCCAGGAGATTATAACTATGGAGATGGTAAGTTTTGAACTATAATATCTATACTCATCTGGGATATGTATAGTTTCTTTGAAATCTAGTCCTTTGTGACCTACCAGAACAGTAATAAATGTAACATTTTAACAACTTTTATACCTCTGCTAATCTACCCCAAATTGGAGAGAGTAATATGAAATTAATGATATTTGTCCAATTGCAGTGCATTTCTACAACTACGAAAACGATCCTTGGAACTCCAATATTTACCCAGTATGCAGGTTTGCTTCGGAATACGGTTATCAATCCCTACCAAGCCTCAGCTCTTGGAGAAAGGTGACTAACGACCCCGAAGACTTAAACATCAACGGTCGATTCATGGAGCACAGGCAGCACCATCCCGAAGGCACCTCCCAGTTGAAGAATATGATTGAAATGAATTTGAAATTGCCTGACGAAACTAGTGCCGATTACACCAAGTCGTTCGTATATTTATCGCAGGTGGTGCAAGCTCTAGCTATCAGAATCGAAACGGAACACTACCGTCGCTACAGGAGTAATTTGAACAGTGCCGGACAAGGGCATACAATGGGCGCGTTGTACTGGCAACTTAACGACGTTTGGGTGGCTCCTACATGGTCTGGCATCGGTAAGTACTTATTTAAAATTAAATATTACAAATTAACCAAAGCGGTTTTATTTAGACTTCCTTGGCAATCAAAAGATGCTGCAATATTTCGTTAAAGACGCTTTTGCGCCTGTTATCATAACCGGGCACATCAATGACCAGAGAACGCTCGAAATATACGTTGTGTCCGATCGCCTTGAGACCATTCCGAATGTTACGGCGTCCATACAAGTATTTAAATGGGATTCATTTAACCCGGTACATACGGAAAACATAACTTTGGATGTGGTGAGTGTAACCAACAAAATTACAAGAAACTATAATGTCTCTGATTCATTGGTAATAATTGGAATAATTTTTTAGTCGCCATCTGAATCGAAACTCATAAAATCGATTGAGACAGACGAATTTTTGGCCGAACAAAATTGCGGAAGCAAGGACGACGCCAAGAACAATTGTTTCTTCTATTTTACCCTTAATGCTCCTGGACATGACCAAGTTGCTCCGGTTAACTACGTTTTCCCAGCTCCGCTGAAAAATTCCAATTTGAAGAGACCGACTGTGGTGGTACGATAGTGATCACTTTCTTGAAATCTTTCTGGATATATATTTTTTTATTTTCAGTTAAAATCGGTGACTCAGGTGGATACGAAACCATTCAAATATTACGTAAAAATAGGGACTGACGTTGTTACTCCGTTTGTTTGGCTCGAATCGAGTATCCAGGGAAGATTTGAGAACAACGGACTTTTGTTAACGAGTCCAGCTACATGTTTCGAGTACACTGCTACAACGGACGACATAGATATTCATTTCATTAACAGTGTTACTATTACACATTTATAAAGTGGTAAAGTAGTAAAATATATTGTTAGTTACGAAATAAAAATTGAATAATGTATGAGAAAAAAAAATATTCAAAAATAAATAATCTAGAGACTTGATAATTTATAGTCCAGTTCCAAATCTTCACAGAGTGACTCATCCGTCAATGTTATGAAAAATGGTGCAGGAGTCATGTCAAATATCAGCGGCGCGGTACGAGTATACGTGAATTTTTTAATATTTAACTTATAACGTAAATCCTATAATATAATTCAATATTATTTAAAAAATTAAATAAATTCATTTTATTTGAATTTAATGCTTTATGAGTATATTAAAGCCAAATTTGAATCTTACTAGAATTACTCAACCTATGTTTTCCCATTTAAAAATATTCTGAAGTGGCGCCCTTAAACAGAATCAAGCTAGCAATAATTAGATTCTTCTATTTTAATTGCTATTCTTCCCTTGACATTATTGATGTTTAAATAACAATTCACAAAATAAACCTCGACATTTTGCCTAGATTTATTGGCGTTTCAGGCATGAGGTAAGATAAGGCCTGAGTGATTATCGCACCCAATTTGTCATTTTGATAAACACGTGTTAAAAACGTAAATTATAGTGAAATCGATTTCAGTTACAGAAAAGAAAATTCCGAAACTGTTGTGGTAAAAAGCACAGATTTCCTGGACAACAAGGAAACGCTGTCGGAATCGCCGTCTAAAATGCAGATATTCGTGAAAATTCCGATACGGAGGAAAACCCTAAGGCAAGAAATAGACCCGACGGATACTATCGAAATTATAAAAAGCAACGTCGAAAAACTAGAAGGGATTCCATTGGACAACCAACGAGTAGTTTACGACGGTGTGAATCTACAAAACGAAAAATCGCTGTTGTTTTACAATATCACCGACAAATCGACGCTATATTTATTGCTCGGTTAAAGACTTCCATGAGATGAGAATACAAACGCCCAAACAAAAATTCTCGTTTTTACAGTAAATAAATACCTTTTTAATTCAACAAAAGAACGTGTTATTTACAAGTAAATTATTTGTCAGTATCATCTAACTTTTGTCGCTTAGACGATTCCCCGTTTTCTTCGGAAGCCGCTCTTTTTTCAGTGGTGACATTAAAAACCGCGTTTTTGAACGATTCGAACTTCTCCGGATCCGATAAAAGACTGCTAGGCGCCATCGAGACGTCCTCTTCTTCTTCTTCGGGAGGTTTCTCAACTTTACTGGCCGCCTCGCTGTGGTAATTGTTTAATTTCGATTGCGCGTTAGTAGATGTATCTACTTTCATCACCTCTCGCAGCACCATGGTCGCATAACTGCATGAAGCCAATGCAAATTCCAATATTACAGCTTTGTATTGCCCGTCTGAAAAAGAGAGCATATCAACTTCTGTTTATGTTTATAGAATGCTTTCCTTACTGTCATCTGTCTGCAATTTAGCGTTCTTTTTTAGTTCCTGTAAATCGGATAAGATTAAATTATCCGTAGGTTTGTTGTATTTGACTATGTTCCAGGAAAGATCTTCCACTTTGCCCAAAATTTTTCTGTAACTGCCAGACAACGTGTAAGATCTAAAACAAAAAAATCATTCATCAAAATTAAGCATTTAAAAGTAAAACAATACAGTGCTGTTCAAGGAGACCCTTCATTAGAACTTGTAGGAGTTCGTGAAGAGTTACAAATCTGAAAATTTAGGAGAAAGGTATAATCAATATATTATTTTTTTTTAAATTTTAACTATAAACTTCTAGGTGCATTATTACCAGAGATATCATAGAAAATACATTCGACAATTTCTCCAAAAAAAAAAGGAAAAAAATAAATAACTTAAAAATAGTGCATTTTTGAGATATGGTTTTTTTATCAGTCCGGTTAAAAAGGGTCACAGAATCCAAAAATGAACTCAACAATATTACTTTCCATTGAAATAACGAAGTTGACATCTACTTCCGGTATAACCGGAAGTCACATATAATTGAAAATATTTTAGAAAAACATGCACAACATTGATTATACCTTAAGTACTCCTAAATATTTGTAATTCTTCAGGAACTCCTAAAAGTTCCAATGGACGGTTTCCTTGAAAAGCACTCTATACCTACTTTACTGTCTGTTGTGTCATTTCTAGGGTTAGTCCCAATTCCTCAACGCTTTCTTTATAATAAGGCTTCATATGTTCCGGGTAGGTTACGTCATAACCGGGTAATGGTAACACAATATCAAATAAGGAGTAAATACCTAAATCACTTTCTTGCAAAGCTTTTACTCGAGCTCTTTGTTTAGCTAAAAAATAGTAAATTACATAACATATTAGTGAAATTAACTGGATTTACCTTCTATGTCTTTTTCATTTTGGCTTGTATTAGGTGTAGATTCGTTAAGTTCTTCGATTTCATCTTCTTGTGTATCCTCACAATTACTTAGAAAAACCAGATCACCTACAACTGGCTTGGTTCCAAACAACTGCAGCCTTTTCGAAACCATTTTGTTCCAGATCAAGCTTTGGAAGGCGTGTATATAGAGCAGTCTCATTTGTCGTGGAATCTAAATATCAGAACATTCAAAAATTTAATACTGCAGCAGGTTAATATTGCGTCTCTGCTTACCTTTTCCAAGGCGTTTATGTAATCGTTTTCATTATTATTTTTCAAACCTTCCAAAAGCTTCCCTTCCACACATTTCGATTTGTTCTTCTGAAGGGCTGCGAAAGCTTTACTTGCGTTTCCGGTCTCTGCGTAAATTTTCTTAGCTTGCACAATGTCGCTGTGAGATGAACTAGGATCGTCAGAGGATTTCGGTTTTAATATCAGATCTACTGCCTGAAAAATACACTCTGTATATTGATAAATATGCAATTCGATTGATATACCTCTTTCCATTTTCCCTGCAGTAAACTTATCCCTACTTTATATGTAGGTACTTCTTTGTCATTTCCGAATCTTTGTAAACCGTAGTAGTTAATGAAATGATTTTGTTTCAAGTTATTCAATGCTTCGAGTATAACTTCATCCGAGGCTGTGACGTTTCTTAAAGCTATTCGAAACCTGTTACCCTTTAATTTTCCCAACTTCAATGGAGCATTTTTGAATTTAATATTTCCTATTTTTATGTTATACAGTTGTTTAGTTTTTATGATGAGTTTCCAGGGTTCGATTCTCTTCGCTGAAAACCATTGGGATGTAATAGCTCTTCTATCTTTGTTTCCCGCGTGTTGGAATTGAGACGGGCCTATTCCTATTGCTGAGGATATTTTGAATATGGCTTCGAGGGTGTCCATTTTTTCTTTGTAAACGATGAAATGTATGTAGTCTCCTATGTGTTCAGGCCACTGAAAGCGAGCATCTACTGTGCCTAAAAAAGTAAAACTGCGATAACAATAATTCAATTAACATTGTAGAATGTACCTTTTGCAAATTTTTCGAATTTCAAAACCTTCTTTCCGTCTTGCTCTACCGTGGAAACGATAAGTTTTCTACCGAAATGGCTCTTTATGCATTCGTGTATGTCTTTCCGTTCGGATTTTTCCAAGTTTTCAACATTCAGTATCACTGGCTCGGGTTCGGAATTGTCGACGACTTTCTTCAAGGATTCCCAAATATCTTGAGGAATGTGCTTGTTCGGGCTCTCTGCAACTTCGGTGTAACTCTGCTTGACCATCTTCAGAGAGAAGTCCTTGGGTATATCGGTGTTAGTTAATTTCGCGATATTTCCTTCCAAATCGATTTCGTTCAACTGGAAATCGGAATACCTGGCTTTTATGACGCCCGAAAATCCATCCTTAGAGCTTAAGTACTCTGTTATCCCCACGTCTTCCTGGACCAACTGATCGCCGTGTCGGTATTCCTGCGGTCTCCAGTTTTGGCTGCGAGGTTTGTTTTGAAAAGACCGTTTGAATCCGCCTCTTTTGGGCTTCATTTTAAAGCACTTAAAGGTAAAAAAACAAAAACGTTTTGTATCTTACTACAAAATGTTATTCAAAAAATAAAAAAATGAGGTTAAACGAAATGTGACAGTTAAAAAGTGAGGTTAACTTTCAAGTTTATGTTTACATCTTTTTGTTTGATATATGGACTTGTACTTATAAGGTTTCACTAACGCCAGTGTAATCTGTGTTGCATAACTTGACTTCTTTTGCAAATTTGAATATTTTTGATTTGTAATAGTTTAAAGTAGTTAAATTAGTTAAACTATCATTTGTAATTTTTTTAGTTTGTTCTTAGTATAGGAGTTTCGGAGTACTAGTTTTGGTAAGTCATTTTTTGATCAAAATGAATATATTTACGAACTGCACAATCTCTTCTATGGATTATTTTAGAAGCTTTATTTTAGAAGCTGATATTACGAAAATATTCTTGAATAAATATTTATGTGGGTAAGTGCAAATTTGTTTTCAATATGGTTTCTTTTCAATTATATGAGTTCAACAAAGATAAAAATAAAAATAACAGTGGATAGAGTGAGAAAGTTACAATCATAGAGAAAGAAAGATGTAAATATATTATGTCTATGGTTACTTATATTTTGTCTATGGTTACAATCCCACAATCCCGATATCACTCTTTTTTTCGTTTATACCTTGCTTCATTTCAGTTTGCATATGGTCATTTTTATGAGTTAAACAAAGAAATATTTTTAAAATAACAGTTGTGAAAAGTTGCAATGACACAATATTACTTTTTCTGTTCCTTTATAGAAGTTTGTCTTTATCGCACCCGTAGCCTTATATAACCTATTTTTTATATTATAAACTAAAATGAATCCATATGTATAAGACTATTGGAAGTTGTCTTTATTGTACCCATGGACCATATTACGTACCAATTTGCACTTATCTGTATTTTGTAGTAGTTACTAGAATTAAATGGAGATTCATGATGATTCATTTTAACATTTCATGTTCACAGGACGAGGATGATAGAGAGAAAATATTTTTGTAAGCTAGTGTAATTTATTGAAATTTTATATTTTTGAGGTCTCAATTAAATGTCCAGAAAATTGGTGTTCTTAGTTATTCTAGAAATTACCTAGAAATCTATAAAGCCTAGAATATTTCTCCCAGCAATGAGTAACACACAAAAATCAGAACATAATGAATTTTTTGATGAATTTGTGCGGAAACATACATAAATAATGCTTATAAACTTTTATAATGCTTTTAAAACTTTAATCTCTTTAACACCTCTCATTATGCTTTAAAAACTTTGTTTTTCTATCAAATTTTCGAAAAAGTATTATATGATATTTTTTGTTCAAAATTACTTGTATAAATAACCTCTTGAAGTTTGGCGGTTTTTATAGTAGACACACCCTGCAATAATTTCAAAGCCTGTAATAAATACGAATTACATTCGAAAAAATATGAATTACCAATTTTCCTTAAACTCTTTCCACATCGAAAACCCTTACCAAACTCATCCGGTCCATACATAGTAAATCTAGCTTCTTATTTTCTCCTATTAGAACAATCATAGCCTAAACTCGAACTTTCCTTCGCCGGTCCTCAGCGGCCCAATCAAAATCGCCAGCGCGAGCGAAATCGAAATGGAAATGATAGGAGAAAAAAAAAGCTCTAGCTTTCGCCGAGTCGCCGAACCCGCTTCGAAATCCGCCGGCGTCGCTCGTCGACTGAGCTTTGCCATTGGCCGAAAAGCACGACAGATGCGAAGCACGGCGCGACACACGAAAGCTTCGAAAAATGCTTCCTGAGACGTGCGGCGCGACCTCAGTTGAATCCAACGTGCGTAACGGTGGTGTGTGTGTGCGTGAGATACTTTTTTTTTATTTACACATGGTTAGTTTGTAAAATTTTTATCGAATGCCCATTCAATTTGCAGCTTTTCGATCAGTGACAGTGAGTTTTTTTTTCTCGTATAGATATTCGTTCGCCTCTTCTGCGGCGAATTTTCCTTCGGCGGTAAATATTTATTTGAACGTATTTTGATTGTTACTTGCCTAAATTATATTGTTGTTTTGTTTATTGCGACTTACTTTAAGGTAACAAATTATTCTCTCTAGTTAAGTTTATTACATTTGATTGATAATTTCTTATTTTATTCGAATTTAAATTTTACCGCTCACCAATTAAATTTTTTTAAATCTGTTTTATTAATTAAAAAACTATTATTCATCCGTGTTACAAGTTAATTAATATATTTCACGAGTTAAAGATTTTTGAGTTTTCATTGTGATTTCACTAAATTTTATCGAAATGTTTGTATTTAAAACGACGCTTCTTTTGTAAGGGCTTTAATTCGACAACAACAAAACGTTTAAAACGCACGCGTTGTGAATATTCTGGAAATATTTTAGCCAATTATTAATTCTACGAATAAATATTTATTAAAACTTAGCCGGAATTACGTTTAATAAAACTTAGGCGGGATTAATTTTTTTGTTTAGGTGCAAATGAGCAATTTTACTAGCAGTTAAATTTATCGCATTGACTCATTTCAACAAACATTTACCGTTTTGGCTACTATTAGGCTATATTTGGCTAAAATTTTGCTTCTATTAGGTGCATTTTTGTTAAAGCATTTCCCTGTTGCGCAGACATGGTAGTGAGTAACGTGTAAATTTCCGCATGGAGAGTTGATATAGCCGATTTAAACTCTCATGGCTGTTTTAGGGTAGCTTGTTTAGAGCTGAACAGTTTATATGTTTATTTAATCCAGAACTCATATGATTGTGGGTAATTGTTTATTCACTCATTTTTTCTACAATTGTTTAGTTATTCTATAAAAATATAGCATTGCTTTGGGATCACTCCTTTTTTTCTTCGTTTGGGCCCTCTTCATTTACATTAAGAACGTTATAAATTCTTTTTATGAAGTGCCTCCTTGCTTATTCTTGCTTCTGATAATCCTCTTTTTGACATTTTTAAAATACTCCAAGATGCTTCTCGTTGCTTAGAAACACTATGTATAAGATAAAAAACCTAACGCTAAGATCCCTTTTTTATGGTAATTCGATTGATTAACAAAAACGAGCTTTTACTCGAGACCTTCGACATTTTCATTTCGCTTTTTGAAGTTCAAGGAACCTTAGGAGTTGTATGTTTTCGGCATTAGAATTCGATTCCGATATTTCACTCGCGGGGATTGCTTTCCTCCGGGATTGGACGAAATAAAAGTTCGCAGTCTGCTGAGTTTTTCAATCCGCCACATCGGAAATGTCGCCGGTAGGATTAAAATTCAATAAAGTGTTAAATCGAAATCGCGGCTGCCGCAAGTGCAATATTTTTCTAATTTCCGATTCGAATTGCCGGCGAATATTTTTTCGGTAATTTGCTTTTCATAACTTGCAATGAAATAAGAGGAATAATCATGGTTGTTAATAAAGCGTACTATAGGATGATGAACAATAAATCCAAGTACTTATATAATTTTTTTTTGTAAAGAACCGGCTTTATTTTCTTGCAAGAATAACCCGAGACGCGATCTCTGCTCCGCAGAAGGGAAGGAAATTCCTGCATACACTATCGGCCGAAATGTTTTTTAATTATCGATTTTCTTTATAGTGAATCACACCGGAGTAACGACGTTCAATGTACAGTCACTGCTGAAAATTTCGCAGAAGTGAGAGAGAAACTGAAGTAACTGAAATACACTGTTGCCAAAATTTCACTTTCCCTTTGCAGGAATATCTCGCAGGATTTTAAATACTGGAATCTGTAAATATTAACTTGTCAAACCATATTGGTTTTAAATATACATCGGCTAGGATAATTTAATAGCCTTCAGTAAACTGCGATTTAAATGCCCACGAATTTTTCCAAAAGACGTCAGTTTTCTCTTTTCACTCTTCAATTTAGTCTCCTGATCTATCTAAATAATCAACTTAACCAGCATACACCAAGAAAAAACACCCCATTACGAGGACTCAGTAAGTGCAATTAGATCCTTCCCATCAAGTGGGAGATGTTGGAGACACTCCCTACTGATTAAAAAATCCATTAGAAAAAGATTTGTTTTTTTCGAAGGACTTTTCCCAGGATAATCCCGCCGATTTGGCAACGCCTGATTCGACCGTGACCTGACAGGCAACAAGGAAATGCGTTGCGTTACGCAGTGAACAGTGACTACGGCTGCGTAGTCGCGATCCTTTTTGGTCCTTCCAGAGAAACACTTTTTCGTGACGTGTACATGCGCTTTTCGCTGCGTCACTGTCAATGCTCTCCGCCTTTGTATGTAAACAGCTACCGACGCCTGGCTAGTTTCCTTTATTTTCCCACTGGCCGAAACGGGTGTCGTAAACGATACAAGATGATAATGTTATTGGAAAAGTTTCATTCACAAGAAAAGCGCGTGGGAGGTCTCGGGGAGGCCCAGGGAGCGGAAAAAGAGGGGAACGTTAGATGTTCGTCGGAGGAAGTTTTCTTTGTGATATAATGAATTAACTACTTAGAGCATATTTTTTAAATTCTTTTTTTTATTGGATAAGTTCGGCGGGATTAATGAAAAATGGAAAAGTTTTTCGACTTTTTACTCGGGACGTTCGGGCAAAAATTTATTGCTTCAAATTTCGTAAATAATGAATCGAGGAAAAGGGGTTCTGAGTCGTTATTTTTAAATTACTACAAAAATACAATTACTATAATTAAATATAATATTGAATATATTTTTTTTTTATCTTTAACAATATTTTTCATTTTAATTCTTTAGCGATGACCCATTTTCTATAATTTTCATAATACTGTAGGTAAATTTTTATAGACATTTTATTCGACTTAATTGCACTTCCTGTCCAAATTTCGCTTTAGGTATCTACCTATATGTTCGAATAAACTAACGTGCGAGTGTATTGTTTGTTCGCAATAGACGAAAATATCAAATGACATAAAGATGCACAGCTGCGTCGTCTCAGGAAGTAAATCTGAATTTGAGAATAGACCTCCATTTAATGCGGTTTTATATCCTATTTCTATCGGCAAAAATTTGATCAGATTACCGAATAAATCTTACAAATTGTAGGTATACGAATATATTTCTTCATTCATCAATTTATCAATATTCGTTATTTACATAATTCAACGTAATTCACTGTCGACTGATTAGTAGGTAGATGATAATTTGATATATTGTATAAACTAATATACATTTATCTTTGTTTCAGATATTATTTTTATAAACTAAGAACACGATAGTAATATTTTTATACGGAACATAACAGTACAAAGGAAAAGAAAGTACAAATATTTCTACATCCAATCTCAGCGAAATTCAGGATTACCATAATGACAATAAGGACTACAATTTTTCTATAAAGCTATTAGTAATATTGTATAAAAATATCCGGTCGACAAAAACCAAAAAGATGACTTCCAGTTAACAATATGCGCACTACTCATAATGAGTGAAACTTTGAGTCAGGATCCCGATGGGCTAGGGGCAGCATACACGACCCTGGTGCCATCGTATCCTCCGACACCAGCGACTCCAAGTTCCACGGTGCAGGACGCACCACCCGGAGCCAATCTACCTCCCTTTTCGACGTTTTCCGCTGAAATGGATTCAAACGGAGCGTTCAGTTCGGTATCGGATCGATTATTTAGCGATACTCGTCTTCTAGACATATCAAATTGGGACTATTACACGGAAGCGAGACTTTTGGATCGCGGCGACAATGGATTGTCGATAATTACCTCACAGCCTCAGTACCGTCCGTGGGAATCCAAACCGGTGGACGCATCCACGTCTACGTATACAAACACAACGCCTGTTAATACGTTAGTAGACGCGTTTGCTCATCAAAACGGTGCTTCTAAATTACCTTCATTCCAGTCCCAATTCCAATCTTATAACGATACAGCCACAACCAGCGAACCGACGCTGACTACTCTCACTAATCTAACGCCCGTATCACCAAATTCATCTAGTCCACAAAGCCATAGTTTAACGACGTTGAACTCTAATTTCCATACCTTAAGTGCTGTTAACGTTAATCCAAGAAGTTACCCCTTAGTACCTGCGCCCATCCAAGCGAGGGAAATTCCTTCCATCCAACAGCAGTTTCTAGACGAAAGACACATCCAATTGTACTCCCACCCGCCTGCGAACATAGCCTTAAACAATTCCCTACACCCGACCTTCTTGAACAGCCAAAACGGTGCCATCATCCAGAACAATCAACTGATCTCATCGCCCACAGTGGTGACCGTGTTGAAGTCCGAGCCGGACATAAAACTAGGTGCTAATCTAACAGCTCTGCACCATCACGACTCCATCAAATTGCAGAACGTCGGCTTGCACCCGACGCAATTCCAGAACCCCATGACGCAGATCCACAACACTGACGGGGTCCTCTACGACGGTGTCGAGAAGAAGCTCAACGGCAACATGACTTCCCCGACACGCAACGATTTCCGCAAAAAGGAACGCAGGAAAATCCGCGCGTCGAGCCTCGAAAGTTCGGTAGACAGTGACGGGGCTTCCAGTAACATGGACATCGGTTCGGAAAATTCGGGCCAAGTGGCCGCCATCTCGAGCACGGCGGGCTTCAAGACGCACCAAATGCACGTTAACAGTTCGATAGACATGGATACGGACATAAGTGGTGGAAGCGTTGATAAGCAGGTAAAGAAGAAGCGAAAACGGTGCGGTGAATGTATCGGTTGCCAGCGGAAAGATAACTGTGGTGATTGTGCCCCCTGCAGGAACGATAAGAGCCATCAGATCTGCAAGCAGAGGCGATGCGAGAAATTAACGGAGAAAAAGGTAAGTGAGCTTCCTTATTTATGTTATCACTTTTTAAATAGTCGTTAAGGGCGAATGGGAGGGAAGAAAATTGTTTCTAACCGGCTCCCCTTAATGGGCTGCTGATATTTACACTTTTTGATTACGAGATTTTTTTTCTTTTTCGAGAAAGAAATTCTCTATGAAATTTGAGGAAATTCGGAATTTAAGTTATACGATACATTATGTAGCTGATAAATTTGAACTTCAAAATATTAACTAATTACTCGAGGAAGAAACTTAATAGTATTCGCTAAATTGTTGTGAAAGTTTAGCGATTCCTTCAACTTGCTAATTGCTTCCTAAGCCAAGATATTTTCGAAGTATATATAAGTAGTCAGTAAGCAAGTAAGATCTTCCCCATACACCCTAACAAACGTTAGAAACTACATTATGAAACTATATATTTCTGCAATTTATGCGGTGGAATCAATCAGAAGAATCCTCTGTAAATTTCACTGGTTGAATAATTCAATTACCATTGCGGGTGACAAGAGTATGTGTAAATGTAAAGAACTTTATAATGATTAAAACAACAAAATTTAAAATTCAGACGCTTTAATATTCGCTTCTGCCCCGAGCCACGCACAAATCTCATCCTCAAATCTTCACAATTTAATACAGCATCGCAATTTCGAGGTTCTCGTTCAGGTAACAACTATTTCCAATTTCCCTACGCCAAGAATGTCACCGAGAAGCCCCGCTATTTAGCATCGCCGAGCGACGCTGCGGGTTGCGTAAAACGCTTAAACGCAGATACGGTGGCTTATACATGCACACGCACACCTAACATCCCTTACCTGATCACTCACATGGACTGGTCCAATTATTCCCGGCAAATGCGTATGTGTATGTGCGTGTGTAACGCGAACGTATTCGGAAAGCTCGGCAAATCCTCTATTGACACGTGGGGGCGAGCCGCGAAAATTTTCCAATTAGTTTTGTCGTTACCAAACGCTGCGAAAAAACTTATAACAAAAATCATCTTGTGGGGGTAGAACTCATTTTTCTTGTAACATTACACTTTAATTACTATTCTTTAGTTAAACGAGTGCGTTACGCATTGGTTTGTTATACTATAAGTCGCGCAGTTTGCGTTTACGGCTATTGCGATCGGATTGTAGGTGATAATTAATTTCCAAATTTTTTTCCTTCGTGGCTCCTGTTCCCCCTACGTTCCTGCGTTTCTCCACATACCGATTCGACGATTGGGCAAAGGCGGCATTTCTAAGCTCCTAGAAATACTCAATAGAAGACGATGAAGCGAATGCCTAATGAAAAGGTTGAATGCCGGATCGGGGATCGAGAGTGAGATTGAAAAGGCGAAAAAATTTCGTACCTGATATTAAAAATGAGTTATTGCGAATATACCAAAAATATAAATTCTTGGTACCTATTTAATCCCGGTATTAATCAAATGTTAATTCTCAAGACAGTTAACGAATTACATGCTAGTAATGTTCTTACCGAACAGACAATTTATTTGCTAATATAATACATATTTAAAGATAAATTAGCATATCCCGATGAAGCAACCGGGTTGCCGGGATAAAGCAACCAAAATGACGTTGATATCAGTCGAGTTCGTTAAATTAAAACGAAACTGTAACGATCCGAATCGGTATAAAAGAAAAATCAGTTATAAATTAAATAACAGTTTAAACGACCGAAGGGGTGCAACTCTTTTAATAAAATTTTAATCAGTTATCTAGGTGTACAGGCACCTATTCCGATAGCGTTTTTTCACATCGTAAGCCGGGGATCTAGTTTTTAACGCAATTATTGTACGGGTTTAACGGTCAGCAACAGAAAAAAAAACGCTCTCATGCTCGTCCGCAGCATCTCCATCGAAAAAAATTATCTGACTAGACAAGGGTCAGATAAAAGAAACAGGTCCCTCAAGACGGAGACCTACCCCTTTGATTCGGAATTTTCAATAGTTATGGAATCAAACAAGTGACCAGTACAACTTGCACAAAGAAGAACCAAATAGATTTCTCTAGATGAATGCAAAAATTAATTCATAATTCATAAAGAGTTTTTATTACAATTCCAATGACTTGCCAATTTTGCTTCATTCTGCAGAGAATTTTAATCGCAACTTTGTGTTCTAATATCATTTTAACTGGGAATAAATTTAAGAAGATTCAAAATGCTTGAATGCTATCTTAAAAATAAAGTTTGCTTGCATCAAACTTATCTACTAAAGTATGTAAAAGAACTTTTTAAAGTCGATTGTAGTTTTAGAACACCGAGAATACAATAAAACTGCCACTTGTAAAAAAGACGATGAAGCATCGAAAATGTCTTATCGTGTGATTCTATTTATTTTCATCTTCAGTTTATCGAGTTGTATTGCTAGATATTTTCTCAAAATTTTTCAAATCGTCAACCGTTTTTCTAGCTCGGGCCAATTGAAAGGCGCTTTAATATGACGAACCTAATATTTTTTCGACCTGAATGAAAAAGTCTATCGCCAAAGTTGCATCCACACGACATATGCCATATATCGAGCGTATGTGTATACGCTTAGACCAGGTAGTACGTCCTACGAGCCAACAGCTGCGTTCTGAAGAATAAACTTCTGCCAGCTGTTTGCCTGTACAGCCGTTCACCTAAAGCGCTGCTCGACTTTCGGTACCTTCTGTCGCCCGAGCTCGAGCTGACCGACTGCCGTTATGCACATAATAGCAAAAATGTATTTAAAGAATATACTTACAATAGGAAGTCTGATGATACTGATTATAACATATTACGTTTTATAACGTACTAACGATTTTTGTGAGAAAATTTCGATTGTCGCACGAGCACCTACCTACCTACCCACCCGCGAAAAGTGATTTATTGTTTTTTCAAATTTAACGGATTTTCCCTGTTATTTAATTTTATAGAACAATTTTCTTTCATTTCTTTTGTGGAAAGCTCACTGAATACATATATTGAATTCAAGGATTCATAATTGGGTTGAAGTTGCCCATCATTCAATTATCCCTTTATTTATTTCTTGAAGGAATTAATTTCCCATGGACCCTAATTTAAAACACCCATTCACAGAATATGTACTTACTCGCAGGAATTAATTAGGCGCAACCTGCGAGCTGAAATTGGAGTTTTTAATATTCGATACAAATGATGAGAAATATTGGCTCCGTCTCTTCTTCGCCGATTATCTTCCAAATTTAATCATTGTAATTACATTGCGCTTAATTAGAGTTACTTCTACGACTGGATGTTAATAATTTTTCTCGTCGAGATTTGATTTTTCTTTCTACTTTATGCCGATATTAAATTTCGTTTTTCTTCCGGATGTCTCAATTTGCTCTCCAGTTTCGCGTTTCAATCAACTTTTTTGGAGGCGAAGAAATTACTTAGCTATAGCGAGATAGAAATATCAAATCATTTTACGAATACTATGTAATATGTGGGTACCTACATATACTTTTTTTTAATGATTCAAAATAGTAGTTATAAAAGGTGCTATAAAAACAGGACACATTGCTCGGCATTCCGGGTTATCACCGTTATCAAATAGCACTTGAAGAAATTAGGAAAAAAAAGGATAAATAAAAGATAAACCACGGCGAAAACGAACGTAGGCATTGTGAAAAAAGCTATTTTGAAATGTGTCGGTGTCCGTGACAGCTGCACCGTTTACGTCGATGTGTGTTGTTCGGGCACGCGACAAGATTTCTTTATCTGGGCCAATTGTTGTTTCATCTGCTCACTTTTTGTTCTATTCAGTGGCAGACGCGAACAGAGATGCATTGAAGTATCCAAAAGGCTTCCTCCGATATAGTGTTTATGTCGCTTCGACAAAAATTAGACGGGCATATGTACGTCGAAAATCTCTAATCAAAACAGAGCTTCTACTCTTTATTCTACAATTCAGTTATTAATAATTACTTCCATGATTTCTTCACAAGTTGACACAAGTTTTTCGCATCAATTTTTCACAATTCAGAAACAATTCTGAACAAATCAGAGCTAAGTTCATAAATTTCTGCGCCCTAAACTATCACCGTTAAATTATGGAATAAAATCTACATTGTGCAAACAATTCCGAACGCCGAGCAATAGAATTTTCCTCCATATCATTTTAGCGCCATTCTAAAAAATCCCGTTGTTGTTGAACTCCGGGCGAAATGACCAGCTCTGTTATTTAGTAGCCCGACCCCGCTTACGAATGGGAAAATCTGGATATGCCGGAATGAAATGGGAGCTATCAACGAAAGCGGGCTTTGCACCTTCATATCTGTATAACAATGATAAGTGAAATGCCTCGCGAAGTTGTTCACAAAACCCTTTAGAAATGCATGATGCAGTAAACGGTAATTTACAATGTAATGTAATTAAATGAAATTAAAAAATAAAATGTAATATTAAAGAGCGTTTGAGAAGGTTAGAAGAAATAAGAAAAAATGAAGTAATATAGAAGATAAAGGTAGTGGAAAACACATTGATACAGGAACTGATACGTGATTCATTAGAACCAAATAAGGCGGATAGAAGGGGTTCAAAATGTAACTTATCATACAGAGAATTGAGAGTCTTAAAGGAAAGTCGAAAAATCCTTTGGAATAATCCGAAGAAGAAGATGATGATGGAGATGATGAAAACGAACATAAAACATTAACAACAAAAAACTTAAATATTGATGATAAAAAATGATGCGACTTATCGATTGGAGCGATAGAAACAGCCTCGGGGCGCGTATAATAATTCCTTTCCCTGCTAGGGTCTCTGCGAAACGCATTAAGTATCTATCCGTGCAAGATCGCAATTCGAAATCGCCGGCGACTATGCCGGTCGACCAACAACAACGCCGCACCGTTTGTACCGAGCCAGATCAATAAGAATACGAGTGCAGCGATGACTCATGCGACGTCCCCTCGCGTCTCCTTTCCTTTTGATACTTAACCCCCGTGCGTCACCCCATGGAAAAAATCAATTCCGAAACAGCAAATGCCGAATGTTGCCAAATTTCCACCATCCACACAGCCACTGTCACTTTTCGATAAAAGTGACATCGCACTCGTTACGAGGGCGTTCGATTTCGGTTTCACTTTTGTTTATCGATGTTCGCTTTCAGCGAAAGCCGCCAGAAGGAGAGCGAGATAGAAAGGAAACGCTGGAAAGCGAAAGGGTTATCAAATTCCGATGGCGTGCTCCAGGTTTTCATTCATCTAGCTCCGACGACGATCGACTTTTCTAATTCGCAAATGAAACTATTGTTAGTTAAATAAACCAAATTAATAGCAAATGTTTGAATCGTGTATCACTATCAAATATATGTTATAACTGATTTTACATTATAAATAATCCATCAGTAATGTACAGAATGGTGGTCCAAATAAACTCCAAAAACTGTGAGAAAAGCAGAGATAAAAAATAACTAATCTAACCAATTTATCTCAATTTATTAAATAAAAAAATACATTAATCCATAACGAATTCAAACAATGACAAGAATTAAGAATTGGGTTTAGAATTAAAATCGGTAACACCTAACGATTTTTTCGCCATCGGGTAGCTAGTTTAATTTATTCAATATTTTTTGAAATCTCCGTTATTGGGATCTCCTGTTGAGTCGAATCAGATACATCTTTCGGTACTTCTACTTCAGTATTGATATCTCCAATTTCAGTAACTGGTGGTTCCAGGCGACTCGTGTAAGCATCCTCTTGTTCTTGATAGTCGTGGTCACCAAATTTTCTTTTCTTAGTGGTTTTCTTAGTTGTGGTTGTGGTTGTCAACACTTCTTCTTCTTCTTCTGCTTCGCAGTCAATTAGGTGCTGCTTCAGGAATAAAATAAGTGTAGCTATTTCGAATATTATCAATACAACTACTAAATTAGCGCAGATATTGCTGTATCGTACTTTACAAGGCTGGTTTGCACACTGCTGGGTCCTGACACGTTCACAGCGATAACTCATTTTTACAAGAAAACTTGCTAGTTTAATTTGAACTGATATTCAGCGTTTTGATTGATTTTACATTTAATTGTAGGGTCAATGTCAGATAGTATTTGGCATAAGTATTTAAATAGGACCGTCACAATGTTTGATTCAAAAAACGGTTTCAGGTAACTAGACAGTTTGCGGTAGATAAATATTTAAAAAAATATTAAAGACAATTTCACCGTGTATTTGAAATTAAATTTCTATTATTTATTCTATTGTTATTCTTCTATTTTAATTGAAATTTTTAATTCATTTGCTTTTCCAAAACAGACTTCTTAATTTAATCTTCCAACACAATTTCTTACTGGTGTTTTAATTTAGCATTTCATAATAAATACCATATACATGTGATGCATATACATAGATACATTCCGAACGTACCTCGTATATTTTATGAAAGCCTTTAATTAAATTTTTCGTAACTGTAACGAACGCAATGAAAATAACAAAGTAGGAATTTCATGCGAAAAAACTCGAACAGAAACTGTAACGAATACTTTTCTAATTTGCAAATGAAAATATTGTTAATAGTTAAATAAACCAAATTAATAGCAAATGTTTCAATCATGTAACTATCAAATATATGTTATAATTGATTTTACATTATAAATAATCCATCAGTAATCTACAGAATGGTGGTCCAAATAAACTCCAAAAACTGTGAGAAAAGTAGAGATAAAAAATAACGAACCTAACCAATTTATCTCAATTTATTAAATAAAAAATACATTAATCCATAACGAATTCAAACAATGACAAGAATTGGGTTTAGAATTAAAATCGTTAACACCTAACGATTTTTTCGCCATCGGGCAGCTAGTTCAATTTAATCAATATTTTTTAAAATCTCCGTTATGGGGATCTCCTCTTGAGTCGAATCAGATACATCTTTCGGTACTTCTACTTCAGGATTGATATCTCCAATTTCAGTAACTGGTGGTTGCAGGCGACTCGTGTAAGCATCCTCATGTTCTTGGTAGTCGTGGTCACCATATTTTCTTTTCTTAGTGGTTTTCTTAGTTGTGGTTGTGGTTGTCAGCACTTCTTCTTCTTCTTCTGCGTCGCAGTCAATTAGGTGCTGCTTCAGGAATAAAATAAGTGTAGCTATTTCGAATATTATTATTACAACTACTAATATAGCGCAGACATTGCTGTATCGTGCTTTACAACGCTCGTTTGCAGTCTGCTGGGTCATGACACATTCACCTTGATAACTCATTTTCACAGGAAAACTTGCTAGTTTAATTTGAACTGATATTCGGCGTTTTGATTGATTTTACATTCGATTGTAGGGTCAATGTCAGATAGTATTTGGCATAAATATTTAAATAGGACCGTCACAATGTTTGATTCAAAAAACGGTTTAAATTAAACTATTTATTCTATTGTTATTCTTCTATTTTAATTGAAATTTTTAATTCGTTTACTTTTTCAAAGCAGAATTTTTAATTTAATCTTCCAACACAATTTCTTACTGGTATTTTAATTTAGCATTTCATAATAAATTCGATATACATGTGATGCATATACATAGATACATTCCGAACGTACCTCGTATATTTTATAAAAGCCTTTAATTAAATTTTTCGTAACTGTAACGAACGAAATGAAAATAACAAAGTAGGAATTTCATGCGAAAAAACTCGAACAGAAACTGTAACGAATACACATCAGGTAACCGGAAACGCTGAGCCGACGCGGCATATGTAAGCCACATCCGCCTCTCTACACGCGCTCTCGTACCACCCGATCTTACCCCCTGCAACCCCCTTATGACGTCACCGTACGAGCATCCGGCCCCGTTTCATAATTTATGTTATACACAGTTTTGTAATTAGTAGCATTATTTTCGCCTTGCTTCGCCATAATACTGGATACACGCGGTTCGGGTGGGTTTCTGTTCTATTCCGTTCTGTTGTGTCCCGTTCTCCGCGCTGATGCTCGTTATTTATGTTTTTCATTTCGCATGTATACTGTGTATGTATTCACGGGCGCGTTCATTAGGCTCGACCGCTATTTTTTCCGGGGGATTTTTTTTATTTGTTCATGAAAATTAATATTTTTTTCGAGCGCGTTGCGGTTAACGTTCGGGAGATTTTGCTTATTGCTGTTGCGATACATATACGCATTGCGAGTGTATTCCCTCTTGTTTGACAAACATGCCGCCGGCGAAGCGGGAATATTTTCGACCATTAAATTCGCTTTCATAATATCGATTCGATTTAAAAACAAATTAACGCCCTTTAGGAGGAGAATGCAATACCTCATTGGCGGATTTGCGGTTAATATTGTGTAAACAGATTCAAATCTGATAAGAATGCTGGTCAACAGCGCCTGATATTAAATAAATGGTAAAAGAATCAAAATCAAAGAGGAGAAAAGAAATGAAGAATTTTTGCTAAACCAAATTCAATGAAAAAAATCACTTATTTTGTAGATATCGCTTTTGGTTTTAGCGTTACCTTTTAGATAAATAATTTATCTGAAAAAGAAAGGATGAGGATGGATTGCGTATAATTTGTGATAATTTAAAAATTGCGCACCGAAATAAATTTATTTCAACCATTATTTTCCAGAGAAATCAGCGTTGTCGATTCGATTGAACCTTATTACCTTAATGTGCATACTCGAATGCGTCCGATTTAGTCACAGCAAACAACAATATCATCTAAAGTAGCCGAGAGCTTAATTTAGGAAATAGATTGTTAAATCTAACCAGAGAGTTGACTTTGCATCCGACTGAACGCTTCCTCTCCGAAAGTAGTCTCTCATCGTTAAATTATATAATGTTCTAGATATAAAAATTGCAGCTGCTAATCAATTTTTGTACCTATTTTTAGGCGTAATTCCGCACCGACATCGACATGTGTATGTATACTGGGCAAATTGTAAACGACAGAGATTTTATTCGAGCAGTTGGTAGTGAGTGTCAAAATTTACTTTGGTAACACTGATTTATCTTTCAATAGTTCACCCAAAATAAAACAACAGTACCTATTATCAACTTCTCAAAAATGTTTTATTATTTTTTCAATTTCTTCTTAATTCTTCTTAATTAAAAGTTTTCCCCAAATTTACCGTTACTTCATTCTTGTATTTTAATATATTTAATTACCAGTTGTTCCTTCTTGGATTTCCTTGGATAACGCACCGTCATCGATGGGTACTTGCTTATGTACTCGCATTGTTTATGAGAAACACCCGTCATTTTTTACGACTTTCTTGTTCCATCAACTTAACTAGGCCCGATGTACAAAAAACATATTCCATCGGGGCGCGATAAATTAAAGCGCTCCCGAAAAAAGCGTACCTCATTCGAAACCGGCGGTCTCGCATTAACGTGTTTAGATTTTCCCGTACGTGGCTGTTGCCGGTGACAGCTGCAATGTAGGGTGAACGCGTCGCGTTCGTTTTTCTTAATTTATTTTGGTATAGTTCACCTAATTCTAATTCGGAAGAGGCTCTTTGTCAGAAGTGGGTTAGCAAATTAGAATTTTAATTGAACCTTTCGCGAGTCCCACCTAAGCCTTCTGCTAAATATTTCAGCGTCTAATAAAGGAGCCGCCTTTTGCGTTGGTCTTAGTTTGGAAATGTAGAATTAATCTTGTTAAAAACGAATTATGTTGCGAGTGTAAATCTTGGTCTTGCAAGGGGATTGGATTAGTTTTGAAATATTCAACTCCACAAATGAACCTACGATTAAATTGTGGCTCTCTTCCAGCTAATTAGCCCCGAACAGCATCCTTGTTTTTTAATTGATTAATCATTTGTTGCTAATTCATCGGAATCGAGTGTATCGAGTGTAGGGTGGAGATATGCAAGGAGGGTCGCGTAGAAAGAGGGTTTACCCCCTTCTTTCGAGGTGAATGTAGGTCAAAAGCGGTTTTTGGGGGAACGCAAAATACCCCGCAGATTATTAAACTCACCTACGTGGAGGGGAAGTCTTGCGACGTTTTCAACCTGTTTCTTTGTGTTTGCATGAGTAGGTGTTGTGTTATTTTCGCAGACCCTCGTTTAAGGGGTAAAACCGTGCATGGGGGGCCCGATGATTATGGGATAGATTATTGGCGAAGGGCGCAAACAGGGTGCATATACACTTGTTTTGTTTATTATGATGTACTTGTTGATTTCGTTCTTTCATACCCCTTTAAGTGATCTCCATTTGAGTGTACGATTATTAGGGCGATTCTTATTAGTACTAATTAAGCAAGGCTTTTATTAGATATTTTTTGCAACCACTTGGTGAACGAATACAAAGCGATATTTTTCGAATGAACACGCGGCGCTACGACGCGATAAATAATTGCTTCATCAAAACGGTGTTTCAACAAGTACCTCTATACGGATGATAACCGCCGCGGGATCTCCCCAGCCGAGAATGATGCGCCCTATCATCGGCTCGGGGGAGAGCCGGTTAACCCTTCGGGGCATTATGGCTCTCGCCGGACACCTGCACCGCCCCCGCTCTTCGGATCGCTCCGTGCACGGAGAGTGCGAGCGGTGTGTCGCGTGCCGAGGCACGTGGGTGGAGCGCAAGAAGATCGCCCTACCGAACCGACGGCGGATTTCACGAAGGGGGAGCCCAGGCGATTGCGACGCGGATACGGGCCCACGAAACGCGTCGAGCGACGATGGGACCCTTTTCGTCGGCGTGCTCGTCCTTTCGTTGGGCGATAAACGAGCGCTTAAATCGAGAAGGTCGGGTGGCGGGTAATAAGCTGCCGATGACAATAAACGCGAAATTGTCGGGTGATTAATATATCGTTTAAGGCAGTCTAAGAAATATTATATTTGGTTTTATTTTTTTTTGTTATTACAGTTAGAGTAAATGCGCCGTATATGGACCACTATAAGCACTTTTCTCAATAGAGAGTCGAATTTTAAATTGTAATCAGCTTTATTTATGTTAAACAATTCCTTAACCATTTAGTTAAGAAAAACTCATAATAAAATTCTCCAAAAAAACAAAATATTTTAAATAAACAACATTTTCTAAAGTATATAATTTTTATGAACTTTCAGAAAGTGAACATAATATGGACCACATCCAGATTTTTCCATTTCTAGAATATAAATGACTAATTCATCTTCCAATTCACTTGGTAATGTTGATTGTCTCCCAAGTTTTTGGGTCATTAAGTGATTTGTTTTGGGTGTATGTTTTGGAAGCATTTAAAAAATCCATTTTATTGCATTCGTGCATTTTTAATTGCCTCCGCCATTGCGTTTTTTATCCGATGCTTGTCTGGTCTTCTCTATTGTTTTAAAAGCCATTTAAAGCGTGCCGCTGGTCCATATTGTGATACTTACTCATTTTGAGATTATTATTTTTTTCAGAAAATTGGAATATTATAGAATATTAAAACTTAATACACTCACCTTCCTCCTGGTCTTATCCACTTTCACATAAAATAGTATTTTTTGGATTAAAAAACTTCCAAAGTTCGCTAGAAAATTACTCGATATAAAGAATGTTCTTCTTAAAATGGCGGTGGTCCATATTATAAGACCGGTCCATATTTGGCGCACTTACTCTATTATTTTAATGTAGGTTCTTCTAACCGCTGTATAAACGAAGCCTACTTTAATTCAATGCAGGTAAAGCTACTTTACATATGTGCCTATACGGTTTGATTCGAAAACGAAATTCTCATGATATCGAAGAGGCGAAAAGGTCGCGCTGACCCGAATTCACACCTGGACACACTTTTGTTATTGTATCCATTAAATAAACTACGTATTTATCCAAGGATCAAATTTTCTATATGCATCCGCTCGGTTTTTACCTGGCTGTCTTTTTATTACCTAGTCTACGTTCATTATATGGTTTGTTTCTGCTTGACAAAGCTCCTGTGAGTTCTCGTAAATTTTCGTCTTGCGTTCAGTTCGTTGGGATTTCGTACCTACTCGAGACATAAATCAGGACGCCCCGATACGTTTCGTATATAAAATTTTAAAGGACGCCTTTTTATGGCGATTAGTTTCTATAAAAATTGTCGCTGTTTAACGTTAAATGGTACAATAGTTGGTCGTTATTTGATGTATACGGAGGTAATTTGGAACTTTATTGTTCACATAAAAATATACTTAAATAGATAATTATAGGTACTTATCTATGTAGTAATATAACTAAACAGATTCAGATTTTTCTTCATAGGAAAAATTATAATGCTAAATGCCTTAAGGGAGTAGGAATTTTATTTACAAGGAATGTAAATATTTTATAATAAATTACAATATTTTTATTAATTTTAAAGTTCTACAACAAAATAAAAATTTTCAGTATTCATTCAATACGCAATATTTTTTATGCGTATACAAGTAATGAAAAGCTCTTTATATGATCTTTAAACAAATGTGTTTTAAATAAACCCGATATAAATTATTGCGTCATATAAAATTAGAGAAAAAATAAGTTTACTCTCTATATTTATAACCTTATGACCTTAACCCTCTCATTTCCATTACCGCACGATTCACTATCACCACTAACCCGCGAATGCACCGTAACGATAAAAAAGGTGGCAAAACATTTCACCGCGTTTTTTACCTTTCTCTTACGTCCGCGTTTGACAGTGATCTATTAACATCGGGGGCGTGAAAAGCGGGGGCACAGCCGCCGCAGAGAATACCCTTGCACGTTATCCGAGGTAAGGGATCCATCCGTCAAACGTACGGCGGGACGGTCAGCCGGCCCCCCGAGCTCAGCAGCGCGTTGGGTCGTTATCCCTTCGCCCTTTTGGTTGGCTAGACGGTCGACCAGACGAGGACCCAACCCTTGAAGATAGCCGCTGGGGATACGACTTTGTGGTCGGCCGCCGTTTTCCGGAAATCTCCACTGTTTACCCCGAAAAAGGATTCACGCGATTCACGCGTTTCGGACATCGCAGGGCCGGGCTGCACCCAAACCGTTTCCATTCATAAAAATTTAACATTATCTTTACAATATAAATTTAGATATTCTAATATGTAGATGGACGAGGAAATAAAAGATATATTAGACGGTTTTTAAGAACCTTAGTAGAATCTACAGTTCTAAAAAAATTAGCTTAACAAGGACCAAGTAGAGAATATACTAGGACAGGTTAATGAACCATCTTCAAACATTATTGTAAATTTCCTTTTCCTTCTTCGTTTAAATGTACTAGTATACGATCCTGGATACCAGTAGGAGCTCCCGGAATGTATCCACATTTCCAAAGGAAGTACGGTTTTATTTGGGTTATAAAAGGAAACTAAGAATAATGACACACATATACGTACATTTAACTGTTATTGTTGACATTCTTTTTTTGCGGAAACTGGTAGATCGAAAGAAAGCTGTACAAAGGATATTTTGCTCGATAAATATTGTTCATACTACCCTGGAGAAGCTCGTAAAATAATAGATATTCTATTTGCATCTATAATAAAGCAACAACCACAAGAATTTCTTTTCCTTTCGCCGAAATTACACATCCGAGATAACCTAATATCCGGTCCTGGACGCGAGCCAGGAATCAGTTCGTTCGGGATGAAACGGGATGATATTCACTTTGCGTCGACGGACGGCTGCTTCCAGGCGAAGGTCGGTTTTATTTGGGTTATAAAGGGAGTAGAATATAAGAGTGACACGTACGCACGCAATATAGTTATTCTTAGAACGACGTACTAATACATCGCAATCTAAGCGGACACATGTTTGATTCCGCTTTGAATTTTGAGTGGGTTAGGGAAACGGGATAAATGGAAGTGCAAATACCATGAAATACAGGGTGTCTCTAAAAGGTTGGGACATGGCTTAACTGCAGACTTCTGGGACGAAAATAAGATGATTTAACCTGACTTACCTATATCTAAAAGTGCATAGTTAGGAAGTTAAAGGGTTTAAATAAATAAATAAAAAAAAGATTTTTTTGATATTGGGCCAGAATGGTTGAAGGCTTTTTTATGAAAAATTGTACAGAATATCTTTGTTTAGCGACTTATTATTGCGTGATTTTTTAAATTATCATTCCTTCTCTGATTTAACGGTGGGGCGCAACCCTTTAAAGCCCTAATTCATCTTTGTAATTTTCTATAAAACTCATTTTTTGGTAATTATACGATTTTTAGATCCCCATAGTTTGGAAAATTTTCAGGCAGTTATTGATAATAAAATTATTTTAGTAGCACTTTTTTAACCGATTAAGTAGTACTAAACAACTACTACAATTACGTTTTTCAAATAATAGGACTATCTGGTAATGCAAAAGGGAATGACAGGATAAAGTATAGCGATGGGAACTAGAAAATTTTGAGAAAAGGTAGGTAGAAAAACCTGCAAAACTTGCAAAAGGACGATATTAGATATTTTTGGATATTGGAAACACACTGAAGGTACTAGACAGAAGAAAAATAGACGCATTTGAAATTGAGAATACCTTAAATAGTATGCAAAATATTTCCTCTTGCGAGAATACCAAGTCTACATCAGGGTTCCTATTTTATATTGTCGAAATCAACAAATACAGTTTAAGGTCTATATGAATTATCTTGAGTAAGGACTAAAATCACTACATGACGCACCAATAAAAAATAAACAACATATCTTTCCTTGGTAAAACCTTCAACATGTGCTCGTCTAGAGAATGATCATTATATGTATAAAGTATAAACGTTTAACATAGAATCGTAATTGAAGCAAGATATAAATCAGCTCAAAATAATGCTAAATAAATTAGAATTGTGTGAAAACGACCATAATTCAATTTCTTTCAATTATCCCAACAGTTAATTCCACGATTAAAAAAACGAACAACTCAACTAAGCATAAAAGCTCAATTATTAGATACGCTCTCTTATACCTACTACACATCTTTGTTATGCGCCCATACTCGATATCAAAGACGGTGATTCTGCAAGATAAATTGCCGTAGAACGTTTCGAAGAGATCGTGCGATACGAACTTATTTGAACGGGAAAACAGAATCCAGTCCGAAATAAAAATCTAAACTGTGTGAATATACTTGCCATATTGGGTGCAAGTGGTAGAAAACCGTCTGTCTGACTATAATATCCGGTAGCCAGCTCACCAGGTGCGCTGTTATATCAAGGGCTGTCCAAACAACTAGCGCACATATAAAAAATAGTATATTAAGACTGGCGTACAAGGCACCATCAATATATTCTAAACGCTTAGTATACAAAACTTGACATTAATTTAGGTAATTTGAAGCAGAAAACATTGTTATTCGAGTTTATATTGAAAGTAGTTATTCTATCCAATTTTTCCCAATGTTAGGAAGCAATAATAAAGCGCAAATCCTACAGAAAATACTATAGCATCATTGTTATTGTGAATTCGCTAAAAATCGATAATTTGGTATAAAGGGACAAATGTTATCGAAAAGAAATCATGGTAATAATCCGAATTAAATGGGAAATAAACACTTGGTCTATCCTGGTAGAATACACGTGGTTCGTATAACGTTGACAGCTGCTAGAAACCCACCCACCACCGGTCTACTCAGTAAGTTTTATATGTGTATACGGCGAACATCCATCAACTTTATTATTTCTCTTTATTATGGTGTTATTAAGGTTGGCTATGTGTCATACTTAATTCGGTTTTTCATTATTTATTTAAACGTTTGCAGACATGATAATTTTGTTATATTCATTAATAGACTGATGTTGTTTTGAATGTTTATTGTTGTTATTGTAACGATAACATTAACGCTTGGAAATAGCATATTGCAAAAGTATTAATTATGATTTATTTTGTTTAGGTGCGCTCAGAAATTTTTCTAAAGAAGCTACCTAGAGGGTAAAGAAATTAATAAAAATGAGAAAGGTTACCTAAGAGAAAGGTTATTTATGATTTTTTTTTCTGTACACATAACTAATTAATCTAAACTTACAGATTTTATTTACTTCTAAAGACACATGTTAGCGGATCTATTAATCTTTACCAACTAAAATAATCTAATAAAAATAAAGAAATTAATGTTGTGATACCCTTCTTTATTTGGCATAACTTTCCTCCGCTTTTCCGGCGCTTTATTTTCAATTCTGTTACAGTTGTTAGATTTTTGATTTGCTTTTTGTTTTTATTTATTTCCGTTTTTATTTTGTTTTAGAACCTTTATCAAGACGGTTTCCTACGTGGCGAATCACGCAGAGGGAGGGGAAAAGGAAGAGGTGGAGCGGTAGGTTTTCGTTTTGCTTTTTTTTGGCTTTTGAATGCACTTTTTCTACCTATTTTTTTGTTTCCTCTCTTACTTTTTTGGTGTGGTGTTTGAGAACGATTTAATTTTTATACTAACTTCGATTATTAGTTATATTTTAAGAGGAGCTAGAATGTGGGTAAAAGTAAGATAAAGTTATGAGGATATATTATAGGGTATTAAAAGCCAAAAGTGCTACAGCAAAAGCTTCTTACAAAAACTGTCATAATTTTATCTATTCTTATATCCATTAAAAGCTTTGTAGTTGGTACACTAATTAATTTTTTTCTATTTTAATATATTGCTTCCATAGTGATTATTTCAGAAGCATCTTTAATATTTTTATATTAATATGAGGACAATTTTATTTATCAACACCTGGAATAAAAATATTTAGCTTACATGAAAATACTAAATAAAAGGAACGCAGCTTAAACATAACATGAAAGGCCAAGCTGCGTTTATAAAACGGAATAACAAAGCGTTGAAAGCTGGCTGGCATCGAGATGCGTTATTTTCAAAGTTGATCCCTTGGAAAGGTGGTAGTTATTGATTTTCGAGGTGCGCATGATCCGCACTCACAGAAATTCGCAATTATACAGCATAGGGGTTTCTTCTACAGAGAAAATTACAAGTGAATCGCATTTGGAGCGTGCCAAATCCAGCCTTATGAAATATGTCATTCCGCGTAGTCTCGGGTGAATTTTGGTTATTCAATAGTTCACTGTCGTCATATTCGAAATTCAACACACGTATAATGCGTACAGCTATGACAAAATTATGCCGCTGGAGCGGATGATAAGTTTTTTAATAACATTTTCGCTAGACGCACAGCTCCGCTCGATTTTAAGGTCGAATTGGGATATTAATCATTGTGGAAATTATGTGGTTTGCTTCACTAACGATTTTAATTTGATCCTAATTGGAATTTAAATTAGTAATTTGCCCGAGCTGTTAAAATATATTCAATTTATTTTGAAATGATTTCAATTTTTCTCGCTCAAATCGTATTTTCTACGTTTTTGAAATTATTACCAATTTGGAATTTTTTAGCTTCATACAAAACTTGGGGTGTTATAAATGAGTATTTTTTTTTTCGTCACAATTCTTAAAAAAAATGCGAAATGTTTCAACAAAATTAACGAAAATCAACAAATAATAATTCTTCTAATTTTTTAAATAATGATTGTGGATTTGTTTAACTAAATCAATTTTGTGACCACCAACATTAAATTTTGTGATTAAATATATATCGTTTGCTCCATTTCCGATTGCAACATGGTCATTTCTATGAGTGGAACAAAGAAAGATTAATAAAATAACAGTTGTCAGAGTGAAAAGTTGCAATATATAACCTATGTTGCGATCAAAAATGGAGCAACCTGTATAAAATATAAAAATAAGTGTCGATAAGTGTTGTGGAGAAATAGAGAAAGAGCAATAAATTGAGATACAATTATTTCAGGATCTCCCAAAAATTCCAAACATTTTTGTGTTAAATGGAATAATTGAAAATTTATTAGTTTTATTTTTTTTAATCTTTTGTGCATTATTAATAATCCTAGAAATAACATAGAATTAATAATCATTTCATTATAATTATTATAAATAATTTGCAAACCAGTAAATGTACACAATACGTCAATTATGTTATTATCTTCTTAAATATTATCAATAAGATCAAACTGGTTGAATCCATTAAAATAAATTTAAATTTTCATTTCCAATTTTTCTAATTAATCCGATTTAATTTTTCTTGTACCTTTTATACCAGACCAAAAATTATCTAGAGTTATTAATTCCTTTCTCGCAAAATTTCCCTCGATTGACTTTTTATAATTAAAAAATCAGCATAAATTAAGCCGATTTTACCCAGAAAACGATTCTCATTTAGATATTAACAAAACGGTCCTTCAAACAGCAACATTAACATTTCTCATTACTCCTACTCTCACACTATAAGCCGGCAACCCATATTACACTCGATTTTCAGTCTATCACCTCCATTATCAACAGAAGTTGTCAAACTCACTTTTATCAATAAACACGACATGAAGCTATTAATACCAAACAAGCGTAATTTAAGTTCAGTTGACTAATGTTCTATCGATTTTGTGTATATTTTTGATAGCGATGTATAAATATCGAGGTTGTTCGTCACAATTCGAGGCCGGTGCATTCGAAGTTATCAACGTCCTACGTTCCCGTTAGGACAGAGTCAGAATGCACCTGAAGCAATCCGATGAAAAAAGAAACGAAACGCATGTTAACTGTCTTTGTTGTATAATTAACCAGGCCATGGTGGGGGGAATAGGAAAAGGAAACTTTTTAGTATAGTATCGTTTCGTCGTTTCTCGGCCTAAACGTGTTCGAATGACTGTCTACAGTTGAATCGAATGAAATTTAATGTGTTCATACGACAGTACAATAATAATTTCAATTAAATTTAATCATTTGAATAGAATTTTAATTATGTCGACCGCATCGGTTTGATCTCAAAAGTCTGATGATTTTAAAACGTGTTTCGAGTTATTAGTTACCTTGATTTATTCTCAAGGTATTTGGTAGGTATGAAAATATATATTACATAATTTCTACATATTACATTGCTTGCTTGAGGATTTGTGTATTTTTGAATTAAATTTTTCCCTGGGCCATGTATTATAGAAACCTATTGACCTCTCCAACAGAGTATAACCTAAATATAGATGATAAAACTTACTGTCCTGGTTTTTGTTGAATATTAACATATTTCATAATTTATGCTACTAAAAAGATAAATTTTTGGTGTATGTTTTGAGTTTTTATGTTTTAAAGTACTAGTAGTACTTTATACCTAGACGCACCTTTCCCTTCTAAGTCCCTTTCCCTCACCTTTCGAGTTATATGTCTTAATTTTAATACCTGCTTACTTGTGAAAACTACCTAAAGGTTGATCAAATAAGCCTGACACCCAGAATTGCGCACCTAAGAGAGCGAAACATGGCAATTATCTGATGTTAGATAGAGAGACGGACAATGCGCATTCTATTATCGTGTTCCATGCTTAATTGATAGGTCTTTAAGTAAACAATAAGATAAAATTTCCATTGGGAGTTTACCTGAATGCAGAATTTTTAAATTATTATGTAGAAAAAATTTAGAGAAAGTTTTATGGTGCGTCGCTTATCATTCAGTTTTGTTGATATTTATTATTATTGATTAGGTACATTTTAGTAGATACCTAATCATATTTACTACTTTTGTTATGTAATGTAAATAGTTTTGTTGAGTCAAAAGCAAAAGATTCAAATATCAAAAAATATGGTTTATATTACCATATTTAGACCAAACTTGATAACTACATAATGATTTAAATTTAAAATGTTTTTGTGAATATTCATGTAAATTAGAAACAATACTTATCTTTCTAGATTGTATTAAAAGCCATGAAATAAATTTTATATGTCCAATGGAAGTACACATCGTGATAATTTTAAAGAATTTCGAAAATCGGTAACATATTAATTTCAATAACAAGTAAATCTACTCATTAAATGGATATTTACAACTGGTTGTTATATTAGGAATACGGAAATATAAACATTTTTATAGCTATTTTAAATTCATTTATGATTCGTTATTGTGTTGGTCTTTAATTTTATTAAATCTAGGTACAGACAAATTACAGCACATTACCAACGTGACGAGCATAGCTTTTAATTTTATCTAAGTGTTTTCATTCGATAATAGTTATGGCGTTGATAAAATATATGGAATATCTCGGCTCTGTTTTTGTTAAATCATAATAATTTCCAATCGAAAAAATACAACCTACCTAGAATTAATTTTTTTACCTACATTCAGCGAAAGTAGCCGTAACAAAACGTTCGGCCCTTATTTAGGCATTCTTCCCAACAATTTTTTTTTGTAGAATGATTATCGAATGTTTTCAATAACTAGTACCTACGGATGCGTCTATTCAGCTGCCAGTCATATTTCTAATAAATTGATCGTTTTGTTTGTTTAGAGCTACCGCGGCCGAAAGCCCGCCAGTACATCGGCTCCCTTGGGAGGAGGCAGTTCTTTGGTAGCACCCGAGACTAACGGCGGCTCCGTTGTGGCACCCACGGCTCAACCTTCTTCCAGACCCAGTCCGCAGCCGACGCAAATCCAGCAGCCCATGCCCGTCCAGCAACAACCAATGGTAAGAATTATTATTTAATTCAATAACACCAAAACTATTAAGTAGAAATACCGATTTTTTGCCACGTACTCGTAGTTCTCCATTCGTTATTAGTGGTGCTATCATTGAAATCGGTTATATTAATTCGTAAAAATCGATGGGAATTGTTACAGCTTTAATAATCCTTGACAATTCATTGTTTGCACTGTGTTTTCCATTCGAACTTCCATTCGAACAAAACAAGTATTGTTTTTTTGATATCAGAATTTATTGGGAATAACTGCTAGCGCAGTGTAAATTGGCTTATGATACATTCATAGTATGAAATTTATTTCTATTTAAGTGCCTAGTAAACGCTATATACTTTAACTAATTTTATCTATTTATCACACAAAATAAAGCAAAAGCTGCAGATATCAGGATAAAGCTATTATCTCAAATAAATAATAACAATATGAAAAATACTCGTACTGACAAAAATAAAAACCAATTATTTTCTTTAATCAAAAAATACGAATTTTCCTCCTTATTTAGCCACAAAATAAAAAATACATGTATTTCTCGTGTTTCTTCCGCGCGCACTCAACCATAACTAGGAGTCATCGAGCACCTATTTACCTCGTTTTCGTAGTGTTTTCCGAAAAATGGGCACTTGTTTGTAACCTTGATAATGAAAAGGCCCGTTATCATTGTCAGCTGGGTATTGGGGATTGGGGAGATCACCGTCTGATAGCTGGAGGGTCTCCCCTACCGTTGAGGCAGGTCGGGCCAGAGGAGGGCCCTTCCCCCTTGGGGTAACGAAATCGTATTCGGCCTGTCTCAACTCAACCCCAATTGCCGAATAAACTTCTACAAAAGGTTCATTCTATCTCGACAGGATATTCCTTTACTTTTGGGGATTTTCACCCCGAACACGTATACTTAATCGTTCAGAAACAGTGTTTTATTTCCCCGCAAATATTTACCTGAATAAATAAAATGTCGTTTTACGAATGTTCCGCATATTGAAGTTTATTTCGGAGATAATGTCTTTAGACCTTAAATATAAGTTTAATATGAAATTTATTTTGTCGATTTTATTTTTAGACTCCAATGCCTTTCTACGCTGATCCTAACAGATTTCCTACACCAGTATGGCAAGCGGATCCTTCACAAGGTAAATAATTCATTAATATTATTTATTTAGAGATATATTATTTGAATAAACATATTCTAGGTTGGACGCAAGGCCAGTTCATTCAGCAAATTCCGGCAGCCGGCCAAGCGATCGAAACCTACCAGCAATACCCCAACGGCATTTACCAAACCACCTACCAACAGCCGGCATTCGAGACAAACACATTCTACACCGGAGCCGTGCAAGTATTGACAAACGCTAGACCGCCCAGCACGCCCAATCAGCAGGTCCAATTAGCGTCGTCTCGACCGAACTCGAATTATTCGCATACTCCCAGCCCGAGCCCTGTCCAGCAACAGCAACAGGGAAACTCCGGCAGACAGTACCAGGAATACAACATTGCTCAAGTAGGAAACCAGCAGCAATCGAATCAGCAGAATTTCATACAGTCCGGCTCCACGTCGACCGGCAACGACAACCAAACGGGCAACAACTCCAGGCCCGGATCGGTGAACACCATCATGAATCCGCCGACGCCGAATCCGAATTTCAGCCCGCAAACGCAGCACCAGCAGCACCAGCAGCAGTCGGGCCAGCAGCAAGCCGCGCAGCAGCAATCCAACAACACGTTCACATCGATCAGCAACTTCAGTCCCACGCCTACCGTGAACTACGTGAACGCGAATTCGGGAAACGCTCAGCCTGGGTATCCACAGGTGAACAGCAGCAGTCCGCAGCTAACTTCACACAACTCTAGTGGTTACCCAGGCCAGGAACAGTATAGCGGACAGGAGCACAACCAATGGCAGAACGACGGCCAGATGATGTGGCGGCAATCCATCAAAGTAGAGCCTAATTACGAACACCAGGAGCAACAGAATAATCAGTACATTCAGGAAATGAATAATTCGTCCAATAAAATCGAAAATATGCATCAGAACATCCAAAGAGAAAAATCTTTTTCTCAAGCGGACAAAGTAAATCTGAATACGAGGATAAAAACGATGATTTTAAATAAGCAACAAGAAAATAACAAAATGGACGAGTCGAAGGCGGTAGATCAAAATTCGACCGGTCATTTTTTATCGTATAGCCACCATCACCGCCTAAAACAACCTTTAGGTGATGATGGTGGCTCCCAGAATCGCTACGATTCTAAACAATATTTTAAATATCCCGACAAGAGTCCCGCTAACGAAACCAACAATCCATTAGACATGCGTCGATTTGCTCAAACGAATCCAGTACAAAACTCGCATCATTTTCATTATAAGAATAATTACGATAACCGCACAGCAAAGGATCTAAGCAGTAATACACCTAGTCATAACGATAGTCAACGCATTTATAAAAATAATTTCCACGACCAACAGTCTCTGTCGAGAGAGCACTGCAACGACAGCATTCCAGAATTCACGGGAAACTCGCCGATGAAACCCAAAGAAAAACGAGCGAAAAATTTGTACACATCGACGCCGGTTAAAGCAAAACCAGTCGCGTCCCCCGACAAATGCAACAAGCAAGTAGGTATGGAGATTCCCGAATGCCAATGCATCCCAGCTGATCAAGTTTATCCGGAGCCTGGTACTTACTACACTCACTTGGGCTGTGCTAATAATTTGAAAAGCCTGCGATACGATCTCGAATGTAGAACGGGAGTCAACGGTGTGTCCATAAGAATCGAAACATTGAGGTACACTGGAAAGGAAGGGAAGACTTCTCAGGGTTGCCCAATCGCAAAATGGGTAAGTATTTTTCTTCCGCAGAGTCTTTTCTCTCTATATTAATATTGCTATTGCTTTAGGTTATTCGACGTCAAAATGAAAGCGAGAAATACCTGGTAATAGTGAAACAACGAAAAGGCCACCACTGCCACTCAACATTCATCGTTATAGCGCTTGTAGTGTGGGACGGTGTTTCGCAAGGCAACGCTGACGATCTATACTCGCTTCTAACAGATAAATTAAACAAATTCGGCATACCAACGAAACGCCGATGTGCCACCAACGATCCCAGGACGTGCGCCTGCCAAGGCGTCAGCGAGAAAACCTGCGGCGCCAGCTTCACCTTCGGCTGCTCGTGGTCCATGTATTACAACGGGTGCAAGTTCACGCGCTCGAAGGAGGTGCGCAAGTTCCGCCTGACGGAGAAGACCGAAGAAGCGCTGCTGGAGGAAAAGCTGCAGGACCTCTCCGATCACATCGGTCCCATCTACCGCTGCCTGGCTCCGCGCTCGTTCAAAAACCAATGCCGCTTCGAGAGCATCGCCTCGGACTGCCGGCTGGGAAGGAACCCCGGCCGGCCGTTCTCCGGCGTCACCGCTTGCGTGGACTTCTGCGCGCACGCCCACAAGGATCTGCACAACATGATCGACGGGTGCACGGTGGTCGTCACGTTGGCCAAGCACAAGGGCTTGACGAAGCCTCCGGACGAACAGCTCCACGTATTGCCGCTCTACGTGCCGGAGGAGACCGACGAATTCGGATCCAGAGAAGGGCAAAACCAGAAAGTCATCGACGGTAGCATTGAAGTTTTGGAAAAGTACGTACTTCTGATCTCTGTTTTTAGGGGTTTGATGAAAATGTACTAATTTTTGTAGATATTCCTGCGAGGTGCGATTGTCTTCGACGCCGGCAGAGAGATGCGTGGTCAGAAGAACCAAAAAGAAGAAAGACGAAGAGGGCAAGAAACCAAAGAAGAATAAATCTGCGAATGCAGAGTGTTCGTTACCTTTTCAATATCAATCTGCGCCATCTACCTCAAGGGATACCGCTTGGAACAATGAAGTACAAAGTAGTCAAGTGTCCAGTACAGTATTAGATTACCCTAGAATGCCTACTGGGAGGTACGATAAATTTTCTGACAGTAGTAATAGCAGCTATTCCTCTTTATATTACAATTCGAGTGAACATGTGTATGGTAATGGCAGTTATCCTTTAACGCCCTCTCCTAGTTTACCTAACTTTTCCGTTTTCAAAACTCCTCCACCTTCTACTAATCATTTCAACAACATGAACCACTTGCATTACGACAATTACTACGCAAGCGAGTACTATTACAATCCTCCTAGCGCTTTAGCTTCTCCTAACGTTGGCTATTATTCGGCACCATTTAGCAATAATCCATCCTACACGATTAGCAATCCCTTCGATGATTTCCATTCGAACAATACGCTACCCAGCAGTACGAGTGATAAGAAAGAAAGGACCATCAACATATCTTATTCGGATAATTTGGAATGCTTCCAAGACGGCGATATCGGTGGAGTAGCAATTTCACTGCCTCACGGTAGTATATTGTTCGAATGCGCTAAACACGAATTGCATGCGACCACTGCTCTTAAAAACCCGAACAGGTTCTCTCCTACACGCATATCCTTAGTATTCTACCAGCATAGAAACATGAACAAGCCCCAGCATGGTTTAGACGAATATACCGAAAAAATGCGACGTAAATTAGATCCGGACAAGCCTGAGTCCGATTTCCACGTAGATGTTAGCGATGCTATCAAATCTAATAGTGATATTGTCGTGAAGACTTCAACACTGCCCTCGAACACTTTTACAACTGTTTTTCCAATGTTTCCCTGTATCGTTACAGGTCCTTACAAGGAAAACACGAACCTAGTGTATCCAGACAAACCCTGAGATGCATTTGCTTCCAGTTTCACATTAATTTTACCTTTATCGCAAGACTGCTTTACGATTACTTCCCGCGTTTATTTGGAATTAGTCCACGGTATCCGACCCAGAAGAGAGAGTTCTTTGTCGAAAAACGAATGGGAGCAGTTTGAAATGACACCTTCCAAAGACTGAATCCACCTTAAATAATCAACACGAGCGGGTGTGGTTATAGAATATATCTCTTCTGGGACACGTATGACATATTAATCAAGATAATACTGCCTACAGTTATACTAATCAGAAATCAAGCACTGCATTTCACTGCACTTTTTGATGAAAATGATTTTTTTTCGTGACGCCAGTACGAGATGCAATGGTTGATTTCTATACAGAACAATGTGAGTGCCTCTGATCTCGAACTAATTAATAGTTTTACAAAAATAAAGTAAATACAAAGTACAAATAAATTATAAGTCATTGCTAATCTATCAGTAACCAAAAATATTATTTAATTAGTTTGATAGGTACAGCCTTACAGTCTGCACAAGTTTTTGATGTTTTTGTACATTGCGGATTTTTAACACGTGAATATATTTTACTTTATTAAATAATTGTACTGGTATTAAAATGTTCAAGGTGATCACATATTATTACCATCGACTGAGACATAACATTCTGAAAATTAGATCGAATCGATTTAACTATTTGGTAATAAATTTTGATCACGTTTACGTTTAATGCGACATTTTGTGTTTCCAATACTGTAATTATTTTATTTTTGAATTAGATTCGAAAATATTGCGGCTAATTTTTCCTTCCATATTACTGTCAAAGCGCTGAAGGAAACACCTGTTCTATAAAATTAATAGTGTGTATATAATCTGGTTTCTTATACATAAACAATAAATTTGGTAAAGAAATTGAATGAATAATATACAATTTTCTCGAAATATTGCGTTAAATTTGTTGTTTATTTATAACGGGCCGTAAAAAATCAATTTTTAGATTGTAATGAAAAGTTGAATTGAAAGATTTATAATATTGTAGAAAATCCGTAATTTTGCCTTTAAGATTTGTGTTTGATGGATAAATATATATTTTTGAATTACGAGCCGAAATATTTAAATTATGTGAAGTTGTCAGAGCTGATCTATTGATTAAATTCAGTATTGACGTTTTCGTGAAGAGGCCATACCTAAGTGTTGTAAATGATAATGTATGCATTTATCTTTTCTAGTTTTAAAAGTATATTTTTTGACAAAAAAAAGAAAAAAGTATTTATAGTGTTCTTAAAACGCCTACGAAAGTAAATTATTGTATAGTGTTAGTATACCCAGTCACTTCTTCGAAAATATAAGTATGTTAATGATGAAGTAAATGATGCCAAATATTAAAAATAGATTTTAAAAAAATTTATTTATTTTTAAAATAAATTTCTTCCAGGCCACCACTGGCAGCCAGACTTTTTTATGTATTATAATTTCGTTTAGCACATTATTTATTTATTTATTTTATTTTTCTCAACGCTATTTTTTGTGTTCGTATTCTTCAATTAGATTTCATCGCTTTCAAAATCGTTACCTCTCAAAATTTTAGCTCCGATAGACTGATGTGCAAGGTGAGGTGCAATAAAATTCACAGTATTATGAAAATCTGAGTGGAGAATATACGCAATAAATATGTTTCGACTAAGTACTCATCTGCCACGCTAAAAATAGTATTCACTTAAACTAATTTTATTTTTTACGATTTTGTTAACAAACATGTCACCCTAATCTTGCATATAGCAAATTTACGAGTAACTTCTTGTGTTTGTTAAACAGTTTTTGGATCAATAAAAGGAATAAATATGATCTAAAAATCAATAAAAATTAAGTAGGTATTGTTTTCTTTTTATGGAAACAAAAGTTTGTTTAAAGTACAAGGTGTCAAGTTGCACATTTGTTTCGTGGAATAAGTCCTAGAATATCATTTTGGTGTTTAATTATTTGCGCTAATTAATACAATATTTTTTTAGCGTAACGATGTATGTTTTATAAGTACTTGTATTGTACTAATTTTATTGTTCCCAATCGAATTTTTTAATTATTTTTAAATTAGAATACTATTTTCGGCGGAGCATCTAGTATTAGTAAAGATGTACATAATATTTTTTACACAATTTTTAGTACTATAGCAATTATTCCAAACTGACAAGCAATCTTTCGAATATTTGTATATAGTTGAGTGGGTACTTCCGCGATTTTTCCGTCAAATTTTCCATTCACTCGTAATATTAGGTATTAATTCAGCTCATTGAAATCCAAAAGCAATATTTACCAATTAATTCATATCACGACGAGAAGTATCGACTCAAAAGCGGAATGTGTTTTAATTAAAATATGGAATAATCATTTGTATTTTCGATAGTTATAGACTTTTTTTAGTTTAGAATTAAGAACAAAATTAATATGTGTATCGTCTTGTGAATACATTTATATAATATTACTGCTCGTTTCACTTCAACCCGAAGAAGGCCTTCCATTCACCGTACTATCGATAGGCTGCTCCAGCCGCTTAATGGAATTTGTAAATAATTTTCGAAAGAAGGTTGTGCACAGGTAACCAACCGGTTTGGCGGTTCGATCGAAACTCCGGCTCAGTTTGTGTGAGGTGAAGATCAGTAACAGCGAAGGTGATTTTGCTCATTAATATTGTACACTTGCATATGTAGGTACTATCAGCATTCGCAAATATTAATCAAGCCCCTACTTTTAATTTTATTTATAGAAACTAATTTATTCAAAATGGTGCACTGCAAGTAGTTAATTACATTAAATAAAGTGTACAATTTGGAAAATTTCTTATGGGTGCCTACAAAAAAAAAAACATTAAAAAAATCATACCTTTGTATGTAAAATCAATATTTACACTAATTTTTCCAAATTTATTACCTAGGAATTGCAAAACATTTTCTCAACTTAAATCACATTTAGACAATCTAATAAAATACACCTACTAATAAAATCACACAATTACCAATTACAAACCCAACAACAATTCATCAAAGCATAAGATACGGGAAGCAAAATGACAAAATCCCGTGAATAGCAAAATTATATCCACTCGATCACCTACATAGCCGATTGCGCGTCCTTTTTGCACGGATCATTTCTCCAGATCAATTAACTCATTAAAGTAGAGCAATTATTATCATTAGCGAAAGATAATCGATGCTTGCATCTCTTTCGACATTCTTGCACCGAATTACCTGAGAAAGAACCATAAGCGAGGCCATTGGGGGGACAGCAGGTACGAAAGCGATGTTTTTATATTAGCTTCCTTTGAATTCCACTTAGGTTAACCAGCAAATTTATTGTTCCTTTATTTATTTATTTAACATGTGTAAAAATGATGATTCCAATTACTACAACAGTTATTAACAATGTGATTTCAATAGACATTTAAGTATTTATTCAATACACAATAATTTTCTCCTTCGAATCTCTAATAGCAGGTAATTTTGAGGTTTTTAGAACAACATACACTAAGTACTAATTATTCCGAAAAACTGCACTTTTTTACCCGAGTATTGTCCAGTAAACAATTATTTTGAATTGAATAAAATACCCTTATGTCTTTCGGGCCGGCTTCGCCCATGGACTGGACCAATCCCACTAAGATACAAGTCTTCAGCCTAGCCAAACGTCGTGATATTTCTTGCTTCTTTAGTATTTCGTTTACCTTTACTCGCCGAACAGGTATTAATGTCGATGGGTGCGTGAGTTACATCCGTGGTCTTGTGCTTAATAAGTGGACTGTGGACTTAATTTTTCACACACATCCAGTGATGGTGGCGATTTGTATTTAGGCAGGTTTCGGGCTGAGAGAAATTTTGTTTATAGACGATGGAGTACTAAGGTAAATTATGATTTTTAATGCAAATAACACGCTGTATAAATGGTGCAAATTTACGTTAAAATGCATTTTAATACGAAAGAAAAAGCTATTATTATAAATATTTTTTGTCACACTTAATAAGTGGTGAATTAAATAAATAAATAGGCATTTACTGATGTGCGGCACATAATTATTTTGTTGTATAATTTAGAGAGTCATACTGTTGAAAAAATGAGAGAAATCAGATAAAACGCAGGAATTTGCAAAAAATCTAATTATGTTCGAAAAATTTCTAGAGCTTAATTTCTTCTAAATTAGAATTATTGGAAATTTCGCCGATTTGGCGATTCTATGTGAATATATGTATTTAATTAAAATATACATATATTGTTGGTATCAAATTGCATATTTTTATTCAAAACCAGTACCACATCATAGTTGCAATAGGAACGTGCGATATAATTAAAAAGTACATTTCCGTTAATCATTTAATGAATATTAATTTTAATCAAAACAGTACAATTAATATACTTACACACAATTTATACCTTCAGTTACACATTCGAGACAATTTTCACCTAAACCGATAGTGAAAGTTTGTTGAAATTTACAATTTACGAGAATTTTTGAAGTACTAACTACATAGTTAATTTTTTTATGTTTTTCCAATAGTCTTTCATGGTTCGTTCAGCAATGAAATAAAACCACAAATAAAATTCGGTTTGCCAGACGTACGTTTCATTAACTTTTCATGTGACTATTTGCCGCACTAATCATTTATTAAAATAACTAAAAGTACAATTTCAATAGGTAATTAAATAGTTCTTCCTAGGAAATATTAATAAATGATAAAGACCGTCACACAAAAAGCTTCCTTGTAGCAAGTTTAGAATATTTATGATGTATATTTTAAATAACAAATCATTTTAAAATATCTAGAATAAAATGATCAATTGAATGCTATCTTAGATTATTTATTAACTTAAAGAGAAAAGCAATGAAATTTTTATTGTCGTTTGTTACAACAAATTGACACTTATTAACTCGCATATTGTTTATAGGAATAACGTGTAGGTTTAATTGAGCTTTTTCTTTTCCTTTTAAATATTTAACTACATATTGAAATGTCGCAATGTTCTATAATAAAACTTTCAATGTATCTTTCGATTTAAAGATTCATAAAATTTACAATATAACGGAATGAACACTTCTCGTCATCCGTGGACTTTAAATAAAACTTAAATTTTAAAAAATTCTCGGTTACGAATCGACCGATCTTCAGCAATAAAAG